ACAATCCAAACGACTTTGGTTCCTTTAACTTACCACTACCCGGGATGGCATCTTCGTATCCATCACATAAAAGGCCTTGGAGAAGTCAATGGCATCCCGTGGTTCAACAGCTTCGAAATGGTGGATAGCTCCTTCGCGGTAGACGCGCTAACGGATACGAGATATCATATTCCCGAGATTGACAGGGCAAAGATTAAACATGATGGGCAGTTTGCCGAAGGTTGTGTTACTGAGGAATCCAGTGTTCTGGTCAAATCTCGAGGGGGAGTTAGTGGCATTGTTGATTTGACGCCAAGCATCCACCTCAAAGGAGGGCTTCGCCGTGATGAACCAAAGCTAGGAGGGAGAGGATATCTGATTCACGCAGACCCTAACACAAACTTAGTTGCACAGAAGACGTTAATTCCTTCCATACGGTATTCTGGTGCAGGTACCATGGGTAATCAGTCCAACGTGGCGTCGGAGGCTCCACCATCAGCCATTGTTGCAACTGCAGTGTTTGGCGTGAGCAATGTGAATCAGAGCATGGATTATGTGCCAAATGACTGGTATTATCTCAAGGATGACTGGGGCTCCATGACTATGCTAGATATTGATGTAACGGCAGCTGGTGAAACAAATATCAGCATTCAACAGGCAACACCTCCTGGGACTTTGGAAAGGGGCCTTCTATGAAAGTACACTCAGCCTAGATGCATTGAAAGTATATATATATTTCTACCCTTCAAGCCTATCTATATCTATTCCACCACTAACAATATCTGCGTAATACAAATTCATGATTGAGTCTCGTGTAGTGATTGTGGGCTCTCGGGCTTTAGTATTAACTATCACTCCAAAGAACCTCTTAATCTATACTCATTTCTCACTTATTATTTGAAATTGCAATTAATATAAGAATAAGTAGAATGAGGTTTATATAAATGTTATCTATTACTATAGCTAGGAGAACGCATATCTAGACCAGTCCCATACTCAAAAGAAGGTTTCCAAACTCGACAAGATAATAATCGCCATATACCAATCCGTGGTTAGCATACCGTCTCCTTGCGTTTTCATTATTGTTAGCTGTCCCATACTTCAAAAGAGCATCAAAGGTCGCCCCCAGGACAACATCTGCCACATTGATGGATGTGCCATTATTTCCAGAAGTGGTCAGCTTGGCCTTGTCGGTAGCGAGACACACATCCAACGTATCCTTGACAATTTCGATGGACGCATCGAAGAAGCGGCGTGACATCGTGTGTCTACCCAACGCAGCAAGGGATTGGGATAACAATAGCATTCCATTTGCGGCAATCACGCCAGCCGATGAGTCGCGAAGCGGATCTTGAGGATTCTCAATGGGCGCATCAAAGTCCCAGAGTGGTACATGTCGTCCCCTGCAGGGGTTTGCATGCCCTCGTCCAGTTTCAATCGGAAGCTCGACGCAAGAAGGGGATGTTTCCAGCCGATAGAGGAAATACTCGGCGCACCCGCAAGCTGCGTCGAGGAACCTTTCATCTTTGGTCCAGTTGTAAGTCTGTGCATAACCAAGAATAGCCCAGGCTTGACCTCTCGACCACGTCGAGTGGTCGGCGTAGCCCTGGGCTGTCCGTCGCCATTTCAAATCTCCAGTCTGGGGGTCGACGTTGGCAACATGGCAAGTCGAGTAGAGTTGATCCTGATATCCGTGCTTGGCAGTAGACCTCACACTCTCTGGTCGAAGATGCGTCTTCAATAATGTCGTTGCATGGGATGCAGCAATATTAGCGAGTCTCTGTTCACCAGTCTGCGCGGCAGCATAAAATAGGAGGTCGAGATTGCACATGCTATCAATAATGACGAGGAGATTGTTTTCCATGTCTGTGACGGTGATGTCCTTTTTCAGAAGACAATCCCAGCTGCGAATGGCACCAGCAGCTGGCACATAACGGGTAGCCAAACTGTGAGCCGCCTGTACGATAGAGGCGAAACTGCGCTCGGTCCCGAATAGCTCCCAATCTCTCCGAAGCGCCGGCATGATGATGAAGCCAATGTCGTGGGTGTCTGTTCTGCTGGCCATGGCATGAAGTGGCTCAGACCATGACTTGCATAACGGGAGTAAATGGTTCCTGATAATGGTGGATGATCTATGTTCAGGGTTGTCGGCTCGCAAAGATCCCGGGTATCTGATAGATCGCTCGAGAAGAGCGTACAGTGTTCCCGGGAAGAAGCCGCAGGTCCAGAATTCGGGTTCGCGAAATTCCCACTGCCCTTGCTTAGGGCCTTGCTGGGGCACGATTTCGGGAAAACCGTCATGTGCCGGAATAAGGCCTTGCAAGACTCTACTTGCAGCACGGCAGGGCTTGGCAATGATATTTTCTTCAAAAAGCTCCGATAGAACTTTGTGGAGAGCATGCTTCTGTTCCTGGATGTCGTCTTCCTTGCTGTCTGCTGCTCCTTCAGACCATGAAGTTTCACTCCGAGCTATGCGTTCATCTTCGGTCGCGGATGATGCTGATGAATCGCTGCGTGCCATGTCACCAGGTTTGGAAGGAATTTTCAAAACACTGTTTGTCGCAATTGGGGTGTCTTGTAGTAATGGAACCATTGTGGAAATTGCATGGGTATTCAAGGTCATAATTTGCAGCTGCAACTTTCAAGTTCAAGGCCAGGTGTTTATCCAAATGAGTTCTCTCTTGTATTGTAACCGCTGGTGCTTACTAAAATGACATTGCAGATCAACTTGATGGTTGAAATAAACCCGCCGTCAGAGATAGCCCGCCTCCCTTTGGTGACGGAGTATCTAGCTCGGTCTGCGGACGAATTCGGATGCCGCTTCTTACTAATTAACCCTTCACAAATAAGGTAACCGACACAACCCGGAGTTACAGGAAGTCCAATCGACTGATGTAAATCAAGGTTACACTCTTTCTGGACTCATGTGATGGGTATATTCGATGAAGTCATAGTCGAGGTAAGGCGCGCCATGCAAGCATCAGCTTTCGGGCCAATCAAGTCAAAACGACACTCACAAGAACACAGTTCATGCAACATACCAACCAAACACACAATTACCCAAGATACGACTTATATCTTGTCAAAAGTCAGCTTCAAAGGCGTTCTCACTTCCCGATTTGCACCTCGCCCCTGGTCCCCTATCCTTTTTAACCATCCAACACCTGACCCAATATCTATCCTCCCAGAGACTTTCTCCAAAAGGCCAATCATCAGTCCATTCACCCTGACGAAACTCGACACTGTTGAACCTATCGCCAACCTTGGACTTTCTTAGACCTTGGAACAAAGCAAGGCCTTCTTCTACATCCAAAACTGAGTCTGATGCGTGTTTCTTCTTGTCATCATAGCCAGTATTGTTTAGTAGTACCCTTTCGTCCAGCAAGTTTAGATTAACAACTAGCCTTCTCAATTTGGGTAGAGTCTCGGCAAGAATGTTCAGCTCATCTTGGGGCGAGGTTCCGTTTCTCCGTTCCAGGTCGATGGTAAGGCTGGTCAAACCAGGTGCCCACTTTCCCAGACTTTGTAGCTGATCATGAGTCAATAATGGCCTGGGCTTGAATCCTCCCTCGTGGTTTGTCCACTCGAGATGCTCCAGTGAGGCTCCGTGGTGCTTCAAAACAGAGTTGGATACATCTTCTTGGACCGTTTCACTCTTTGTCCAGGTGAGCTTCTTCAATGTTGGAGGTAACGCCAAGATGAAATCGCGGGCCGGAGGGGGCGGGGAAGAAGACCACTTGTTCTTGGGTAATGGTCCCGGAGCAGCTTCCCACTCCGCCAGATATGTTCTCCAATTTAACCACCGGCCCTGGATAGAGAGATTCTCGAGACCTGTTAATGCCGGGGGAAGGTCAACGAGTAAACCTCTTCCTTCCGGCCGAGTGCCTCCATGCTCGATTGATAATGTGTGCACTTTGGAGAAGTCCATAGCTTCCAGCCAGAGCTGCATGTTTTCCATTGATAACCTCTCAATCGGTGTATGTCGCTGATCATACCATCTTTGTGCGATTCCGTGTCCTTGCCATCTAGAGTAGTCTGCTAGACCAGCGGCATATTCGTATTCGTAGGACAGCTGATCCCATTTCCATCGGCCGCGATAATACATTTCTGTTGCCCACCCGATAACAGAGTTTGTGGAATTCGACACAGGCCATGAGCCATCGTCGTTGGCCCAATGTGGTGTTCCTGACCACATATCCTCCCACTCAGATTCATGAAATTCGTAGTTATATAGCGATAGTATTTGTGGCGCCGAGAGATATCGATCGCTCCCGTCCGACCTGAAAGGTAGATTATAACCATCGGGAAACTCCGTGCAACTTGCCCCCACCATCCTCAGGTCGAGCTCGGTAATATTGCTGCATGACTTCATAGCATTGTGTACAGCTTCCCAGCTGCCGAATGGCTTGTAGGATGGGACGATTGCGCGAATAATCGAAGGGCAGGGATCTTTATCAGTCCATAGTGGTGCCTCTGGCCATGCGCTCGCGAATGCGAAAAGAACGGCAAACACGAGGGGTAAAAAAACTGTGAAATATTTTCTGGCTACGAGGTGTGACATTTCTCATTAGCTTTGTTGATGTTGCATAAGTAAGATTGCGGATTCTCGAAGGATTTATAACATCGCTGATGACGTGTTGGCTGATAACACCGTGTTGTCATCTGACAGTGGTCGTTTCACAAGCTGCCTGTAGGAACAAGCTATAGGCAGCAAATAGGCAGTAAAAATAAAGTATTATTATTTCTTACTTTCGAATCCCGATGGCGATAAAGAAAAAAAGCATGTTGACCAGTTAAGATGCCTTTTTAATTCTTGTGCAAACCTTGGAATCACCCCACGGGCCTACGAGGTGTATGAAGGCAACGCGAAAAAAACGAGGCCTAATGTTTGTATAGAAAATGCGATACATAGATAGATGTAGAAACGTAAAGCAAGAAGAAAGGGCATGCAGGCTTTAGATTTATCGGCGGTCCTCAGCATCGAGGCCGAATAAGTACTTAGTGAGCAACTATGTAAACACCTAAAATAGCATTGTAACCGGAAACACAGCATTCATCTGTTTGTCATGTTAGTCTTGAGATAACGCCACTTATAGGTGGTTGAACTTACCAAGACTTCACCAGCACTCTTACTTTCTCGTTCCTCCTCCTCCTTGGCTCTTTTCTCTGCTTCTTCTCGTTCTCTCCGTTCCTTTTCCTCCTCTTCCACTTGCTTCTCGAGTGCTTCTCTTTTGATGACATCCGGGAAGGTTGCTTGTTGACTCACTCCTCGCAGCAGGTAGTCATCGACATCTCCACGGCCGTGGTGCTTGACTATATCGAGCCGAAATATGCAATCTTCGACGAGAATGTCTTTTGCGGCGTGCTTGTGATCTTTAATGACAGTAATCTGCTCATGCAGGATACTGTTTGGGTTATCTGGTGGCGTTGGCACTTCGCTCATCATGAGGGCATTTGGTAAAGGCTCGGCCTGATCAGGGAGACTCTCCACAGGTTCAAAGCGCGGCCACGGTAATCTCATATACAGTGTCGAACTCTTGGACTCTGGTGGAGGACTGTTTCGGCGGCGTCCAAACGCGTCATCAGTAAAGTCTCGATAGCCGCAGTATTGGTCCTGGTAGCACCACGCGAGCTGAATCTGATCTCCTTCTGCGATGTTGACCTTGTCGCCAGGAGCAGCCCCAGTCTTCAAGACGCGCCAGACATGGATATCCTTGCTGTCTGACATGGCGGGCACAAAGACACCTTGCTGATTGCGGAAGACTATAAGTGAAGAGATCATTGGAGCAGAAGGAGATATTGACAGCGTGTTATTGCCTGAGTCTCCGGTCTTGTAGATGTCAGCAATTCCTCACAACTTTAGGATGCGATAGCTTACAATCTTTGCAGGGGAGTTATTTCCAGGCGATACAGTTTGGATGATTACCCGTGACTCATGACACAGCGCGTCGTCATATGGCGACGTGATGTTCCAAACTGTACTTCTATACTCATCGTCGTATATAGTCCCGTATAAATTGTCTCCAACCTTATTGGAGGCGTATCCGTAGATGGCTGGAGCGCGATAACTAAGGACTGTTAGCCACCGTAGTAAGCATCACAAGCTGATGGTGCCAATACCTTCCAGGACTGAAGAGAAACTCAGGTTTGCCCTTGGGCATCTTGATGCGGCCCCATGTAATATCGGGATGTTCAAGCTCCATAGCTAGCGGCATCACGGTTGACAATGGCCTGTGTCCGAAATAGTAGTTTGGTGGAGTGGCGAAGTCTGGGTCCTCAGATCCCTTCTTACACGACAGACATAGGTCGTGATTGGGTGACATGAGTCTAAGACGTATCTTCTTGACAAGTTTGTCTGAGAACTCGATGTACTTGCTGAGGGTCGGAACGGCTTGGTCGAACCAGGATCTGGTGTGTTCGAAACCGCTCAGTCCAGAGATCATATCGGCCATCAGGATCAGGCCGTCGCGCTGCTATTATCAGGATCATGTACAAGACAGAGGGAAGGGGTGATTACATTGATGATACGCCAGTTCTTGTAGCTTCCAACCGTTGGTATCCAGGCGATCGGATTAGTGGCCAATAAACTGTCACCGCCCATGGCTTCGAAGGTATGTGACTCGGACTTATCAGACTGAGCCTGCGACTTTGAGTTATCAGAACCGGACTCTTGTGTGTGGCTGACTGATCCCGATGCCTTGGGAGACGACACAGAGAGACCGACAGATGTCTTCAGTGATTGCTTTTGCTCCTGCTCCGAGGTCGTCAAAGACTGATCCATAAGTGCCTGTGTCAGAAGACGGCCACCAATGGTGATGGATTTGCAGAACAAATATCCATAGTCACGACGTAATTGACGTAAATCCTTGATGTCCTTCGTGGCTTCGACCTTGGCGATAGCCTGCTTGAGGCCTTCGGTTGGTTCCAGGCATAAGTCAAGATTCAGGTCAACTCGAGGGAACTATGCCTGTCAACTTTGGATCAATAAAACTATTATGGATGAAACATACCAAATATTTCGCAATCATGGTCTTGTGATAAGTGTCAGATGTGTCCGAAGTTGATGAACTGTGCATGCTGTCCGTCGAGTAGCTCACGCTAGCAGCAACAGGCCCGTAACTCCCTCCGAGGGATGCAGACGTCGAAGAGGCACTGAAGTCATTGGTTGCCATACTGGTCTGGAACTCATGCGAGCTGATGACAATATCGATTCGGGAGTTGTCGTTGACGCTAAAGTCAGGCAGCACTCTTTTGGGCTTTGAGGCTTGAGGTGGGCGCTTAGTTGCGCCCGACTTTGCAGGCTGTGACGTTGCAGCAGGCTTAGTGGCAGCTTTCTTTGGCGCGGGGACTGGCGTGGGTGAGGATGGAGCAGCTTTGGCATCAGCTTTGCCTTTGACTGAAGACTCGGGAGTAGCAGAGGCAGTACCGACTGGGTTGGCTGCACGAGGCTTTGTTGGAGGCGAGGCACTTGGTGATGACGAGGTAGAAGATGTTGGAGAAGACGATGATATGCTAGATCCTCCTGTACTTCCATCTGATGCGTTTTTATTGCCATCATTGTTCCCAGATGGGGGTGTCGCATCGCCATTCAAGAGTTTCTCTGGTGGCGGGACTGCTCTCAGTTGAAAGGCTACACGGAATGAGTTTAACAATCATGATTCTTAGTCGCCTGTGACCTACCTGGCTTGGGAGCCCGAACAATTTGCTTCATCGGCCCATCGATGCACCAACCATACATGGCATTGCAATTTTCAAGAATCTCGAGCCATTCTACTTCTCCCAGCGAAGAGGCCTCATGTGTCCTAGGAAAGTGAGTAGTAGATCGACAGTCTGCGAAGTGAGACCTACTGGGCAAACGAATCTAGGCCACTTGTAGCAGCATATCCATCTGCTTCCCATGGTCTGTCCGTTTCCTGAAAAGTGCTAGCCTTTTCAGGTGGTGAAGCAAGGTAGTCGTCGACACCCTATTAAGTCCTTATGAGCCATGTCTAAGTAACGCGATAGAAGCGAGGGTATTCCTTACGAGACTCTTGGGAGATGGTGGGAGAGGGATGTCAACATTCTTGTCGTTATCATCCTTCTTCTGCTCCTTGTTATCAGACTTATCAGGGTCTGTCGTATCAGCCTTATCTTTCGAATCATCATCACCGCCTTTTGGATCTTTCTCCTTGGTATCTTCTTCTTTTGATTCATCCTCTTTACCCTTTTCCTTCGAATCATCATTCTTCTTGTCTTCACCACTAGCCTCAGAAGCCTTTTCCTCATCATCCTTGGCATCGGAGTCTTGCTTCTTATCATCAGGGCTTTTCTCTCCGTCTTCATCAGCATTAGTAGCATCTTTATCTTCTGTTTTGTCGTCCTTGTCAGGAGTAGTCTCATTTTCAGCAGTACGTTCCCCTTCCTTTGCCTCAGGCTCCTTGTCAGCAGCTTTGGGCTCGGGCACCTTTGGGGACCCTGAACTCGAAGGATGCTGCTCGGCATCTGGCTTCTCAGCGCCCAATTTCGCTTCCAGATCATCAAGCTTGGCTCCCGCATTGGAGAGTACAGCGGAGCTGGGGGTTGCAGTATGAGACGGTCCAAGCTTGGCAGCAAGAGCCTCGGCTTCGTCTGATAGCGACATTATAGTGATTGGTGTTTGAACCCAACTTGTAGGAGCAAAAGAGAGATGAAGGAGATTTGCAGTAAAGTTGGAGAATGACAATGGTTGCGGAATAAAAAAGCTACCTATTTGATAGATATCCAGCCAGCATTAGGTATACTAACGACACGGTCAAGTGCGCTTTTCTCCTCCCAGACAACATCAACGGCGATCTTCTTTTTCCCGGTGCCTGGAACGCTAGGGATTGGCATGTGGCTGGTCGAGAACACTCCTTTTGGGTAGAAGATGTACTGACGCTGTAGATAGACACGAACTACATGCCAATAATCTGTGAGTAGCTGAAACGCTATTAGAGTCTATTGGTGAATATTGGCATGCTAGAGAAGATATTGCGGGGCATTGTGAAACAAGCTGCCAATCTAACTACCTATGGTTATCACCATTCCTGCCCACTATAATTCAGCTGTCCTCACCCCGCTCTAGACGGCACGAGGCTCGGGCCTAGCCGCACTAGAGATCATCCAGCTAACAACCAGTTACTCCGAATGACCTTTTCAGCTGTGACAGGCGGGGAACTATCACACGGAATCATACGACGCCATCATAATGGCGTCCCGGTTTAGGATGCTCTCCATTCTTTCCAAGAGGGAACTTTTTGAACCAATAGTTGTAGCTTTCGGGAGCAACGAAAACCGTGTATATCCCCAGACGCTCCTTTGTGATCAATTTTGTTCAATTACACGCAGTTCGTAATCAGCTACCACTTGCCGACTGACTTATCTTACTTCACCCTTTTCGCAAGTGACTAAGTTAATCGTCGCCATGAGTCTAACACTCGCGCCGTATAATGATGCCATGCGCATCGGGCAAGGGTAGGTGTCGATTAAATCCTCAAGTCAATTGCTGCTAACATGTTCGACAGATTCAACTCGTACAGTAGGAATCTCATACCCCAGTCTGTCTACCAAATACACTACTAATTGTCTCACAGCTCATGAAATCTGTATTGATGGAGCAGTGGTCGTTGACACTGATGGAGTCCATAACGATAGCACTCAAGTCGAAAGACCATCGCAGGTAAGTAAACCACCATTTAATTTCACTGGGTATTTCTCATATAAAACAGGTCGTTTCATACTCTGCGAGGGCCGTTGAAAAGCTCAGCGACATCATCCAGACCATGAACGTCTCGTACCCTCACTCCATCAAGAAGGGTAGTGTCACCGTCAGCGGGTCCAACTCGGCCATTGACGAAGCTACCTTCAAATCCGCCGATATTAACATCATCGTCACGGTCAAAGTAACCAATCAGACGACTCTGATCAAGAACAACGCGAGATTTGTTCCCATGAAGGGTATTGACCCTTCGTCTCAAGCCTTTAATGAAGCATACGGTGATTCTTATATCTCGGGGTTCATCGAGGGTGGAGAATTCACCGGCATCATCTCGGTCAAAGTCATTGATCGAAACAATGTTGATCTGACCGTCAAGAAGATCAAAGCCAGGCTTGACGCAAAAGACAGCAGCAAAGCCACCAAGTTTACTCTCAACAGTAGCGATTCTTTCTCTTCTAGGGGATCTGCTTCTATTATGGAGAACACCGAAAGTCACATCCATGTTTCTTGGATGGGCGGCGGGCAAATCAAGAATGGTGAGTCATTCGCCCAGCTTCAAGATGGTGTTGATTCTAACAGTTAATTCAGAAAACACACCATGGGATATAGATTCCATTTTCCAGGCCGCTGCTGCTTTTCCTCAGAGGGTTTCTGAACGCCCTCAGCTCACCTGGGCCATCTTGACGAAGTACAAGTCAAATAGATCATTCATTGAGTGGGCCAGCAACAAGCCTGTCAAGACTCTGGAATACGACCAAGTCAGCAGCTATACCGCTGAGCTCTTCGACAGCTACATGGACTATAAGATTCTACTCAAGTATGTCCAGCTCATCATTGATGACCCAGAGAGCTATGAAGCTGTCGACGGGGAAGATGCCCTGGACACATCAATCGATACACTCTTGGGGGTACGCTTCGCTATGCGCAAAGAGCAAGGCAAGATCATAGAAGCTACTTCTGTCCTCAGCCGTGATCCTGGTATCCTTTCGCGCCAGGGTGGATGGGGGAATGGTCGAGCCAATAAGGTACTGAATCGAATCTTGAGCAAGACTACAGGGTACACCAGCGAGAAGTCTAAATCAACAACTCAGAAAGTCTCTGTACACGGCCAGGAGGACTTTGACTTTTCTGCTTTAATACCAGCTGAGGTTTGGAGGAAATGGATGCCAATTCCCAAGCTCGCTTCCCCAACTTCATCTAACAGCAAGACACCCACGACATTGGGTCCTTCCGCTGCCGGCTTGCCTGACCTTGGCCCTCCACCTTCAGATGACCAAGACTGGCATGGGAACTACGCGTCAGCATTACAAGGAAGACTCAATGCTGTCACTCGAGACTTAGAAGCCAAGACCGAAGAACATGCTGGACACGCAAAAAGGTTCCAAGACGAGATCGACAAGATCAAATCGGACAGCGCCAGCGAGTTAGAAGCTCTGAGGTCGAAACATAACGACGAGCTAGAGGATATCAGAAAGAGGCAATCTGACTATGACACCCTGAGAGCCGGACAGCAGAGCGAAATCGAACAAACACTCCAGCGCCTTGAGAAGGAAAAGCAGGCGGCTGTTGATGCTGCGAGAAAGGATGAACAAGAGAAGTACGACACTTTGCAGAAAAAGTGCGACGACTTGTCCAGACAGCTCCAGTCGCTTACGGCTGATTTGGGAACAAAAATGCATAATGAGAAAAGGGCTGCCCTTGAAAAGCTCGAAAAAGAAAAGAACGATGCATATAATTCTCTCAAGGAAAGCTATGAAAGCTTAAAAAAGCAGCTCGGCGATTTGATAGCGACAGATGCCACCCTGGCCACCAACAGTAAGAGCTTGGTAGCAGAAAAGATCTCTTTGACCACCCAGCTACAAGAAAAGACCTCGGCGTATAACAGCCTCAAAGCTTTGTACGATAATCTGAAGAGGGATCACGACACTTTAAGTGTGAAAGAAACAGCTTGGACAACCGAAAGGACGACGTTGAATGGCCAAATCACCAAGGTTACAAACGACAAGAATTTTGCTGATGGCAGGATTTCTAAATTGAAGGACGTCATGCAGTGGGCGGGATTATACGAAAACAGTCGAATGGACAATTGTCTGCCTCATGGTTTCAATGGCTGGACTGTGATGATCATGATGCCACACAGCAGGATGGCTCTAAATGCGAACAACGGTATCTCATCCAGCCTAGATAATCCTGTTCGAAGTTACTGACCTTTCCCAGATCATCATGATATGGCGCACGCTTGGAGCTTTAACATGTCGAACAATGATGAAGTCTTTAAACTTGAAAAAGCCAATAACCATCCCGACACGCCTTGGACTATCACCAACCTTGCAAGCGGCAGTCAGTACTTCCTCACTATAACTTCGGATAATAATTAACTTGCATTGCAGAGCTCCTTGTATTCCTGAATGGGGAAACTGACTGGCAGGTCCGTTGCAGGGAAAGTAATGACCCCAATCTCGTCGGTCGCTCAGCATACTGGTACATTGGCCGGGGAGCCGCTAACTACAATACTACATGGGTGTAAGTATGAGTGTGGAATGAATATTACGTGAGTAGTGAGGCTAACGGAGTATTTAGACTGAAGAACGCTCAATGGGGTACTTGCATCCAGTTAGAGAGAGGCTGGGCAGAAAATGGGTATGTGTTATACGACGTTGATAACAAAAGCAAATACTAACAGATATCAGGCGTCAAGCAAAGTCATTCCAGTGCACCAATGCTGGTGATGCTAACTGGATTATTATTCCACTTAACCTATAATATAAATAACGTAGGCTTAATATTCTTTTTAAATTCTATTTTAATTTATACTCAAGGTGCCTATAACACTTACTATTCCACTTCAAAGTGCTCAACCTATAATTCATTTTTCCTGCTTATCCACGTCTGTGCTCTAGAACCCTGAATATCCTCTTGTGGCGTATATTGGGTTGATCCTAGTCCTGGCCTGACCTGTAAAGTCCGTACATCATCATAGTGTCGAAAAACAAAGAAAGGCAAGTATTCCTCGGCTTCGCAAAGCTTTCTTTCAGACAGCACACTCCAACTGCTGGTCCCGGTACTATACGAGAAGTCGCCCACGAATAGAATAGGGATCGTGTGGAGTGGATCTGATGGCGTGCCGCGTAGAGTCAGCTTGCCCTTTCCCACGGCGTGTGTCGCGCTCTTGTCGATGACCTTAAGTGCTATAAGCTTAGGGTCTGCTTCTAGACCAGTTCCTTTCACATTGGGGAATGCCTTGACTTCAAAGTCATACCATTCGAGCGTCTTGGGGCCCTCGGGCTGATCACCAGCGAAGTCGGCTTCCATCTCGATAAGCCGAACGCCCGCCCGCTCCGCAAAACCGTACTTGCGCGTGCCGTTGGACATGAGCCGAGCTTTGCCATCCTTCTTCACCTCACCCCATGTCTCGCGACCCCAAGTGATAGCGGGGACTTCGGAGACGATGAGGTGGAGGACCCAGTAGCCCTCAATCCCATCAGCCTTACAGCGTACGGAGACAGAGGAAAGCTCAAAGTCGCCACACACATTGCTCTGCCATAGAGAGACGTTGATCAGCCCCGTTGATTCCTCTGTGGGCTCGAGAGTCGGTGGTAGGACGCTTTTGATAAAATCTCTGGTTGTGGTGAATTCGACCACGAGACCTTCCTGGGAATAGCAGGGTTCGCTGCATCGCTTCTTGAAAGAGGCGACTTGGGCCGAATTGGCGACGAAAGACATGATAGAGATGAGGCAAGTCAAATGATAACTTCCTGGTGGTCTGGTGCCGAGGATAAAGCAATACTTTTATCGGTTGGGCGTGGCTAGACAATTAACGTCTAGACTAAGCGACAGTCCAGGCTTTTAAAGCTGTTTTTTTGTGCCCCATAATACGGTAGACAGATTGCTTGTGTTGCTCCGAATGTCGATAGTACTTCTTTACCTTTATTAGGTGCAGAGATTAATTAATGGATACTATTATGCCTTCTAAAATATTGGCACAGATACAAGCAGCAAAATTGCAAATTAGGGGAACTCGTTTATTGTGGAGTACAGCTCTAGTGGCCTCGTCCTTATAGATTTACCTCTCCCAGCCTAGTGTGACCCGCTCTCCCCATGTTTCTTCTCCGTAATAGGTACTCTATGAAACTGCCCCTCGATTAGTTCAAGCGATAACTAATAATCTTCATCTTCCATGAATACAAAGCCACTCTAGCTAAATGTCGACCTCGAACAGGAACCGACAAGAACTGCCGAAGATGAACAGCAAGACGCGACGCTCCACGACCCGGTCGCGGACAGGGTGCGGTAGATGCGTCAAGGTTAGCCGAAAGTGCGACGAGGCACGTCCAGTCTGTTCGAGATGTCGGCGCCTCGATTTCGAATGCGTCTATGAGCCGAGGTACATATGGAAGACCGGAAGAGTGCCCGAACCCGCTGCGTCTGACCAAGCCTTGGTTTCTGAGACGACTACGCCATGTTCTTGCCCGCAAAGACCAACCAGCCCACAACTTCTGGAAGCCTGTAAGCGCCCATGAAGAGACAGACACCCAAGGTGCAAAGTGGAGCTGATTCTGAACTGTGAGGTTATAGTCAAAACTACAGGACACAAATCCTTGCACTGGAACATAGAGGGGTCGAGCCTCGTGATAGCGCACATACTGCCCATGTATGAGTCGTGCCCAGCTATCAGGGCTGCTGTGAACGCGCAGATGGCCCTTTCCCACGACTGCTGCAGCATTTCTGCATTATCGCGCCTTGATGACGCTGTCTCCCAAACTAGAGAGTACATCCAGTTTGTGGAAACTCAGCATGACGAGACAAGCGCAGCTATGTTTGCTGCCATGCTTTTTTTATCTCATGTATCGGTAGGTTCTCATTTCATGCTACCTTGGCGTATAAAACTAAATGAACAATGTAAGATGCGGGCCGGTTATTCCTGGACGTGGCAACTGGAGCGCATGCATTCCCTTGTCCTCACAATGCCACAAGGACCTGAACGACAGCAGCATCTCGAGGTCCTTGGTGGGTTAGACATGAATGTCTGGATTGTAGGGAGGAAGTCTGCACCGCTGCACATCTGGGCGACATACTGCCGCGGTGGAGAAGGCGTTGAGAATGTCACTGGCTTGCCACGCCGTCTGCTGGACCTGATATCTCTGGTCTCACGCCGTGAGGATGTGTCACACGAGCTACAGCAGTATGCTGACGCGCTACCCCAGGCTCACGATACAATGACAGGCGTGTACCGCAGCTTTATTCTGTCAGCACGGATATATCTACAGAAGGAGCCCATAGTCACACTCTTAACCGAGCTGTTCACTCTTGTTAGATGCTTAAGACAAGAGATACCAGGCACAGATCTCGGTATTCTGTCGTTTCCTGCCTACACGCTAGGCTATCATGGGGAATTGCTGGAATATCGCACTCTCGCAGTGGATGTTCTTTCCGCCCCCTCGACAACTTACCTTCCCGACGGTACGAGCGTGTTGCGGGGATCGCCTTTGAACGCCATGCGCAGCTACTGGGCCTCGATAGGCGTACTGGACCGTTCGCTTGCGGGTGGCTGTGGCGACTCAGAAGTTGGGCTCTGGTAAATTCAGCGAACTGGCTTGATTTGCAGTAGAGCGGGGCAGTGGATCTTAACCTCAGGCTATCTATCCATCCTTTTCAAATTTCCTCAAGAGGCATAGCGCTACTCTGACCCCTTGCACTATCTACAGATACCATGACCTTAATCAAGATTTAAGAGCACTGCCTGTAATCGATCTTCATGACCCCAAGCCTCGCTGACACGCCCAATCTACCCTACCCTCCGCTCACGGCCACTTCTCTTGTCATTAGATCATGTTGTCCAGACCAGAACAAGAAGAATCCCGGACTGCTCGTCCACCAAATGTTGCTGACTACGCCTGGTCTCGTCCCCACGGTCTCGTTGAAAAGCCAGGAATGTATCCCGGCGAATCAGAAGCCTGGGTGTACTGTGATAAGTTCTCTTACCACGAGGGAGAGAGCGTCTCCATCAAAACCTACACGACCGCTCAAGAGTATGACATCGAGGTCATCCGTGACGGTCAAAAGCCCAAGACTGTCTTTTCAAGAACTGGACTAAAGGGCCAGACCTTTGAAACGCCAGCCGATGCCTACGCTGTTGGTTGTAACTGGCCTCAGGCCCTCAGCATAGGCCTCGAAGAGGGCAATTGGCCGTCAGCCTTCTACCTCATCATCATCCGTATCAAAGACATCAACGGTCGGATGCATGAGCGCGAGGGTTTCTTCATTGTCAAGGAAAAGTCAGCGAACAGTGCCAAGGCTGATTTTGTTCTTATTCACGCTACGTCGACCATGTTGGCCTACAATGACTGGGGTGGCGCGAATCACTACCGCGGCATTGCCGACGGATACCAAAACGATGAGCCTACGCCCCTGTCAAGCACCCAGCGACCCATTGCCCGTGGTATGCTGCGTATCCCCAAGAACGCGCCCCGCGAAGCCAACGGCACCATGACTGTTGGCCACGGCGCAACCCCGCGTTATCCTTCACTGGAGTACTCATGGTATTTTCGCTACTCACGGCATTATGCTGATGCAGGATGGGCGACCTATGAGCGACCGTTTACGATCTGGGCTGAGTCTCAGGGCTATGTGATCCATCACCTTACCCAGTCTGATCTACATCAAGATCCAGACTGCCTCACAGGCTACGCGTGCGCCGTGTCGATGGGTCACGATGAGTACTGGTCCTGGGAGCAGCGAGATACGCTTGACAATTTTGTTGACCGTGGCGGTCGTTTCGCTCGCTTTGGAGGGAACTTTATCTGGCAGGTCCGCTTTGACGATGCGATGCAAACTCAGTACTGTTACCGAGTGCCGCAGGCCGATCCAATGACCAAGAAGGACCCCACAAGGGTCACAACTATGTGGGATTGGCCACCCATCGGCCGTCCAGGAGCCGGGTCCGTGGGACTAACAGGTGTCATGGGCTGCTACACTCGCTACGGCATGGCCACTCCGCGGTCCTCGGGCGGTTTCCAGGTGTATCGCCCTCAACACTGGGCTCTGGAGGGCTCAGAGCTGCGCTATGGCGACTCTTTTGGCAAGGATCCTATCAACATCGCGTCGTTTGAAGTGGACGGGTGTGACTACTCATTTAAGAAGGGGCTTCCCTACCCTACAGGTGAGGACGGTGCACCAGAGAACCTTGAGATTATCGCCATGTGTCCTGCTGTCTTTGGCGAAGTCGATGTCTCTGGAGGCAGGGAGCCTGTTGGCGGTCCCGTGGCCGATGTGTAAGTCCCTTGTTACCCCTCAATCTGCTGTAACGCTAACATGTCATCTTCTTCCCAGATTTGGGGTTCTCCAGCTCTGCTATGAAGGCCAGGAGTTGCCAGAGTACCTGAAAGATCGCGAGTATGGGTCAGGTATGGTGGCGAGCTTCACTAGAGAAGATGGAGAAGTGTTTTGTGCTGGGTCGTGCGAGTGGGTGTCGGGTCTGATCCACAAGGACGTGTTCACTGAGATCATAACACGAAATGTGCTGGATAAGTTTACGGGGCGAAAGAAGGACGAGTCTACTGAGAACAATAGAGATTAGGCATAAAAGAACACAATTTATGAGATTAGCATCTACGGTGATAAAGGAAGTGACTATTACAATCCTTCATTATATCAAAGCAAGGGTAGATATCTGCACAAAGGTTAGTTTCAGCTCCTAGGAGTCGGCAGTATTTGTGGATGCTTCACTTGTGTTGTGACAAAGCTCCTATAATTGAACCAACCTTTTTTCTCAAGATAAACTCTCTGAGTCTCGGCAGATGAGACTCGTCCTGTTAAAATCAGTGGGGTTCTATGACCTGTTGTCGTGCTTCTAACCCTGATTGCCAACCGCTTGGCTAAGTACTGATCTAGGGAGTTAGTGTGACACAGATGCTCCGACAATTGCAATCATTGCACCTACACTTATGCCTACTTTGGCGATTACCGACCCTAATTGCCGTGGCTGCATTCAGCATTAATACAAACAAGCGGCGAAGTTTCAACAGTCTCGATATCCTCGGTACTGTTGCTAGTTTCACACAGAGTGCGGGGATGACATATGTTAGATACGCACGAATACAATAGGGTGAGTGCATCAAAGTGTGGACCAGAACATGGTGATGTTATTGATTATCGACTTAATTCTTCTGAATTTTAATCAGTCTGTCAAGCAGGGGTTGGTCAGGTTCCCTGTCCTTTCCTGGATGCAAGAATGATAGTGCGATAAAGGAAAGTGGGGAATCTAACAACAGATGGCTAGACCTAGAACATGCATCTCAAGCGATTTGATATCTTGGAGCTAGAGCTCAAATAGGAAATCCTATAAGGATAGCAGGGTCAGCAGTGGCGCTAAATTCTGGAGTACACAAGATCAATGCCGGGGGCGCGTATCGGAATTCGACAGGCCGAATCACAGCTATCTGATAACAAACGGTCTACACTCAAATCATAGGAGGCGTTTGATCCAACGCTTGCAAGATACGCGTTCCAAGGTAACGACTTCCATATAATGTTATGGAATGTCCTCCTTCTTAAGCTGACCCTACAAGACTTTCTTGCCAAATATTCAGGACTCGTCCCTTGCCGACATCATGGAGCCTACTCATACCCATAGCAACACAGTTCACGGGATAGCTTTAGCTATTAAAGATCCAGTATCCAGCGTCCCTGGCACCGTCCGCCTTTTCAAAAGTACGCCCAGTCGCTCCCATCATGCCCTTAAGCGCTGTACAAGAAGTCGGGCTAATGCTTGTTCGCGTCAGATCATCTTCAACATGGGGGATTCCAAGCCGATGGAGGAGCTGTCATATTGGTTCCCGCCCCAACCACAAACGTCAATGATCCTCTCGTACGCGCAACCCCCCACCCCTGTTCGTCTAATCATAACTGAAACTATTTAATAGAATTGGTCCAAAGGAGAAAAACTCTGGGCGTCGTCTACCCTTTTGCTTTGGACTTTCCTCGCCAATGCCTGGTAAGTCAGATTCCTATGCCTCGGCTTTGTGCAAACACACTGACTGACGCGAGCTTCAAGTATCGCATGGTGCTCCCCTTCGTGGGCCATCTGGGTTGTCGACCTTAAGACCGATTTTACACAGCTCAGCTACGGACAAGCCCTCCTCGTCATGATGTGCGGTGTGGGCGTTATGTTTCTGCAACCCGTAGCCCTCAAATACGGCCGAAGACTGTCATACTTTATCGGATCTCTTTTTATTATCGCCGGTCTCGCATGCGGACTGTCAATGACGAGCATTGGACTCTACTTCGTCTATATGACACTTGGCGGCTTTGGCTCAGCCCCCTCTTACTCTACCGTTGTTACTTCGCTGCTGGACATTTCATTCCTCCACCAGAAGGGCAAGGCTTTGAGTATCTATGGCTTCATCCTCCTGTTGGGAAACTTCCTGCCGCCTCTAGCAGCTGGCTACATCGTTGATAGTCAGGGTTGGGTTTGGGTTTTTCGATATCTGCTCGTTTTCTTCGGTGTCTCGACACTCCTTGTATCATTTACAGCTGAGGAGACATCCTTTCCTCGATTAGCGAACCACGTCCAGGAGGCAGTCGCTGTGCCAAGCGAAACCGTGGCATCGAATCCAGGCCCAAAGGATAAGACACGCCACAGTCAAGTCCAGACAGCTGCCGGCCCCGGACCAACGCAGCCTGCTAATGTTGCTGAACGCTTCACCTATCTTCAGAAGATGACAATTTATCGCAATAACCCTGAGGTCAAGGCAGGCTACTGGAGACTCGTGCTATCCATGGCCAAGGTCACGGCCCTTCCTGCCGTCCTATGGGCAAGTTTCCAGCTCGCCATCTCGACTCTTGTCGTCAGTGCCGTTATGACCACCCAGGCGAGCTTCTTCTCTATTCCGCCTTACAACTTCACCCCTGCCCAGATGGGCCTCATGTATATCCCTCTCATGATCGGAAGCTTTATGGGAGTGTTTATTGGCGGTACACTGACCGACTGGCTGTTGATTCGTATGGCCCGCAAGAGTGACGGAATTCATGAACCCGAGAACAGACTGTGGGTGTACCTCCTGGTGCCACTTCTGGCAGCAGCTGGCTGCCTTCTGTACGGCGTCGGCGCCAGCGCAGGTGTCCACTGGATCCTGCCATGTATCGGACTTTTCCTCATCGGCGTCTACACTAACGTTTGCTTGCCCATCGCTCTCGGCTACGCTCTCGACTCCTATCCTGAGCTCGAGGACGAGATTGTGCAGCTGTCCAACTTTGTGCGCAACGTCGGTGGCGGCGCGCTCACCTTTTGTATCCAGCCATGGATCAACGCCAGTGGGCCACGAGATACTATTATATACCTGGTTGTTATCATCTTCGTGGTGCATGCAACCTCGATCTTTTTTCAGTTCTGGGGAAAGGCTCTGCGTAGGAGGAGCGCGTCTATATATTACAGGATTTGCCAACAATGTATTATGCTGTAGCAAAGTCCCGAATGGGGATTATAAACAAGTCATTCAATTTATTATATTGTTGAATATTATGCGCAGATTAAACGTGTAATAGGTTGCGCTTTGCAATACATTTTAATATTGTATCTACTAAGAGATCCTTTAAGCAAATCGCATTACTTAGATAACTATATATGTATTTAAAATCTTGGCATTAACCGCATTCAGTAAAAATATTCTCTTGTCTGTTAACTAGAAGCCCTTCACCACGGCTAGAATTTCCGATACTAAGCACTGGCTGGCCCATTTTACTTCGGATCGGTTCTGTGTTCCGATATTATCTCAACGCGGGGTAATGTTTATACATCGCTTGATGATAAGGGAACTATCTTCCGCTATTTGAGAACCTCTCAGACTCCCAACTTCTATAAGCCGAATTGAACGAGGTTGATAAAACATATCAAGCAAAGGGCAACGCGCCAACACCAGCCTAAATCTAACAGCTAGCTCAATATCTGAGCTAGAAACCTCATTCGCCATACCCATGGCACGAATCACCATCGTTGGAGCTGGGTAGACAGTCCTGTACTCTTGATGTTTAAAGACGCGAAAGGCTGATACGTCGAATGTCAGGATTGTTGGTCTGGCTATAGCGGCACAGCTCTCTCGAATCCACGACATCACTGTCATCGCTAAAAACCTTCCTGGCGATGATCCGACCCTTGAATGGGCTAGTCCTTGGGCAGGTGCTAATTTTGTAGCAGGCTACTGCAGTTCACCGCGCGACAGGAAGATGCAACGTGATACTTTCATCGAGCTCTGGAGGTTGGCCAACCGATTTCCAGAGTCCAGTGTTAAAAGGATTTCGATGGAAGAGTTCTTCGACGAAGAGCGGACAGAAGATGACCTTTGGTTCAAGGACTTTGTGCCAGACGTACGCAATTTTGAAAAAAAGGTGGACAGCCACCAATACTAACTGGGACCCTAGTTCCGCTTACTTGAAAAAGATGAGTTGCCGGAAGGAGCAAAGGGTGGAATTACTTGTACGTCTGTCTTGAGGGGCTCAATGCATTGACTGACCAATTGCAGACACAACTATCGTGCTCAACCCAAACGTCTTTCTCCCTTGGATGCTGAGTACTCTTGAGAGATCAGGCATCAGGTTCAAGAGGCTTGATCTCCATGCATTATCGGATGCGCGCCACCTCGGCCACGATGTTCTTATCAACGCAACTGGCCTGGGACCTAGGCGTCTGGTTGATGTTCAGGATCCGGATATGCTGTTCCTGAAGGGACAAATTATTCTGGTAAAGAGTGATTACAAGAAGTGTTTTATGCGTGACGATGGAAAGGACTACACATATGTCATTCCTCGACTTGACGGGACGGTGATTATGGGAGGTATTAGGGACCCAGATATCAGGTATTTCAAGATACACGTTCCTACCTTTAACACCACTAATTGCCACTTCACAAACAGCAATACGAGAGTAGACCTGGAAATCGATCAGGACGTGAGTCAGATTCTCACTTACAGTGGCATTGAGTCCTGACGTATTTCAGATTATTAAGAGAGTTAATAAAAGCCTACCTGCACACTTCTCTTCAGACCCAGCTGACTACGACGTCATTGGGCATAATGTTGGTATTCGCCCCTACAGATCAACGGGAATGCGCATTGAGAAAGAGATTAAAGACGGCCAAAATATCGTTCACGCTTATGGCAAGTCGTATGTATCCACATAATAATGCAGCATTACAAGCTAATATGGATCAGGAATTACCGGAGGGGGATATATCTTCGGATTCGGTGTAGCAGGAGAGGTTGTTAAGCTTGTTGATGAGGTTTTGTATCCTGCTGGTAAAGCTCATCTGTGAGCTTAGAATTAGGAGGTTATGCCAACTGTATTATTTGCAGTTGAGACTTGTGGCTGAGAGCTTATATCAGCATATAAAACTGAGTTATTATCCCAATAGTCTCAAAAGCTTAAGCTTCATGCATTTCCTATAACATTTATTACATCTTCTTCTCTGCCATCCCTAGACTTTAGCAAATTGCATGCACTTTGCTGGGGCCTTGCAAGCACAAGCTTAAACAACCATTCTCAACTTAAGTTTATCCTCTTTAACAATCTCATCCTTCTTGGCAATAAGCTCCTCCATATCCCACGGGCAACTCATATATCGTCCGCCAAGCCACTCCCTGCGCTCAGAAGCCAACCAAGCAATTGTATCACCAGCGACATCTGGTCGATGAGGAAGTGCATTCCTAACTGCATCAGGCGCTCCTTCAGTGATCTTTGTTTTGATCGCTCCAGGGTTCACACAAAACGCCAAAAGACCTTGCTCGCCATATTCAACTTGCAGTGACTCAGTCCATCGTAACACTGCAAGTTTGGAGGTTCGATAACTTCCGCTTCCAGGACGAACGCTCAAAGCGCCTGATGACGATACGTTGATCATGATGCAAGAGCCATTGGACTCTGAATGACTCGACAGTTGGAGCGGGAGGAATACGCGGGCCATGTTGAAAAGGCCATGAATGTTTACTTCCCATGTTCGCCAGTAGGTGTCTGGATCGGACTCGAGGAAAGGCTTATATGGTTCCATATATGCCGCGTTATTGACAAGAATGTCTAATCGTCCATTGAACTGTCCGAATATGGACTCATACATTGCTTTGACACTTTCCTGGCTTGCAATGTCAACTTTGTAGCCCAGCACCAGAGGTTCTTTCCGATTGGCAAGGCTCGCGGCTGACTTCAACTTCGTAATGATGTTATCAGATATGCCGTGTATATCACAACATGCTATGAAAGATGCTCCAGCACGTGCAAAAGCTCTAGCAGTAGCAAATCCCACTCCATCTTCATGTGCTGCACCAGTGATGAGGACGTGGTGACCGATGAGGTCCAGTTTCAAAGGTGAGATGTAGTCGTAAGATGTTGCGTGGTGGGTCACTATGAAGTCAGTGCCGACGGGACGATTCTTTACGGTTGACATGATCGAATAGCATTTGCAGGTAAATATTTGAAGATGAGGTGATCGGGGATATGTAACTTGGAAGGCGCGGTATTTTTATAACTGAACATATGCACCAGGTGAAAAGTGGAGGTCGGATGATATAGGGTAATTGATATCTCGGCCTTTAATGACCCGATACCCGATGCCCGAAAGGATCATGTACCCAGTAAAGCTAGAAAAATCAGATGTATAAGCAAATTATCAGAGGATGAGTTATCATATCAATTTTTATAGGAACTATAACTAGAGACTACAACCCGGAAGCGAGTGCCCCTAGAACCATATCATATAGACGAATTTTTAACATACTCCATGGCAGATGAAAGTGTTGGCTTGTTACGGTCTATAATCGGAGCAAGGGTTGCAACAGTAACATGAGGCCATTTGATTCCATTGAAATCAAGCATGACCATTTGAGAGTACTGAATCTGGGTATACGCGACAGTGACAGTCTTCTTGCATGACGGAATCTCAACCTCTTTGTCGATGTAGAACTCTGGCACGGCATCTCTAGGGCCTTGAGAAGCAGGAGAAACCTTTTGCCCGACGCGCATAGAAGGATCAAGCTCGACTTCAGCACGGATCTTGGAGACCCAGTACTGAGCCGTCACGTCGACAGCGTTAGCATTGCCACTTTTCTTCTCGCGCGAAGCGCCTGTCTTTTTGCCCTCATCAGAGCCGATGTTGAAACCGATATTTGATGTTCCACCGCCAAAGGCACCGGGAGGAGCATTAGTCGAAACGATAAACATGGAGTTCTCGATAATATCCTTGCCTTCATTGGCCTGTCTCAGGATAGTGTTTGGATCATCGATGATCTTCTGTGTGATAGTTCCATTGGCAATGAATGGGCTTAGATCTTGGGGAAGGCGACGAGTAGCGTCTTTGTCGGCGTCTTGGTTGTCGAATCGTTTCTTTTCCAGTTCAGTCGCAGTTTTGTGAGGCTCGTTGATGGGAGGAATTTCAACTTGCTCGATCAGGAGTGGAGTGATGTCGGTGGGATCAATATCGGGGGCGCCTTTGGAAGTAATAGCATGCCGAAACCCTTGAGCATTAATAGTTGTGCCATGTGGAATGGAACCCATGCGGCAGAAAGAGGCTGCAAGTTCCGGCATGTCCTCTACCTGAGGCACGCGCATCCAGAGTCCAGGCTCGAAGTGGAGGTTAGGTGGCTTTTTAGGGACTGTCCCATCTGGATTCGGCATTGCATCGACAATAGACTGCGTGTATGGCAGACCAATGAGGTCAATGTCGGCCTGATCAAACAAACCACGATTGGGCACATCCTTAAGTAGCTCGCCGAACACTTGAGTTTCACCAGTCAGGTTGAGTTGCAGTAGATTGCTGGTGCTTGGGTCGGTTGGAGTTTTGGGGAATTGGGTTATAGTCTTTGGATTTCGGCTCAAAGGCCTAAAGATGGTGTTGAAGCCAAAGCCCTTAAAGGTGCCTGTAAACTTTTCCAAGACATCTAGGGGAGGAGGGGGAGGTATCTTGAGCCCAGTGCCATTCTCATCAGTGACGTCTGAGTAACTACCATTCTTGGAAGTTTCGTCATACTCTTGAAGAGTCGGCTGAAGAACAGTCGGTCCATAGTTGAAGCTTTCTGAGACCTTGATACTGACAACGGGAACATCAGGGGCAAGGTCCTCGAGAGAAATGTCCATGATTGTAGATGAAGAGAAAGCAAGCAGGTATTGACGGAGCTTAGTTGAAATAGTAGCTTGTTGAGGAGTGAATTATATGGGACTTAATTGGCTTTTTATCTTCGAATGTTTGCAGGCACGACGTACTTTTCGTTGGCCATTATTAATTGCATTCCTACTTCGAGCAAGTTGAACATTCCTGGACAACAGTGGCCTATGGAATCCAGGTGTTTAGTCTTACCTCCTTCGTCAAGAATTAGGTCCAGAGCACACTCTTACGACTTGTGGCTGGCTGATGCAGCAAGCTGAAAATACAATAGGAAACCTGTCTTGGAAACGTTCACTGCTTGGCTCCTGGCCCAGGCCGAGAATCCAAACATGTTCAAACATAAGGCTCCGGGGTTATGCGAGAGAATGGAAATGTTTCAGAACCCCGCAGTTGTAATCACCTGTAGATTCTCTGGCACAAGCCTTGAATACCATTTTCACAATCTGCCTGAGTCATGTTCCCCTGGCTTAAGAGGAATATCTTAAATATATTCCCCTGTAAATTTGAAGCCGCGATGTTGACTGCTCTCGGTGAAAGCAAGTTCTAAGAACCTCAAAAGAGCTTGAGAGTTTCAGAGACGTTACCCCGGAGTGTTGTTCGTTAGCCGCCGGGAGTGAGACATTGCCAATCAAATGTGGGCCATCCTGGGGCCAGACTCTTTTCCAGCACATCAGCCGCAAGAATAACCACCAAATGCCGCTTGGCATATGCAACAGCTCTGCGCTGTCGTGTGGCAGCATAGCGGGGTACAGACGGTGGACTCTCACCTTACCGTAGTAGAAATTTCAGCCGTCTCTTTCAACGCCATGTTTGTGACTTTTAAGACTAGTCACGTCTCCTTGCAGAAAACGCCTAGAAAGCAATATCGATATATATGTCTCATATCATGCATTGTGACTGCTTCTCTGATTGGCCCTTTTTCGGTAAAATCTGCAGGCTACACAAAGTTGTGCACATATCACAAATATCAAGCATGTTATTGGCTAAAATCCAAAAGCTGTGCAGCTCTATTGAGCGCGCAGTTTAAGGCATGATCTATGAGAATTGAATACGTGGCCCAGGTAGACCTTGTTTCATAGCATTTATCCTATTCAGCCAGCCACATAAGCAGAATGGTCACACTTTGAGTCCTCTAATAAGCATAAAGTTTCAGCCACCATTGACGCGTTGCCATGAGAGGTATCTGAGTTATGAGATATGGTAATTCTTGATGAGCGGTGTGAAGAAACCCAGGCTCCCTACGTTGAGTTCAGCCAGCCACCTTTACATCGAAGAGTGCCTCCGAGGAGGAGTGCCCTATGAGAGGCAGCTTCCTTCCATCTTCCCGGCAATCCACTCCGAAGAGGGCAGGAATGCCGCTATTATGTTTGAAGTCAGCCAGTCATTGTTGATCAAGAGAACAGCCCTTAAGAATATGCAACAGCTCTTTTGATAGAAGAATGCAGTCGTTAGAAAGGGGAAGGTCTGTCGAAACTTGGTGAGACTCAGGTATCCACGTTCGCGCTGTTTTCGAGACATGCGTTGAATGCGGCTGGACAAGCCGCTAAGGGGAAATGTGCGTAGATGTCAAAGCGTAATTCCTTCCGTATCGGTAAAGCTGGTGGAGATTTATAAAAGATAGATCCTGTGCTGAAGGGTCAACCCAACATTCCTTATAGCAATCAGTTCACATCTTTCAGCTTGGTAACAAACATTCAACTCTCAATCATGGCTTCGCAAGGCACCTTTACGGAAGTCCATCAATTCACAAAGTCCTACAAGCATATGTGGGCTCGTGATGTCGCCCAGGCGAGTATGGATTACGACCTCAAGGGTGTTATCGAACGCTTGAGGGCGTCTCTTCCTGCTAAAATCGGCGAGAAGGATAGCATAGGTTCACTGCGAGAAAAGACCAAGAAGTTCACCGGTCCAGGCTATATCCCTGAGGAGGAGGGTAAGATTAGCGTGGGCATTGTTGGCGCCGGTGTCGCTGGCTTGTTCGCTGCACTGCTCTTTGACTGGCTCAACGGTCATGAAGAACTCAAGGGCAAAGGTCTGAAGATCACCTACGACATCCTTGAAGCTGCTGGTGCGGAAAGACTTGGTGGACGTCTATACACCCATCACTTCTCTGATGAAGAGCACGACTACTACGATGTCGGTGCTATGCGCTTCCCCAACAACACTATCATGAAGAGGTAAACTAGACTAATGACGCAAACTTGGAAGTCTTTTGCTGATATGTTCCCAAGAACATTCCAGCTGTTCCATTACATCGGAATAACCCAGGAAAGCAAGCCGGGCCTGATCCCTTATTACCTAAAGGACGAGCTTGATGAATGTCCTGCCTACATCAACGACATAACGACAAGAGGTAATGTTTGGGACCCCAAGAAAAAATCGAATGATCCGTATAAGGTCAATGAGGGCCTCCCTGCGAACGGCCAGATCCCGCCTGAGTATGACGCCTGAGAAACATGCAGCCACGGACCACTTCTGATCGCTTTATAGTCTTCTTAAGACCAACCCCAGCGATCTAGTCAGCGCAGCCCTAAAGGTCTTCACAGACGTTGCCAAAGAGAAGTTTAAGGCGGCAATTGCAGAGGAGAAAGAGGAGGAGAAGCAACCATTCAAGAGTGCCGGCAAAGATGAGAAACGTGGGGTGAGAGGGCCAGCATCTCAAGAATTATGGGATCTTCTCATGAGGGCCGATCATATGAGCGTTCGACAATTCCTTGGCTCGTAAGTATCCATTGCCTTTGCAAGACGATTCGAGAACGGATAGAGACTGACTTGAGTACATAGAGGCCAACAGAAAGAGGTTGGAAAAGGACCCAAGCTTCCAGTTGATGACTTCCCCAAGGGCCCTGGATACAACTACAACACTATCGAGTATCTTGAGACGATGACTTAGTAAGTCTTATATCAAAGCTTCACTTCGCAATAACTCACTCTTGGTAGCGGTACAGGTTGGTATGACCAATCCCTCACAGAATGTGTCCTTGAAGAGCTCGATTTCCACACCCCCGACATGGACGACGACCCAGCTACTAAGAACATTCAGTACTGGTGGTGCATCGATGGCGGCGCTCAAGAGATCGCCAAGCGAATGGCTATGAAGATCAAGAAGCGCATTGAATACAACACCAAGGTTCAATCAATCGATGCTCAAGTTCCGCTTCGTCGGGAGCGCAAAGCCGGCAAGTATACCGCAATGAAGATTAAAACCACTAGAACAGATTCCAAGACCAAGAAGGTCGAGACTAAAGACAGGGAGTACTTTGCTATCTTCAATAGCACCACCCTCGGCGCCCTTCAGCGTATGGAGCTTTCCGATGCTGGTTTATCCTGGGGTACTAAGCAGGCCATCCGAGCTCTTGGGTATGGTGCCTCTGCCAAAGTCGGCATGAAATTCCGCACTGCATGGTGGCAAACGGATCCATTCAACATTGCCAAGGGTGGTGTATCCCGAACAGACTTGCCCCTCCGTGTCTGTGTTTACCCATCGTACAACATCGAATCAAACGAGGGTGAGGACAAGTGGGATCCTGAGAAGCCGGCTGTGCTTCTGTGCTCGTATACTTGGGGTCAAGATGCCCAGCGTATTGGCTCCCTCTGTTCCAACAACACAACACAGGACGACGCAGAGCTCAAGCGGCTCATCATCCACGACCTTGCGCGGCTTCATGCTCGAAGAGAACGTCCGTTTGAGGAAATGGTTAAATTTCTTGAAGTGCAATACATTGACCACCACGGCTACGACTGGTACAGAGACCAAAACATGTCAGGAGCATTCGCGTATTTTGGCCCCGGGCAGTTCTCTAATATGTGGCAAGAAATCATCAAGCCTAATGCACTGGGCCAACTGTATCTTGTCGGAGAAGCAGCCTCATCCCACCATGCATGGATCGTGGGTGCACTGGAAAGCGTCATCCGAGCGGTGTACGTCATGTTCCAGGGTCTCCAGAACGGCAACGAGAAGTTTGAGGCATACGATATCGTCCTGAAACTGCTCAGAACTGGGCCTGATAATGGCAAGAATGTCAGCGAGCCTTTGAAGGACGGCGACATGCCCACGGGCTTGCCTTTCCATCCTCTACCGGAGGAGATGCCTACAAGACAGTTCTACACGACTAAGGACAAGGATTTGACTGCCAGCCCTGAGAAGGAGGCTAACGAGGAAGGTGTTGACATGACCTACGGTGCTGCGTTGGCTGTTTTGAGCTTGATTGAGAGTTTCTATGAATTGGGAGTGGATAGGAATGACACGTATTAAGCTTAATAGATGTATGTATTCCGATACTAAGAGTTTGATATGATAGCCTGCTTGACGAGTATCTTTATAAATTTCTATATCTTTTTGCAAATTGGAAAATAGTTGAAACGCTACTAGAGTCTCTGTTGCGATTGCCTGGTTAAACATATCCACATGAAAAGGAGTGCAAATGGCAAGGGTTTAATGAGCTTCGTTTCACATTCAGCGTCGGATTCAGCGGCTGACAGTGGGCACGGTCGCTAAACGGTCTGAAAATGACAAAGTAACCCCATCGCGTTACGTCAGCGGTTCCAGTGTTTTTATAAAGACCAAGTTCATACACGTGTAATCTTTGCAGTCGTCAAATAAAACCTCAATTGCATGTTTAACCACCATGGCCAACTCTAGATCTTCTCAGTTTCCTCCCTACGAGGGTACAGAAATCATCAGCTTGCAACTCTCGAATTCTAGCAATCATGCATCGCTCTCGGATCAGAATACCGAGGTCGGCAAGATATGGGCGGCGACGCTAAAGACGTATCTCGACCATCCAGAAACGGGCATCGTCTGGTGGGGGATTGTGCATAACGCCCCGACCAAAGCTAAGCTGTTTATCGGTAGGTACAGTAAAACGGCTCAGATAAGAACCGTGCTAACGAGAATGTCTCGAAGATTGGAAGAGCTTAGCTGGTCGGGGTCAATTCGAGGCTAGCCAACAAGCAACAGAGCTCGCCAGCGCCTGGAAATCCATCACTGTAGCGCCAGCCACTAGAGACACATACACCTTCACCTCCAGCGATGTCGCTAGACAAACGGCTTTATCCAGCACCTACGACACAGTCACAGCTCTCTTGAATTTCCGATTCGCCAATGCGCTCACTTCCAGCGAATTTCAGCAATTGGACGCCGTACTCCAGGAACTAGATCGCACCATCATGCTAAGCCCAGGTGCTGTCGTCGCCAGCTACTCAATTGGAGGATGGAGCTCAGACCGCAGATCATACTGCGCGGCATACCGCTACCTAAATGCTGATGCTCTGAGGAATTTTATCCAGGGCGACAACAGGGTTAGAGAGTTATTGCAAGTATTGCAGTCTCGCGCTTCAGGCGGTATGGAACTTGAGTTTCTGGAAACACGAGTCTACAAGCAAGGCTGGCAAGGGTCTGTTACCAAGACAGAGCCTGATAACCAGACTTTATCGGGGTTTATGGCCGAGACGCAGGCTTTGTTTCAGAGTTTTGACTCGGTTGGGATCCGAGGAATATAGTGGCCTTCGAACAAGGCTGGTTTTGTGCATTGTGAGGAAACTCGGCACGGCTCCGGGCTCGGAGCATCGTTCCGATCCTGAATAGATCGCATGTCCCTCCAGGAGGGACGGATCACGGCAGCCGAAGCTTGTTAATAATAAATTGTCTTAGAATAAAGATTTCAATCAAGCACTGTTTCTTGTAATATACTCTGAGTCATTTACAATCACATATAACTATTTTTGCTGAGATTGGTGACTGCGAATTCACGATAGGAAGGACGGCTTATCATTGGTGAGACGTTGAGGCTAGCTCCTCATCACCCACTTCGCGCGCCTCGTAGGTTGAAGGGCGCATCGCAAGCCAATGAGTCACTACGCTCCGATAAAGTATTTATAAGCATAAATCCTGTTTCAATACTTTTGTTCTCTTTGACTATCTACCTTTTCATCTGCGTCAAGCTCAGCACAGGTCGAGCCCATCATGACGTCTCTTAGAACAAAGTTCCAGTCGCAATCTTGGCAAAAAGATCAATTCGTCATCTCAACAGACCCCAACCTATTTCCCATATCTCAACTCTCTGACATCTTCAACTCGAGCGAGTTCTACTGGGCTAGCGCACTATCACCCGAAGCCTTCAAAGAGGCACTTCACAACTCCCTGTCCTTCGGGATCTACGACTCGGCTCAATCACCCAGCCCAGAATCGCCAGGCAAACTGATCGGCCTCGCTCGGTTGGTGACAGACTTTGTTACTTTTGCGTATCTTACAGATGTATGGGTTGATCCGACATACCAAGGCAAGGGTTTGGGGAGCTGGCTTGTTCGTTGTATCCAAGTAACACTGGACGAGATGCCGGATCTGCGACGAGCGATGTTGCTCACGGGAGATTGGGAGAGGTCTGTGCCATTCTATGAGAGGCTGTTGGGTATGAGCTTGGTTGAACCGAAGAGGGGTGAAGGACTTGCTGTTATGGAGAGTAAGGGAAGAGGTCATCCAACTTATGGAAAGACAGGTCTAGGGTATGACTGAGTGTGAGTCTTTAATGTTATGTGTGTACTGCATCTGTAACTAATATTTATCTGAGAGGGTTTAGAAACTGGAGTACTCACAGCTTCTCATTCTCGAAATTCCATATAGAAAAGTATTGTATTATTCTGAAAAACATTAGCAAGTGTTAGGAATTAGTTTGTTGCTAGACTTCATTAAGCAGATATGAACTCCGTTAACTTGTTAGTAATTACAATAGCGAGGATCTATATGTAAAGGCCACTGCTCTCTGAACTTTCTGTGTCACCATCAAAGGCTGCGGCTTAGGAATTACATGCATACCTGAACTCGTCCTTCTCCCTTTGTTGCCACCGAGTTAACTCAAAGGGCGTGAATGAAGTCTTCGGCACCAAAAGTAACAGGGATTCGAGATCAGGATAACAAGTTCTCTAACGGATGCCCCATCTGTGAATAACACGCAACTAGCCTACGTATCAACATGCCAAAGCCTCTGAAACGATGCAACCTGGCTATTGACCTGCGCCTTCAACTCCTGTATCAACTTCTGGTCCTCAGTTCCTTCATTCCGATATTCTGCACTTGACTTCGGTCCCGAATTCGCTTGCAGATAACCGTCGACCACGCGGCATTGTCGCACCAATAAGTAAGAACAGAACTGTACCACCATTGCCAACCGGGGATCTTCGAGTCCTGACGCTGTGGTTTCTGGGACGGCGCGACGTTCGGCGTCGGCGCCATCCTGCAAGGCGCCCAATACGGCTCCGAAGCTGCTAAGCAACAGCATATGACATGCAACCACTAGATGTTGCGCTACACTGTTGTCGCATACAGCCTTGTTGGTTCGGGTTCCGAGTTCCTCTCCAAGGGCCAGGGTCGCTTTTGTGAGTTTAGATGAGAATGATAGCATCTCAACCAGAAGCCCCTCATTGGCCGACTCATTTGTCCACTCATCGTCAGTGTCCCCCAAAGGGTTCAAAAGCCATCGTGCAACGACGTTGAAGACAGCGTTATTGAGAAATATCGCGGGCACAGGGCCGTCAACATGTCTCAGGTTTTGAGATAACTCCCAGTTCTCAAAGAGCTCATGGCTCTTGTTAGATAGAGCATGAAGTCTGGAGACGAGCTGAGCAAGACTTAACATGGCGGTGTCGGGATTGTAAGGTGGTTGGCTTGCCAATTGCTGCGTCATGCACAAATGAGGGTCTTGTTGGGCCCCGAGCATGCATAGATCTAACAGAGAGTCGTGAAGGCCCAGCTGCATGTCGATTGGGGTGCTGGACGCCAAGTTTGACAAATCGATGGGCTGATATTGCGCATGCATAGCGTCCCAAGAGCAGACGCCTAGTTGCGACGCGTGATCTGACAATGTTTCGGGCATCAGTTCAAGATACGGCCCCGAAGCCAGGATAGGGTCCGACCCAAGTTGGCATGGACCCATGGTTCCAGAGGCATGACGCGGGGCTGATAGCTGACAACTGTATGTCAATCTAGATTCCTGGATACTCGTATTGCCGTCCTCCTCGGGCGTAAGCGGTAGCACGACCGTTTCCCTGCGTAGTCTTGAAGGCGCAAGCAATGTCTCACCCTTGTAGTGGTGCAAACTTGGGCGACCCTTGGGCCGACTGAGACTGTACACGCACTGAGTACCATGTCGAAAGCAACGACTGCAAGCTCCTGTTTTGCTTCCCCCACGAGGAGTGCACCTTAGCTTTTGACTATGGCATCTGTCACATGACTGACGGTGTGAATGTTCGGTCGCAGGCGTAATCGCAGGACTCAGCGTGGCAGGGGGGAATGATAGATCAATTGGACTTGCCCGTGATGCCATTCTGGCTTGGTGGCGACTCTTGGTTACTAATGTGACGAAAGGCTTTGAAGGGTAGGGGATGTAAGAAAGATATATTGAAAGCTCTTTCTGAGAACTAAATATTCTTGGAGAATTTGTATGCAAACCTGCTTAAAGTTTATCCTTCATAGGCTAGCATGTATGTGATAGCATGTCAGAATGTAAGATCCCATTGCGTGTTCGTTATCAAACCCTGAATGCAGATAAGCAGCCACTCCCCCACCACAATCATCGTTTAGTCCACTTATCATAATCTGTATAGCTATATGTTCTAGACACAAGAGCAAGGCTGAGCTGCTGTCTGACTTCCGATCTTGTGTATCCTGTCGTGCTTCAGATGGTGCACATAAGGGATTAAGCTTTCCTGATATAGGGATTGTAGGTATTGCATATTCTTGTAAGTCTGAGAGAATAACGATATAAGGGGAAAGAATGGATTGTGTAATAAAGAACATTATGCGTCTTACAGCCCGCAACGCAAGACGGAGGCCAAGGTTTTCATCGTATATTCCTAGATAACAGATATCTATCTCCTAGGCTTGGAATACCGTAGTTCCTACAAATGACACGACATCCCAGGCTTGGGATAAAATGCAGAAAGATCCCTATTATTCCTTTAAAGTAAGCATAGGCCTGAGCCATAGACAGAATGGGGGAACCAGATAACGCCGGGGTCGAGGCTTATAATAAGCTTATCTCGTGATCTAGGCTTTTTGTCTCTGCGTTTTACTCTATAAGTAATAAGTTATATCGATTTCTAGGAGAATAAACTAAAGATTATATTAGTTTCTAATATAATATATTATTTCTTTTATAATACTTAAAATTATCTTTAGAATATTACTTTTTTTATGTACTCCTAATCTTATAAAAATACTAGCTGTCAAATTATATTTAATACTTAAAAATAAAAATACTTTTAAACTACTTTAACCTCTTTAAGTAGTCTTTCCTACCTAGGTATCTCTATAAGGTAAGGCAGATTAGGTATATGTAGTTGGTTTGTACATTATTGCTCCTACACTTTATTAATAATACTTAGTTAACATACGTGGTTGGTTGGTTACTTGTTGGTGCAAACCTTTACCTTATGAGCTTTGCTACTCTTGGCATTGGCCTTTGTCCCCTGTATCCCATGTATTGCTTCAAAACGGGCTCTTTCGTACCGAACACTGAGCGGCTCGCCTTGGTACGTCATCTCCCTATCCTCGATAACAGAGACTGGGACCCAGGAAATAGCGTATTGAGACATTAATGAGTACGTGGAATGGAGTTTCGTGAGTGGCCTAGTGCCTGAAGATGTGATGAACAGGCTTCTCAAAGCTTGATACTTAATGCAGATGAGATTTTTCAACTTAGAAAACCATTATGCGATGGGTATATGAATAATGCTGATTATATCTCGCGCAGACCGTAGATTGGGGAAGGATGCTTCTCAGAGGGGCCCTTGTCCATCTAAATACAAGCGTGCGACTTAGCCACTGCTCTCCATAAGCAATGTCCTGAGGGCAGCGTAACATGGGGAAGTCCCTGGAGACCAGCGGAACATATCGAATCAGACAGATTCCTTACGTTTATCATAGCATAATTGAATCAGATTATTTACTGCCGATATCTAGGGGATCAGGAGATTGTTCACTGTCATTTAGAATTGCAGTCGCTTTGGAGTCCAGACTTCATATGATATCATGGCATTTGCCGCATCGGCTTGATATGTCGGCGCCAGGACAGGTTTGGACTGGCTCCTTGGCGGGGGAATTGGGGGTCGGGTTTAAGTTGTGACTACCAAAGTCCAGAACACGCAGGGGTTTCCACGAGTCCATTATCTCTTGTATGGGAGAGTGAACCATCATCCGCATTCACCGAAGCGTCTCCATTCTCAGAAGCATTTGGACTGGCTACGCTATCGGTTTCCGATAACTTACAACCTTCTGATCCTGTCCAGTTGCTCTCGGGCCGAGTACTTCTCAACAAGTTGTTGATACGACCGAGCCCACCGCACAAACTCAAGAAAGCCTTCCCGTGCCCAATCAAGGCCATCCAGATGAGCCAGTGAGCTCTGGTGCTTTGGACCCTTCGCATACAGAAGTCCTTCGGCCGAAGGCGAACCCGTCAAGGGGGAGGAGGTGTGGAAAGAATGCCGAAAGAGGTCAGTTACTTCCAGTCACTAAAGATCAGCAAAGGAGAGGGAGAAGAGGAAGGACCAGTTTGGACAAGGAGAAGAGAGTAGATGAAAGGATTAAGCTGGAATGACATCGTCGAGCTGCCGCCAAATGTCGTGACCGCAAACGAGATCGTGGACAGGCTGACGTGGCCTGATGACTCTTCAGGTGGTGGTGAGAAACATGAAATAGCGACTTTGACAAATATTAATAGTTGTAAAGGAACAACAATCATTCAAGAACAATCTTAGAGATCATACCTGCGACTAAAATAGCACGGCACAAACACGCTGCTCAATCCATCAAAGCAGTGAAGGGATTTAATTGCTACCTTGACCCAGTAGTTTGACGTGACAAGACGCCGTGTAGGCTGCATGCAAAACAAATTACTGATTTCTTACACATACCCTATACGCCACTTCTGCACTAAATCTACCAAATCAATCCCTTCTGCGCGGGGTCGCGGCAAGGCAGGGGATATGACAAGGTAAATAAGCAAGCTTTTCACTGTGCCCCATCAGTTCAAATGAATGGGCTGCGTGACGACGAATAAGCTTGCTACTGCTGCATGCATGCATGCTAGTTCAGCGACGTTAGGGTGAATTAACGGTATGACTTTTCAAATATTCACTGACTTTTTAATGGGACTACTATGATACAGTCCAATATTCTAGGACTCTTCCGATCTGCTGATGGCGTGATCTTCTCAATACAATGTAACATGATTTGAGAGCTGGAAAAAGATGCATGAGGGCTAGTACGGACAGTCAAGTCATGATGTCGTCACAAGCTCAAGATGGCAGAAATTGTGTGGAGATGGCGGTTTAGTGAACGCCATCATGTCATTGTAATGGATACCCCAACCTGACGGAGATTTCGTCATACCGTCGACGTCAATTATAATGGTGCATTGAATTCCTGGAATTGCATGTAGTATGCATAGTCTAGAACTCGGCGGAGGGGGGCTAGGCACTTGGATGAATTGAGCTTTTCGAACAAGTTCAAGCCACAACAATGCGAAAGGTGAAGTGAGGTTATACCAGAGGAGTTATAACCGACAGGATCACATGCTTATGTGGAGTCATTCGACAGAGAAGGAAAAGGGGAGAGATAAGCAAAAACCCCTAATCAGCCACAAAGACTCGATTGCCATTATTGTGTTGCCGATCCGAATAGGGCAAACATAACACCGGCGACTCCCAAATGGTGCCCACCGTATCTAGAATATCGCATGATGATTCTCCGTTCGTAACCGACATAACCAAATCTTTTCAAGATGCCACTAAGTTCTGTATGGTGATATAAGCTCTTAGCCACAGGCCTGAACTCCAAATAGCACTAGATTGTTCTGGCCAGTTGCTACAGCATAAATGCTGATAGAGAATGCCGAGATAATGTAGGTTTGTCGGGATTCGGGTTTGTGATGTTACATATAACCATACAGCTGTGCAACAAAATGTTTCTGCCATTGTTCCAGGCTCATGCTGTGAACTTTAGTACACTCGTACTAACTCGTTCTAGCCAATCAACCTTTCAGTCTCAATAATGCCTGCTCATCTCATCGCTGTTGACCTTGGTGACATTTCCTGGGATAGACGAGGCAGCGGACTTGAGGTATGTAGTCACAGCCCGACAATTTACTGCCCTTCGTAGTTAGGTAAAGTTTAAATTCGCCTCCAGCATTCTTATATCCCCCTTGTGATCATGACCAAAGCTCAGTTGCAACTTGAGACCAGGTTTAATCGTTCAATACTGACTTCTTGCAGTCACCTTCTGCGGGCCATCTTTTGGATCCGGTCATGCAAGGCGGCGAACATTTGGTCCAGACTGAAGACTTGTTACTTGACGACGCATTGTGGGGAATTGACGGATACCATCTAGCCCTCTCGACTCCAAACTTATTATTGTCCGACTCCTCTAGCGCAGGTCCGTTGCCGTTGGATCCAACGATGATCCGTATAGGAACCTGTGACTCTGGCCTGTTCACCCTCAGTCCAAGCATTCCGGTAAGACCCGAGTCCTCCGAGTCCGGATGGTTCAGCATGGATCCAGACAAAGGTCTCAGTCAAGAATTTGGAACGAAGGGTCCAATAGCCACTACCGTTAGTTTGCAGACAGACAGCTTAGAAGATGTCCCAAAGGCCTCTTCTCCAGCAGTAAAAATGCGTTCAGCTTCTCGTAAGCCCAAGACGTTGCGAGGAAAACCATCGATACCGGCCAATATCGAACTAGCTCGCGAGTCACTCAACAACGTGGAAAGGGATTACCGCACACGGCTCAAGTTTCGTTTCGAAAAATTGCTCAGGGCAGTTCAGGAATCTATGCTCAAGAGTGAAACTAAGGACGAGGATGGCTCGGTGAGAGATGATTACCACTTCAGCAGAGGTGAGGTGTTGGATGCTGCGAGACAGCGCATTCTGGAATTGGAAGAAGAAAAGAGGAGATTGACAACTCGGGTGGAAATACTGAGCCACAATCTTATGGTCAACAGAAGAAGGCCAACCGTGGCCAAGGTGTAATACTTAAGAGGAGGAGGTTGGGGGGGCATGTTATATAATAAGATTGAGCATCTGGAGTTAAGCCGTGACACATAAACAAGGCACACCTCAGGGTTATAATAAATGTAATGTTATATTATCTTCAACTTAAAAGAAAATATTGGCAATAGTTTCAGTTTGTTTGTGCCTTGTGATAAGTTGTTTAATTGGTACCTGGCTGCTACAGCGCTGGAACGGACTAGCGGGTGGAAGCGGTGATGTTGTGGACCTTTCCATGTACACAATGGTTCAATACTCCTAGACTGACGTCAGATAAGATTCTATGATATAAAGAATGAATTACACTAATAGATGCGTTGAAGTCTTCACGATATGCTTCTATAACTGACAATGGGATCTGCGCGCAAGACTAGCATGTACAGGTTGATGGTTATGATATAGTATAGCTGAGTAGCGGCGTTGTATCTACCAACCGGCTACTACTCAAGAGGCATCTAGAAGTGATCTTAATATAAACTATATAAATGATATCATCAGTCCATACTTCTATAAGTGGACTGGGCGTGGTCTCTGGGGCAGGGGTTTGGGTGATGAAAAGTGATGGGCACAGATAGGGCATGTGTCGTGCCCGGCAAAGTACCAAGCGGCAATGCAATTGGCATGAAATGTATGCTCGCACGGTAGATGACGGATCAAATCTGTATCCTTGACAATATTGAGACAAATGACGCTGAGGATGGATATGTACTATTAGTAAAATATGTGGTATATGCGGTACATAATAGATCTTGACTAGAACGTACCATGTCATGTCGCGGTTCGGAACCGCCCAGGCAGCATGCACCTCATGTGAGAGCTCAGATCTCAGCGCTTGGCTTGTTTTGGGTGGAGCGACAGCATTCAGGTGAGGCAGATCTCTGGTCTGGGTTCCGGAGTGCCTGGCTGATGCAGAGGACGAGGAACTGGTTGATTCATCGATCAATGAGAAATCGTATCTTGCCCATGAGCACAGCCTTGATAGCTATCAGCCAACCCTATAACATCGCATGTGGTTGACTCGAGGCACTGCTTACCGGGGTGCACCTAAAAAAACCAAAGCCGTGAGGGCAAGAAGAGGTAATATTATGATAGGGAGCCATGCAAGTTCTGAATGACTACTGTTTAGCTTGTTGGGGCCCTGGGCTGAGGCGGGGATGTTGCTGCTGGTTACAGCCATGGCTTGCGCGTGTAAAGGCGGAGAAGGCACCAAGAGGTCTAAGACTTGCACCAGGGCCTACTCTTCTAATACATCCCCATTTCTGTGCAACATGATGTGCTATCGTTAGCTTGGGTCTAGAACGTATGTTGAGCAGGACTAGTCTGTTTTATGGTATGACATCCCTTCCATCCACGTCAGGTTGGATGCATCATAGCATTATAAAACCTTATTAAAGCGTCATGTGGAACTTACGCGAGTTCAATCATCGTTGGCACTTTGTCATTTCCAGATGATCTGATTGCTGCAATGGCGTAAATCATATTTCCTGGAATGCAGCCGGTATTCGTAGTGTATGACGAGAATACGGAAGCAGAACAATAGACCTAATTATGATCCACCCATAGCCATTGGTAGCCGGCTGGCTTGTGGCAGTCCGCGATCATAATCATCAGATCATGGTAGTGCTCACATGACGACACCGAAAAGATTATCAGAGCCAGCCAATTTACCAACAGTGGAGCAAAGATTTATTGTAATAGTCAATTCGTCTACGAAGAGGAGCAAGGACATATTAGTGTTAACGTCTTAAAAGGTATCATTTAAATAAGAATAATCGCGCCCTCGGAGTCAGCAACAGACTCCGGCAACCATCTCACACCACATTTGCCATGTCGCCTTTCACCGTGGGTGACTACCTCGCAGAGAGGATTGCCCAACTCGATGTTCGCCATCACTTCATTGTTCCAGGAGATTATAACCTCATCCTCCTTGACAAACTTGAAGCGCATCCATCCTTGGCTGAGATCGGGTGCACCAATGAACTTAACTGCTCCCTCGCCGCTGAGGGCTATGCCCGTGGCCATGGAATTGGTGTTTGCATCGTGACCTACAGTGTTGGTGCCTTCTCAGCCTTCAATGGTGTAGGCAGCGCTTATGCTGAGAACCTGCCTGTCATACTCATCAGCGGATCTCCCAATACCAACGATGTGAGCCAGCATATACTGCATCACACTCTGGGGGAATATGACACTACTTATCAGCTTGAGATGGCTAAGAAGATCACTTGCTGCGCTGTACGCATTCGTCAAGCTCCCCATGCTCCTGAGCTCATCGACCGAGCTATCCGAGCTGCTCTCACACACCGAAAGCCCGTCTACATCGAAGTGCCAACCAACTTGGCTGGCGAAACGTGTCTCCGTCCTGGGCCCATCAGCTCTGTAGTCTCAGCTGTGCCAAGCGATCAGCATTCACTCGACGTTGCTGTGGCCAAGGCATCTGATTTCATCAGCTCCAGGCAGAAGTGTGTCATTCTTGCGGGGCCAAAAGTTCGGAGGGCCATGGCGCAAGACGCCCTACGTCAGTTGGCGGAGGCGATTGGATGTGCTGTTGTGCTACAGCCTGCTGCAAAGGGCACATTTCCTGAAGATCACGCTCAATTCGCCGGCATCTTTTGGGGCCAGGTCAGCACGCTTGCAGCTGACACAATCGTCAACTGGGCAGATGTCATCATTTGTGTCGGTGCCATCTTTACAGATTACAGCACCGTTGGATGGACGGCCTTACCCAGTGTTCCGCAACTGCTTGTCGATATCGACAGTGTGACTGTGGCGTCTAAACTATACTGCAGCAATGTTCAGATGAGTGAGTTCTTGACCAGGCTCGCAGAAACAGTCTGCTGGAACGACACTACTATGGTCGAGTACAACCGACTCCGCCCTGATCCAACCTTGGGAGAGCCCTCTTGCGGCCCCGAGAGATTGACGAGGAAGGAGATTGCTCGACAGACACAGGTTTTGATACGCCTCAATCCTCAGACGGTCGTGTTTGCCGACACTGGAGATTCGTGGTTCAACAGCCTTAAGCTGAGCCTCCCATTCGGGGCTGATTTCGAAATCGAGATGCAGTGGGGTCATATTGGATGGTCCATCCCCGCCTCTTTCGGCTATGCCCTTGCAAGGCCTCGGAAGAGGATCGTGGTCATGGTCGGCGACGGAGCGTTTCAGATGACAGCTCAGGAGGTATCACAAATGGTTCGCTTCCGAGTGCCCATCATCATACTCCTTATGAACAACAAAGGCTACACTATCGAGGCGGAGATTCATGATGGACTCTATAACCGCGCTCAGAACTGGGATTACGCACGCCTGGTCCAGGCATTTGGCACTGACAATGGGAAGGGACACGCGCTTGGTCTGGAGGCCCATACTTGTGAGGAGTTCTCCAAGGGTCTTGAACGGGCCATGGCGCACACAAATGGCCCGACGCTTATTGACTGCAACCTTCATCAGGATGACTGTAGCAGAGAGCTAATTACCTGGGGGCATTTTGTGGCGGCTGCCAATACGCGAGTGCCGAAAAGGGAATAGGACTCACTGGGAGCCACAGGTCTAGCACAGATATAGATCATTGTTGATTCAAAAGAGAGATCTTGCGTGCAGACTATGCGGTATTTGCATCCTATTATAAGATTATATTATAAAACATATATGGTTCACCTTTTTCCAGTGTATTTTAGCTAAAGGAGAGCCTTTATAATAAAAAATATATAATTCAGTTCTAATAACTTAACTTTTACTATAATTTACTTATAGGTATTAGCTAAGGCTATTATATTAATATTATTATTGCCTTACTTAAATATAATTAATTAGCTTTAAATCTCTATTTTGAAGATTTTATAATAAAATAGTTCAAATATATTCCTATTAAAAGAAACTTATAAATTCTTAATAATAGAACTATTATATATTTAGTAAATCACTATATAAATAAGAGACTTGAGTTATAAAAATATATTCCCTTATTAATATATATATATAAATTAAAGAGAAACTCCTAAGTAATTAATTACTAATCTATTACTTGTTTTTCTACCAACTATCAGTTAACAAAATCCTAATTTAAGAAGTCCACCTTGCTGTTCTCTGCCTCAGGTCGGCCGCAAAGGTGGAGTAAAAAATCCCTAACAGGTGATTTCAAGCCTGTATCAGGTATGGTTTATGGTTCTTTCTCCACCTCTGCGGCCGACATAATAGAAAGAATCTGGTATGAGGGCTAATAATCCTTACCTCGTGAATTACTAAGGTTGGTAATATACATTACTAAGGTTAGTAACACACATTTGTATAGAGCATCCTTGTTCAAACTAATACTAAACAATCTAGCTTTGCATTTTAAAATATAAGATTTAATTCCTCTATACGAGAATTAAAAGTAAAGTAAGGGTTTTAAGAACCTATAAATACTAGATAGAAGCTCCATGGTAAAAGTGAAGATTACCTCTGTTTTAATAAACATCCCATCGACAACAAATCAATTTGCCAATCTTTATACAAACTATAATAAAACTAGAACTTCCACGATGAAGGGCCTTTACACCGTGTTCCTTGCTTTTACTGCCGTACAGGCTACACCAACTATCAACAGCGAATCGAAAGCACTTAATGCCCGGGCAGTCGACCTCAAGGTTCAGTACTACAAGGATGGCGGCTGCACAGACTACGCTGTATCGATTTGGCCCGGTACTTCAAACAAATGTTATGGATACAGCTACAGCAACACAAACAGCGCAAACATTGTTAGCTGCGGTGGTAGGGGTGTTGCTTGCACCTGCTACATGTTTGAGCAGGATAACTGTAAAGGGAACTCTGTCCGGACAGTTGCTCTATCAGGATCCGGCTCCGCTTGTGTTAGGTAGTATTCCCTTTGCTTTTTTTGCAATTTTATATGTACTAACTTTGCTTAATAGTAATTGGGGTAAGGGCTACAAGTCCATGCAGTGCTACACTACCCAGATAGCCTAGTTGTGAAGAGTATTTATCTAGCATCCTCCTTTAAGTACTCGCCCTATCTTGTTCTTGCAAGAATGGTTTGAGCGCAGGATGTGATAGAGAGTGCCCTTATCTTCAATGGGCGATCAAGCAGTCAAGCCCTGACATCCAGAAACTATGCTCTGCTGGCAGGAGTTGTCATAACACCAAGTTGGGCACACTTGTAGAATTATTAGTCCAGCTTAGTGTACTACTATGCGAACGACATCTTGGGTTTATCGCTTCGACATTTTTCTTCCTCTCCTACTGGTGTGTTCCCCATGTTTGAAGTTACTTCTTGAAACAGTTGCGACCGTTTCAATGAATATGATTCAATACTATAAGGCTTCTTTTATCGGAAGGTGCTGTTTATGCTTTGTGTAACTGTTGTGATCTGAGACAGACTCTGCTTCTGTAGTTGTACTACCTGGGGTTTCCAGCTGCTTGAGACTTGATGACAATTATGGCAAAGAATTTAGTATGGAATTTTAGCCGTAAAATATGACACAGAATTCTTAGATCGTCTTTTGCTTTGCTGACCAGTGCCCAATCACTGCCGACGCCCTAGAAACATATCGAGAATGACGCTCAGCTACTAGGTTTGGACAGTTCTCTCTAACCAAGGCTCGATGTGGCGGCCGTCGGTACCTAAGGAGCGGAAGAACTCTTTGGCTGGGTGCTGGATGATGAATACTAGAGAAGTATTTATCAAGAAGCGACGTGATACGTCCTGTGGCGGGATTGTAGAGAAGATTGCACGGAGCTATGAGCGCATCTCGGTCTTAGTACATGTGTGTATCTAGTTCAGGCATGAAGTCATATCGAGAGGGGGAGTAGCCCACTGAAGTAAGCGTGTATAATCGCACAGTCATGTTTGCATGATAGGTCGGAGAATCGTTCCGCCTAACCATGCTCAATACGATCATGGATACGACCTCTAACTCCCTTAGCGTGTTACTTCTTACAGTCCTAATAGCAATTGGTAATATTTCTAAAATAAAGGTAAATAATTTGTCCAAAATAATGAAGGAATTTTAGGTAGTGAAGAATTTACAGCTAAAACAATTCGACCAGAAGAAAGCGAGGAGGATGAAGTTCGTACCAAGTTCGATGAAACTGTCCTCCAATGTTCCCAAAGGTCTGTCGCTGCAAAAACAAGTCAATTTCATCACCTCCAACAGACAAACGAGAATGAGGGAGAAGACTGCCCCGTGGATTCCTACATAGGCTGGATAGCAGAGATAAGACATATTCATGCTACCAAACACTATTCAGGTTCAGGCAAAAGACTGTATACAACCAAGGTTCCTATTTCTAGAGGTATTAGCCAGAAGCTGGGAGAAGGCCAGAGTCAAGATGAGGCAAGCACATTCGCCATACTTGACTACCATGAGGAGTCTCTCCGGACGAGTTCAATCGATATCAAAAATCCTGCGCTTAAGAAAGGTCTCACAGACGTACTCTCGAACTATCCAGATGTTTACACCGAGGCTCCAGTCCTATTAACTAGACCTCCATTCATACCATTTCTGGCTGGGACCGTTTTCTGCAAGCAGAGAAAGCTTCCAGTGAAGGAACGAATGATCTATTTCGCATTTTGAGACATCATTTAGAAAGAGGGCTGAAAGAACCATTTAGAGTTTTACGAGATTATCAGCGAACAAAATACATCGAATTTGACGATCTGTTAGTGGCGGTCGTGCCCGGTGAGCTCGTCGTGAGATACCGAATTGGATTGCTCTGGGCTGGAGTCTTTCTAGCTGCCTCGATCGGCGAATTCTGGAGCAGCAAATCATGTGACCTGAAAGTTCGTGTGATGAATTGGGATGGAACTTGCTTCGGGTACAGAGAGAAAACATGGGAGATTAGGGCTTTCCAAGGGTTTCGCAAGATCACTGACCTTCCAGTATTCCCCCTAGATGCTGACTCGGATCGAGACCAGATCGAGCAACGTCTTGTTGGGAGAGGAAGGATGTTTCATCGTCTGTGCAGCCAGCACGTCAAAGTCTACACTGGCGTTGTTCATTTCAAACTAGAGGGGCGGAAAATGGTCGGTATTTGGCACTCTGTAAAAGCTAAACTTATTTCCTACTGGGCTCACCTATCGGAGCGTATCATCGTCGATGCATATGCCTTTTATAAATTCCAGTACAAATACGTTCCGCAATTGAGCGATCTCAACGGCGAGGAGGGATTGGAAGGGCCAGACCCTCACAGCATCGTCAGCAATGACTACTCCAGTACCCAACAATCAACCTTTTTGACTGAAGAGGAGTATATCATAGCTATCCCATATGTCAGGCGGTTTGCTTTGAAGTCCATGACGTGGTATAAGCTCGACATCAGTAACATTTCTCACATGATGTGGAACGAGAAGCTTCTGGGTAACCTTGTCATCCAAGATCAAGAAAAGCGACTGCCTCTTGCTCTAGTTCAAGACCAGGGAAGCCATGAGGATGATAAGTTCGATGACTTCATAGAAGACAAAGGTAACTAGTAGCCATTCCTACCTTCCCACTTTTCCGTTTCCTGCGCATGTCGTCCACACACTATTCCTTTTTGATTCACTAAGTACCTAAACAGTCAGCCTGATTACTGATGCATTTAAACTTAGGAAAGGGGCTAATTCTCCTTCTTGCGGGTCCCCCTGGAGTGGGCAAGACTCCACAGCTGAATCCGGTACGTCTGTCTATATCTGCTTCATTCAAAATCTAATTATTATTATAGTGACCGAAGAGCTCGAAAGACCATTGTACAGAGTCAATGCTGGTATCTTGGCCGTTCAGCTGACACAGTCGAATCATCGTTGAAAGAAGCTTTTAACTAATGGTCACACTGGAATGCTGTCTTACTTATAGACGAAGCAGATGTGCTCCTAGAGAAGCGATCTAGTGACAGGTGTGCCTCAAACGAATTAGTATCAATTAAGTTATAAAAACTAAAGCTAATTTATATATTATTAATATACTGCACTAGCTTTCTTAACAACACTAGAGTATTATACAGACGCCCTTATTCTTACAACTAATAGATGCGGAGATATTTATCCGGTATTCGAATCTCGTATTGACATCATCCTAACCTACAACAATCTTGACAAAGATTCTCGAAGGCAAATTTGGTCGAATTTGATAGCTAGATTCCAGAAAGACTCTACAGACATTAACAACTTAGATTTAGACTCTCTCTCGAATTGGGAGGTTAACGGGAGGCAGAATAAAAGTGCTATTAAGGCTGCACGGATAATAGCAAAGAGTAAATCTGCACCTCTTGGTATACACCATCTTGAAGACGTGCTAGAAATCCGGAAGAGAGGGTCAAGAGTCATAGGCACAGAGATAATTCACTGAAATACGGAATTAGCAATCGTTTCAGACAGTGGTCAAAGGGCTGGTGCAATGTCACGCCACGAACATGTTCTTGGCGAGATGCTTTCTTGCAGCAGCGCCAATGACTTTCGTGAGCTATGCCCAGGTTGTCGGCGTTTCACTTCCGAGGTACGCAGGCATGTTGAACTTCCTGAGGCATCACATAATCACCTATAAGGCTAAACCAAACCAGTTAGTGAGTTCAAGGATGTTCACTCTTGGCCAAATGGGAGCCTCCATCTTGTGTTGCCAGCTTTTAAGAAGTGGTGCAGTGGTGTTGTTAACAAGAGTGTTAAAGTAGGCAAGTCTATAACATCTAAAGGAGCCGGAATTAAAGAGTAATCCAAAGGACGATATAAGGGAATATTCAATAGTCGTATAAAACACTATGGGCTCTCTATACTTGGTATCTCATATAGAGATATTACCGTCTCTTGCCTAGAATGTCTACTATTGCCTGATGTTGATCGTCAGGAATTGAGCCAAGTTAGACTGGAATTCGTCGATCAGTATTTACTCTTCTCCCTATATATACCTGGAGACTATATACGATGAAACTTAAATACGGCGATTATTTATTGTCGAATCGCGAAATAAGTACATATCCACCAAGACTCTTTGTAGCATAATTAAGAATACCATAACGATGTCCAGGAAAGAACTGCCAATCATTACCAAGCGAGACTGTAGACCCAAAGTTGGTAAAGCTGTTACCGTCAGTGCTATAACTGAACACAGCAGATCCAGCAGCACCAGGGCGGATATCAGCGGTGACACGAAGATACACCTTGCGGAAAGAAACGTTGTTTTGTCGGGCTGAAACACTTCCTGTGGACTTGGTGGTCCAGTCGGTGTTCATGCTGAGGCCTGTGTTGAAAACGAGGTTGAAGTTGCTTCCTTCGCGCTCTATGCCGATCCAAGCTGATGAGTCGCGAAGAACGGCAAGACCAGTACGATCACCATCGGCCATCTTGGAGAAGTCGATGAGGACTGTGCCAGTTCCTTGAGGGCCGCGGATTCGGTGGGTGAGGGTGTTGCGAGCCTGGTAAAGGTCCTTAGTAACAGTAACGGTCTTCAAGGTCAAGCCGTTGTTGACAGTAAAGCTCTTGGTATCGGGGTTATGGTTCCACTCCCAATCTGCTCGGAGGTTGGGACCAGGGAAAGTATCAGTGCCAATAGGGCTGGGAACGGTGCGCTTGGGAAGTGGGTAGTCATAGTCGCCCCATTGGCCATTGACGAGCGTGATCTTGGGGAAACCATCGCTGCCCCAAGTGATAGGAGCCAAGGCTGGTGCTCTTCCGCCGGGGTACATGTCCACAAAGGACATGTAGTACCAGTTGCCATTGGGTGTGTCGATAAGACCGCCTTGGTGAGGTGCTCCAGATCGAGGAGCAGCAGCGAGTTTGAGATTATCAGCGATGATGCGGAGGTCATAAGTTCCGAAAGGTCCGTTGGCAGACTTGGCGATGTATTGTCCGGTAGCAGGTCTCGTCAAGAAGATGTACCAGTTGTTGTCCTTCTTGTACAAGCGAGATCCCTCGAGGGTAAGTGTGGATGGTGGCGAGAGGACAACTTGTTCCTTGACTTCGGTCTTCATGTCCTTGGATAGCTGGGCGATGTGAAGGTCGCCTCGTCCATAAGCCACGTAAGGTGTGTTGTCAGTATCAAAGTGCAGACCAGCATCGTAATAGCACTTGTTGATGGTTGTGATCTGAGACCACGGGCCAGTTGGGCTTGAAGCACTGTAGACATATGTCTTGCCGAACTCAATGCAGGCAACGAAGTAGAACTTTCCATCGCTTTCGCGGTACCGGAGAGAAGAAGCCCAGATGCCCTTGACGTAAGCTCGCTGTCCGTTCTCAAGGCTGTACTTGGACGACCAGTCGAGAACAGGGACGGAATGGCCGATGTGCTCCCAGTTTACGAGATCGTATGAGCGAAGAACTGGAGCACCAGGGGAGTAATGGAATGTTGAAGCGGTCATGAAGTAGGCATCTCCAGCCCGAGTGACTTCCACGTCGGAGAGATCTTCCCAGATAACAGGGTTCGTAAACTTTTCTGCCATGGCGGCAGCGACCGAAAAGAGGAGACCAAGAATAGCACGCATTTTGGAGCCGTGAAGAACTAAAGAGCGTTGTCGAACAGAACCCATTTACAGTAATTCACACACTAACTTATAAGAAAACGAGGGACATTCCAATTTGGAGTCTTGATATGAAACGATTGGCGCGCTTTAGCTGAACAGGGATCAGCGTCCAGACTACTTAGAGTTCTCACGGAAATATAATCGCCTCTAGAGCCACGAGTAGCAGCGCGCCAATGTTTATTACAGGGTTGACCCCGCATTATGCACGATGCGCAACTTCAGGCTGAAACAAACGAGGTTAAACGAATCAGCAGATGCTTCATTTATTCGTCACTTTGCCGATAATTAAGGGGAGCTGAAGGCCTTGACTAGGGATAACAGTGGCTCCGTTGACCTATTAGGCTAATTTAGGCGTGTTTTATATGGATCGCTTAACGGAAGATCGGCTTGCAGCATTCGGCATTTGATAGATGTCATCATGTCCCTTTCTGAAAGACGGAATGCATCTTCCGTTACCCCAGATGAAGCAAGGATACACCAGATGATTTCTCTTCATCTCACCCTTGACTGAAACATGGCCCGAAGTGTCTTCTCGTATCCGTGCCAATCAATTGAGTCTCCGCCGATATGCTGTCTGTTTCGAGTAAATGATTCGCCTTGTTCCGATTATCCAGCTTCTTCTTCCTTAAACAGCTGTAGTCTAACGATGCGCGCAAATAGAAGCTTCAGGGTCGGTATTAAATATGGCTTCATGTATGCATACTAGTTATGCGCGCAAATTGTTTATGGCTATCTTACGAAGAAGTCCTAGCCTATTTGTGTGAATACGATACTCGCTCGCTTATCACGACTCAGCCCACCCTAAACAGTCTTTAAACGAAAGTTGAGTTGACTTAAACGAAGTTAAATTGCTACCTTCCTTATACGTGGGTACTGAGATCTGCATGTCCGCATATCAATCAGATATTTAACGACGACCTCGAGCAGCTTGTAACAGTCCCATCATAGAATCGCTATCCCACGGGAGCCTCAGTTGGCAAGAAATTGATTTACGACATCAGCTATTTCGAGAGACATCTCCAAGATGTGGTTGACTACCCCGTTGCTGCTCGTCAGCACCCTTCTGGACCTTTCTGGCGTTGCTGTAGCAGACAACCCCATCGTCCAAGACATCTACACCGCAGACCCAGCACCAATGGTCTACAACGGCCGTGTCTACCTCTTCACCGGCCATGACAACGACGGCTCTACCGACTTCAACATGACAGACTGGCGTCTGTTCTCGTCAGCAGACATGGTCAACTGGCAGCATCACGGCGTTCCCATGAGCTTGAAGACTTTTAGCTGGGCTAACAGCAGAGCCTGGGCTGGACAAGTCGTTGCCCGAAACGGAAAGTTTTACTTTTACGTTCCGGTCCGTAATGCCAAGACGGGAGGAATGGCTATCGGCGTGGGCGTTAGCACCAACATCCTTGGACCCTACACCGATGCTCTGGGTAAACCCCTGGTCGAGAACAATGAGATCGACCCAACGGTTTATATCGACACTGATGGCCAGGCCTACCTGTACTGGGGCAACCCTGGCCTTTACTATGTCAAGCTCAACCAGGACATGCTTTCCTACAGTGGCAGTATCAACAAGGTTCAGTTGACCACAGCTGGATTCGGTAGCCGCCCGAACAACGCGCAACGACCCACTACCTTTGAAGAAGGCCCTTGGCTGTACAAGCGTGGCAATCTTTACTATATGATCTACGCCGCCAACTGCTGTTCCGAGGATATCCGCTATTCAACTGGACCCAGTGCCACTGGACCATGGACTTACCGCGGTGTGGTGATGAATAAGGAGGGTCGAAGCTTCACTAACCATCCTGGCATCATCGACTTTGAGAACAACTCGTACTTCTTTTACCACAATGGTGCTCTTACTGGCGGTAGCGGTTATACCAGGTCCGTGGCTGTCGAGAGCTTCAAGTATGGTTCGGACGGTCTGATCCCTGAGATCAAGATGACTACTCAGGGTCCAGCTCAGGTCAAGTCCTTGAACCCATATGTCAAGCAGGAGGCCGAGACCATGGCCTGGTCTGAGGGTATCGAGACTGAAGTCTGTAGTGAAGGCGGCCTCAACGTTGCATTCATCAACAACGGCGACTACATCAAAGTTAAGGGCGTTGACTTTGGCAGCACGGGTGCAAAGACCTTCAGTGCTCGTGTTGCATCTAACAGTAGCGGTGGGAAGATTGAGCTTCGACTTGGTAGCAAGACTGGAAAGTTGGTTGGTACCTGCACGGTAACGACTACTGGGAACTGGCAGACTTACAAGACTGTGGAGTGCCCTGTTAGTGGTGCTACTGGAACGAGTGATCTTTTCTTGGTGTTCACAGGCACTACCTCTGACTATTTGTTCAACTTTAACTGGTGGCAGTTCAGCTAAGGGACTTGAGATGATGATGGTATAAGAGTATGAGCTTCTTGTAGATAATTACTCTGTTGGGCTATAGTACATAACTTGGATTGATTGTAACGAGCAGCCATTTACCTCCAACTCCAACATCACAGACCTCTGGTCTCATGTCTTTCATATCATCTAGTAAATGAGTTCCCGTCGTCTCGTGACGAACTTTATGCCCAACCTCATTACCTTTGTCATGAATGGAGGCTGTACATATAGTGCGACCGCTGAGAGCTTAGGTAACGTAAGGCTGGTAAGCAGTACCGTTCTGCTGCGCCTCCCGCAAGAGTCGCTTGTTGGAGCGGCTGAGCCAGATCTTCATGACGATAGCGCAGGCGCTGGAGGTCAGACCGAAAGCCATCATGCCGATGAAGGCACTGATGTAGCGAGGCTCCTCCTTTGTGACGAACATGAAAGGAGCAGTGAAGTTTCCTAGCAGATTTTGTCAGTTGGTATCTAGGAATCGTGGTGAGAGTACACTTACCGATTTGAGATAGAAGGTTGCAAAGTGCAACGGAGGCAGCTCGCTTTTCGGGAGTCTTTGCAAGAGCACCTGGTGAATAGTCAGCACCATACCATATTAAGTAGTAGGATAGCACGGATAACATACCGCTGACATAACCCATGATGAGAGGGTTGGCGATGTACATGCCGCCAACGTAGATGAAGGAAGCTCCGTATCGGGCCTGGGGGTTGGTGGTCGCTAAGCAGACGATGAAACCGATACAAGCAACCGCAACAGGGATGGCATAATGCAGACCTCGCTCCTTGACCCTGCGAGACAACTATTAGTAATTGTGTGACGCACGATATCAGTTGAGACTTACTTGTCAGAGTGCCATGCGTTGACATAAGAACCAATAGCAGCGAAAATGTAAGGTGGCGCAGTGAGAACAAGCGCGATAACAGAGCTGTATCCCCAATCGGCCGCCAGACCACGAACAATGGAAGGGTAGAAGTTGGAGAATCCGTAGGCAGCAGAGATGGTGATGTTCATGAGAGTAAGGATGTAGAGCTTAGGATCGCGAACACTAAGCTTCAATCCTTCCCAAGCACCAGTCTTGGCCTCGGTTGTAGAAGGACGATCAGCAAGGACACGTGCAGCAGCAACCTTTCGCATGTCCTCGGTCATAGTCCACATGGCGCTGCCGGTTGTCGAGTCGGGGTAGTCGGGGATGAACCAGATACAGATCATGGCAGAGCCAGCACCCGCGGTGGCGAGAATGATGAAGAGCCACTGCCAGCCAGCAAGGCCGTGGGCTTTCTCGAGAGTGGCGTAGGTAGCGGCAGCGATGAGACCGGCTGAGCAGAAGGCAATTGTCTGAGCTGAGTAGAGGATAGCCATACGGAAAGCGACTTCCTTTCGTGTGTACCTAGGATAATGAGTGAGCACGAAGCATTCAATGCGGTTGAGATTGGTGAACTTACCAACAACCGAGAAGGTAGATAGCTCCGGGAAGAAGAGGTGCCTCAACAAGACCAAGAGCGAAGCGAACACCCATGAGCCCAGAGTAAGACTTGACTCCGACGGTAGCAACACTGACACCAGACCAGACAATAGCCATGAGACAGAGGTAGAGACTGGGTCGAATCTTGGTGATCAACATGTTACTGGGAAGTTGGCCAAGGACTGAAAACGTCAGTATTCTTTCCAAACGCCAACCATGCGAGGAACTTACCATAACCGAGAGAGAGAATAGAGACAGCCGAAGAGAAGTTGGCACCAGTAAGATTCAAATCCGCGTCGAAACTGCTGAGTCTCGCATGACCGATTGATGCTCTGTCAAGGTAATTGAAGAAGTAAAGACACCAGACACAAGGCATGAGAGTCAGATCAAGACGACGAACAATCTTCTTCTCAAGCTCGCGCCAGTTCGGAATGCCAAGAGCGTCAATCTGCTCCTCAGGGCTAGGAAGACGACCTTCATTCTTAAGATAACCCTCCTCTACCATACCGAGCTCCTTCTCAATGGCAGAAGCGGTATCGGCCTTCTCGTCGATGGGAGCCTTGACATCAGATGCTGGGACCTGAATGTCTTGCGGAGGCACATCACCGCCCGCTTTCTCATTCGGTGTCGTCATATCTTGAAGACTAACGCGGAACAAATAAAGAGATAACGACTATTGGAATGGCTGAGAAAGGGAGGGTCTGCGATGTCAACCAAGTCGAGAGGCTGCGTACACGAGAGAAAAGGCAAGGACAAAACGAAGGTGGACGGCATTTTTTATAGATGAGCGAGACACGAGAGAAAAAGAATATTGGCAATGGGAAGACCCCGCATCTCTCCAACGTTGGCACGGCTGGGCAAGCTGGGGAAAAAGTCAACTCCCCAGATGGTGCATGTGTGAGCCAAGAGTCCGGGGCAACAAGAATCATCTCTTGGGTTAAAAACTGGAGAAGAAAAGGGTTCTGGGGCAAAACGGTCTCGCGTGCACGAAAAGACACACAGACTGGATCGGACCCCAGATGAATCACCAGAGATCGGCGGTGTCAAATGGTAATCAGATCACTTGCAGTCTATTGCTCTTTAGAGTTCTTCTTTTAGAGTTCAATCACTACTCTATGATGCAGTGGCCGTCGTTAAAGAGGCTTAAAATGAGGCTCTTTTTATCAGCGCCGCATTACCGGGCCGTGGTCAATAGGCCAGTCTGGATCACATTAGTCTCTTAAAAATGCCCATAATGAATCTCGCGTGCTATTATTATTCCACGCTTTCATCAATTCGTCTAAAGGAACCGGAGAAAGAATTCTTTCGTGTGTTTTTTTCGCTCTAGCTAGCCACACGCCAAGCTCAATGAATCGCAATGCGTTCATCATATTCCCCAATTATGCAGCAATTCTCAACTCGCGGAGGGGAAGAGAACTTCAGCTCCCGTCTTTCCCGTTTATTCTGGGCATGTTCTCCAAAAATGCAGTAAAAGCCCGAGTCTTCCCGTGCCAAGGGCGGAGAGTCCACTGCTGAGACCTGCACTGCAATGCTCCGGGCATCACTACCCACTATAGTGGATTATTCCCGTCTGGGCACTGCTCCACTATCATGTCAGGGCCAAGCTTTGCGATAACCAATCTCGCCAATTTGTTGATTTGAGGTGGGAAAAGGTTATTCTTAAGCTTGTTCAGGACCTTGGCGTATGGGGCGCTCTTCTACCCGCGGGATTTACCCTTCTCCGGTGTTACTCCGGATCCGACAGTTTGCCGTGCCCAGCCAATCCCGCGGGAGATTTCCATTGGATCACTTTGTATACCAAGAAATGGTGTGTTTTTCGGAAGTAATTCTGAGATCCTGTTATATTTATCGATTCGAATACCGAAAGAACAGAAGACTCATTTTTCTCATATCACCGAGACTTTTCCCCTGCCGCATGGCAAACAACGATATTCTGACGGGTAGGGAAGGGGCACATCTTCGAAATACCCTACAGCAGCTTTTTCAACCTCCAACTGCAAATGGATTTTCATCGGTTACCAGCGTTACAACGCATCCCACTACCAAGACGCGTTGAGCAAGTTGGAAATTCACAAAACCCAAATAAGTACATACACAAAAAGAACATGGACAGCAAACGGCTTCCATTACTGTGGTCCAATGTTAGATTGCTCCCGTCTCGTCATCCCCTCACATTCCTTGATCCAGCTTCTGTGCTTCGCACATCTTGGCATATGTTCCACCTTGCTTAACAAGGTCTTCATGACCCCCACTCTCAACAATCAGTCCTTCGTGGAAAACGAAAATGCGGCTTGCTTCCCTAATGGTGGAAAGGCGGTGGGCAACAGCTACGGTGATTCTATTACCCGTTGTTGCTGCGTCTAATAAGGCTGCTTGGACCACACGTTCAGACTCAGTATCGAGTGCGCTTGTTGCTTCGTCTAACAGTATCACTGCAGGCTTCCTGATCAAAGCGCGCGCGATTGCAATTCTCTGCCGCTGACCACCGGAGAGCTGGTTGCCGCCCATTCCGCAACGAGTATTAAGGCCCTCGGGGAGTGAGGAGATGAAATCCCAGGCATTGGCAGAACGGCAAGCCTCCTCAATCTCTGTATCAGCCGCCGTAGTAACGATGCCCTGTGAGATGTTGTCGCGGATAGTGCCTGGAAACAATGTCGGTTCCTGCTGCACGAGAGCAATATGTTTGCGGTATAGACGAGGGTTGATCGAGTCGAGAGGAGATGAATCGATAGTGATTCTTCCGGTGGTCGGGTCGTAGAAACGCTCTAATAGCGAGATCATTGTGCTCTTGCCACATCCGGATTGTCCAACAAAAGCGACGAACTCGCCAGACTGAATCTAGAATTCCAAGACGTCAGCACTAGATACCAAGATGGGGCAGAGGATTGACTCACATTTAGAGAAACTCCCTTGAGCACCTGATTGTGTGGTGCTAGAGGGTAGGAAAACTGAACATCACTGAGCTTGACAGACTTGCAACCATCCTTTGGCCCCTTGTCTCTGTTGTCGGCTGTTTCCTGAATTGTTGGCTCGAGAGCAGATATCCAGAAATAGTAGTTGGCGGCCATGTGACCCTTGGTGAAATCTTCAAAAGCGAAGCGCGTTAGCATGGTGTATAGGAACTGGTGGCACTTACGACTTACTGCCCGCAAAGACAAACAGCTGGCTTGCCGCCTGTCCAGAGAAGTAGACTCCCATAAAAGAGACGATGAATTGATAGAAGTTGATATGGCCGTCATTGATGAGCTTCGATCCCCACCTGGATACGTTAGATTATGCCTGCACAGATAGAAAGCTACTCTTACCAAAAGCCCAATGCAAGGACGAAGTATTCAATTGCCTGGGTAAGCGAGAACCAAACCATCATATGAAATAAGGACGGGACTGAGTTCCGGATAGCCATGTCCAGCTCTCGTGTATACTTATCTAGCACCCGTCGCTCTAGCGCCAAAGAGGAGACGGTGCGTATCGCCATGACTGCTTCAGACGCCACTGACGAGCTCTGCAAAGATGACCTGTCTATGATATTTTCCATTCTCAACTCGAGCCATATGCGCACCCACCCAGCTAAAAGCATAGGAGGAAGTCCGACAAAAACACCAACTAAGCCAAGTCGCCAGGCGACAACGATGGCCAGGATGCTACAGGCGGTCAAGTTAATGATGGCGAGGAGCAGGAGTGCTACGTTGAAACCCATAAACTCGAAGACAGCTTGAGGGTATGAGTAAAGTCGACTTGTTAAAGCACCAATGGTGTTCTCAGAACGGTCGAAAAACTGCAGGTCCTGGCGAAGGATGGAATCTAAGAGCTCTTTTCGGATCTTCCTCCCGAGGGTCTTTGCAAAGTCAGCAGGGGCCTTTGAAAATGAGCGAGGCCACATACCTGTGCAATCATGTTGCTAGACCATCCCAACAAGAAATAGCCGATGAGGCACCCGATTGCAATGACAAGAAACATGAGAGAGATGAAGTTGCCTCGTGATACCATGTCTGGGGACGAGAAGACGTCGAGGACGTTGCCAAGAAGCAGGGCCTGTGCAGGGAAAAGGGCAGCTAGAAAAGGTCAGTGTTGCATAGAAACCCAAGAAAAAGGAGTGACTTACCTCCAATGATGCAAGAGATGACTGTAAGTAGGTACCAGAACTTGAGTTCCGGGGTGCAGCCGACAAGCCTCATAACGGTACCGAGTAGTCCACGCTGTTGGAATGTGTCAAAGTCTTGTCGATCCTTTAGTGATACTAGGGTGGTCTCATCGACTGTTTTGATCTTGGCTAGTGGGAGATCAAGCGTATGCGTGCTGTTTGGGGCTGGTTCTTTCTCTGAGAAGCGCTCTGGGGTCTGTAGGGTCTCGGTTGGAGATAGATCTTGAGCCTTGACGAGGTTGTAATACACTCCTTTCAGTTCGAGTAGATCATCGTGACTACCCTTCTCAACCACGTGGCCCGAAGAAATGACGACAATCTGGTCAGCGTTCTGAATGGTGGCCAACTTATGGGCGATGACGATAGTTGTCCGGTTCTGAGACGCTCTATTCAGGGCTTTCTGAACAATGCCTTCGGCGTGAGGGTCGAGTGCACTGGTTGCTTCGTCGAGTAGTAACACCTGCGGGTCAGATACGAGACTGCGTGCGATGGCAACACGCTGCTTCTGCCCACCTGAGAGCAGGCCACCTCTTTCTCCGATTCTGGTGTCATAACCGTGTGACAGGCCGACGATGAAGTCATGGGCAAAAGAGAGCTTAGCAGCATCCTCAACGCGTTGTCGTTGCTCATCGTGCGAGGCTGTCTCCCATGGTGTTCCGACGAGACCGTCCGCGATATTCTCAAAAACTGTGCCATTGAAGAGAACGGGCTCCTATATGCGAACAGAACTGTTAGCGACAGGATAATGGAAACAGGTGGAGCTTCCTATCCTACCTGTTGTACAAGACGGACGTTAGTACGGAGCCAGTGCAAGTTCAAGTCCTTGACATCTTTGCCATCCAGTCTGATGGTACCAGCCGTTGGGTCATACCAGCGCTCCAAAAGGCCAATGACGGTGCTTTTTCCTGACCCGCTGGTTCCCTAGTTTGCATTACGACGTTAGCGACTATTGCGACTAAGAGATGTAGAGAAAAGAAATGAAGACGGTAATCAACTTACAACCAAGGCTGTGACCTTGCCTGCCGGAACATGTAGACTCAACTTATCAAGGACGGTGACATCTGGCCTCGTAGGATACCTGAAGGAAACGTCTTGGAGCTCGACGTCACCGACAAGACTGTCAGGCCTTTCGCCCGAGTCATCGAAGGGATCAATTTCCGACTGCCTGTCAATCAACCTGAAGAGTTCAGTCGCCGCTGTCGCAGCGCGGCCAAACATGACCATCTGCGGTGCGATAGACATGACTGTACTCGCACCGATGATGACTGAAAAGAGAACACTACTCCAAGTTAGAAAGTAACAACCCGCTGGGGCTCAACACTGAACTGACGTGAAAACGGTGCCAAGGTCAGGAACTTCTCCGCGGTTGACCATCGCTATACCCTGCCAAAACGCCAGCCCCATAGCGGCATGGACGATGAAATACTCGCCACCGAAGAGGACGCCATAGATTCTATTCTTCTTCATACCGAGGCGGAATGAGCTTTCGAGAAAAGAATCGTATTGACTAACCACCCTCCCCCGAAGATCAAAAGCGTGGACGGTGCGAACCCCTGCCAGGGTTGTCTCGGCATAGCTCCCTGCCTCGGCATGGATTTTGAGAATATCAGATTCAATCTGCGCATCCAAGCCTGCAACGCCTCCAACGACGATCAGCAGTACAGGTACCATGCCGATGATGATCAAGGTGAGCTTCCACTGGCTGATAAAGGCAATCACAAAGGCAGCTATGAAGGTGGCCATGGCTTGTACAAGCATGCCGAGCTTCTCGCCGATCCCGACTTGTATCAATTTACCGTTGGATGTAGCTTGCATGGAGATAGATCCTTGGACCTGGTCGAAGAAACCAATTTCCTGACTGAAGGCGGCGCGGAGGTACTCGTGTCGAATATTGCGAGTCAGACGTTGGCCGACAAACGTGAACAGGGAGGCATATATGTAGGTACATGTGAATCGCGCAATGCCGATGTAGACAAGGTAGAGGCTGCAGAACAAGCAGCGCGTTAGTTATTGCGGAACATGGTTATTGTAGATAACAGGGGTTCGTGTTGTTTCTTACGCGGTTCTCTGAACGGCGGACATGAAACCATTGGGCTGAGATGTATGAGAGTCGCTCAACAGTGAAATGAACTGGCCGACAACAAGGTTTACTATGGCTAGCGAGATGCCGGAGGCGATGGCGGCGATGATGGCGATAGATTCGAGAGCGTAGTCTGTCGTTTGGCCGAATGTAAAGACTCTCTGCGAGTGAGCATGATCAACATACAGTACACGGTGTGACTTTCATAGAAGTTCGTCATCATTACAACGTACCATAAAGTCCCGGAAGCTCGAAGACTCGCTTGAGTTGTCCTTAGAGTTCGAAGGTTCATCGCTTTCCCTGGCGTCTCGTACACCGTTCGGGCGGACATCGATAGATGCACCCATTATATGGGATTAATAGCGAGATCAGATAGAAAGAATAAAATAAATATATAAAAAAGATAAGAGAAAGAGTGATATATTCTGTAGGTAGTTTGACTTATCAAGTGATGGTAGAGACTGGACAACTGTAGTTGGAGACAAGAGAGTCGACTGGGCATTCTTTCGTCGGCATCATTGGTTTGTATACTAATTGGCATTCCTCCTGCCTCCAACAATCAATCTTCTGTTACCACCGGTCCCCACTGAATGATTATCCGATGACTCCCTACCGCTGAACGGAAGTCATGGCTCCCTGGCGCTACATTGAGGTCAGTCGGGCTCCGGAGACCCGGACGGCCGACCCAACACGGAGACGTCGAGGGACATTGTATCCATTGATTCCACTTCTGACCACCCCAGTGAAAGTGAAGGAGTCTAATGAGTCAGTTCTCACTGTTACGAGTCAGGTCTCATTAGTGACGATGCGCTAGGGAGAGAGGTTGGAGCATCCCGCCGCTGTTTCAGGGCATCTTATTCCAATTTCAACGCGGCACTCCGGCCCAGGATCATTATACGGCATCCTCGTTCTAAGTTATAATCCTATCAGTGCATTGGAGACCTTCGCCAGACACTAGATGACAAATTACAGCGTATTCAAATACAAAAGTGAGAAATTACCTCTTGGGCAGGTGTCGAGTATGGAGATGGGACAAAACCGCCACCAAGGCTTCGCGCCCCACTAAGCGCCGTGATGTCTTCGGCCCCCGGAGACCCGGCTCCCGGCTCCGTCGACGCAAAAGCTCACATATCGGGCCGGGTTAATATGTCAAAACACGGCGATGACTATTCCGGCAGAAGATATCTACCTGTTTGTCTAGACCCTAGTTCGGAAGTCCCAAATGGTGTGCTTCGCCGCTTTTCTGTACCCTGGTTGTTTGATCTATTTAACATCTCTTGACCAAGGTCCCATTAGTCGAGCACATACCACAACAACAATCCCATCCAGACTTCGTCAAGGATAGCTAACATGGGATTCAAAGTCATCATAGTCGGAGGCAGCGTGTCGGGCCTGTCTTTGGCCAACATGCTCGAGAAGTTCAACATCGAGTATATACTCCTCGAGGCACATTCAAAGATCGCCCCCCAGCTTGGAGCGAGCATGGGTCTTCTCCCTGGTGGCTTGCGCATCCTCGATCAGCTCGGCTGCTACGACCGCGTGCGGGAAATAGTCGGAGACTGTTGTTATTACCAACCGAGCCTTCGTCTCTTTAATGGGAAGATATTGGACAAGGAAAAGCCGAAAACCTTCTCTGAGCATTTGGAGTACAGGTATGTCCTTGAAATTGAGAACTAGTTAAATATGCTGACCCAGGTGTTTCAGAACCGGCTATCCCCAGATCTTCATCGATCGGCAGATGCTCCTTCAGATTCTTTTCGACAACATCCAGTCCAAGGATAGAGTGATGACGCGGAAGCGCGTTGTTCGCGTCGAAACAGCCGAGAATCACGTCCGCGTCCATACTCAAGACGGCTGTACTTATACTGGAGACATTGTTGTCGGTGCTGATGGAGTCCATAGCGCTGTCAGAAAGGAGATGTGGCGAAACGGCGTCGAATCAGATCCAGGCTCATTCCGGCCAGACGAGGACAAAGGTTCGTGATCCCGAATTTAAGCAATATTGTTGTGAACTAACCAATGGCTTTCCTTCTCTAGCGCTTGCAGCCGACTCAAAGTGCATCTTTGGCATTTCCAAACGGCCAAAGTCCCTTCCTGCTTCTGCTTTGCAAATCAACGCATTCTTTGACAGTCGCAACTACATGATGCTGTCAGCACCAGGAGATCGGCTCTATTGGTTTATGTTCCAGGATATGGACAGAACTACTGGCAGTGATATTCCTAGATTCACAACCGAGGACGAAGTCAATCTCGCAAAGAAACATTTTGATGACCAAGTCACAGCGTGCACGACCTTTGGGGACGTGTATGAGAACCGATTGCAAACGGCACTCGTCTCTCTTGAGGAGCACGTTTTTTCTCGGTGGTATTTTCGGAGAATCATCACCATTGGAGACGCAGCTCACAAGGTATGAGCCATCTGCATCAGCTCAGGCCATGGAAATAATTAACGTGTGCATACAGGTTCACCCCAACACTGCACAAGGCGGCAACGGCGCTATCGAGACGTCCGCAGTTCTTCTGAACACTCTCTTACGGCGATTAGATGACACATCGAAACTGTCAGAACAGGATATCGAGGACGTTTTCGCCAAGGTTCAAACCAACCGTTTTGCCCGCGCCGCGAATGCTCTCGAACAAGGCCGCCACACATCATCAATCTCGACGCGAGATACGTTTGCCTCGAGAATTTTCGTACACTATTTGCTCCCCTGGTTTGGGGATCGTATAATCATGTGGCTCGCTGTTAAGCACGCCGAGACGGGTCCTGTGATCGAGCGACTGCCTCTTCCCAAGCGAAACGGCGTCACTCTGCCCCACGCTGGTATCGTTAAGAAACCTCAGAGCTTAAAGGTCGCGTTGGGATTCGGTGCCTTTGGGGCAACGCTTGTTGCATTGCTTTTGTACTTTACGAGGGGATCGACAAGGGCGACCTCTTTTGCGACATTGTTTAGAGGGCATCTCGGGCACCTGTGAACCAATGAAATATGACTGCTCTTCTTTTTATACTTCTGCTAAATATTAGATTAGATTAGACAAAATTAGATTTGCTTTTTATGCTGTTATTATGATGAACGAGCGGCCAAGAAACACTCTAAAGCTGATTGTACCAAACTCTGCTAGGATAGCTCTCGATGCGACAACCCCAGAGACTGACTCTGAGCTTCGAACTGACTATCTTAGCTTATCTACTATACAAAGATGACACATAAGCCTTGAAAATTCTTGTATTAATAACAGACAAGCTTATGAAAAGAGTGTTGTAATTGACCTTACAGTGCTGCTAGAGTTATACCCTATCTATGTCATGCTATCTAGCCTTCAGGCGAAAAGCGATCAGAGAAAGTCCCAAATGACTGCATCAGAGCTTGATTACTAAAGAACCACTCTTCCAACTGTGCTCCATGCCCCGTGCGAATCATTGGATTCATCAACATGGGCCCGGTGGTATTCGTATCTCCACCACTTGTGACATCGAGGTCATGGCCAAACCCCTGCCCTTGCTGCTGGTTACCATCGCCCCCCCACGAAGATTGCATGCCCAGTAACTTTAGATACGTATCCATCTCTTCATTATCCTGTGGCTGAACGTCGCGCGAGGCTGAGAGCTCTACATAGCGAGTGGCGACGTTGTAGAGGACCTGGAATAGTCGATGCAACTTGGTTGCAGCGCTCGAGGCAGCGGCAGCAGGTTGGATAGAAGCGACAAAAGTGCGAAGGCGGTTGAGGTCTTCCTTGTCTTGGGTCTCAATTACCTGGCAGAAAATGACGATAAAGGGAATGAAGGGAGCGAAGAGAAGGGTCCTGCTTTCGTCAATATTCCGAACTGAAGCTCAGTCGAGTCAAGGACACGTACCAATGAACATAGGTTGGGAAGAAGTCTTGACTGCTCCTTTCGATAATCTCTAGGCAATCATGGTGCCTGTGGAGAGTAGCTCTAGCAGCTTCGACGCAACTGGGACTGAACGTTGTTAGAGCCCCAGTCTGTTGTGGAGCGGCTCGATAGACGAGAGTAAGTAGTGACAGTCGAAGGATATCGTCTGAGACGGCGAAGAAATCTATCAAGTCCTTGCCAGCATTATCCCTAGACATCTGGATCCATTTCTTCTGAAAGCAATAGATCAGACGGATGGGGTATTTACAGATTGGGACTGCGTACACTTACATGAGTTTCTTGCGTGGCCTGCTCCAACATGTGTAGATCGTTCACAAGAAGCTGAACCCGAGTATGTCTGACGTGCTCAAGCTGGGTAATAGCTTCGGGGCAATACAGAAGCTCGTAGATGTTTCCCTGACAGCGCGCAGCTTCAATCCAGAGTACGAAATACGCCATGACTGGTTCTTGGTGGGGATCACTGATTGCTGGTCGGTGTGTTGTGATATCCCAGTCGGGAATTGTGGATGCTCGACCGAGGCGAAGGCACAGACTCTTATCGAGGAAGTAGTTAGTCCAGAATAGAAACTTCCTAAACTTAGCGTCATCGCTGTTATCTGTATCGGGCATTCTGTGATAGCCTAACGTCTGGCACAGCTCTGAGGCCTTGCTGGACAATGCCCAGGAGAGATATGGTTTCGAGAGCTCGATCGCGTGCCAAGCCTATTTTCTGGTTAATATAGATGCTAACTTTAATGTTGGTGTCAACTTACACCAAAGAGCAGAGCCGTTATAGCCTCTGGCGTTGTCGGCAGATGAAGTGGCAGATCATAAAGTGCTGTCTCAAGGTTCTCGCGACACATGCGGGCATGGCCTAGATAAGTGTCCTTTTGGCCTGCAGAGACATGATAGCTATAGTCTGTGAAGAGAGAATAGAAGCCAGCGTTGGCAATGATGAACTCCATCTCGGAGAAAGTATCGGAGAAGTAAACCTGGAGGCAAATATCGGAGAAGTCTCGCATGAACATGAACTCGTATATGAAGCCTGGTCCTGCCAGCCGCTGACCTGTTGATGACCTATTAGACTATAGTGGTACAGTAGCAAACGGATCATGGCACCTACTCTTTGCAATTCGAATCAGCTCAACGGCCTTTTCAATAGGAGGCAGCTCATACCCCGATGGGCGTGGGCGTTGGCTCGGTCGGGAGTGAGGGTATGCCATTTCATTAGCGAATGTCTGCTCTCTCAGTGTTCCAACGACGTGTAACAGTGCGTCCAGGGTGTTTCTCATGTCTGGACCAAAACCTGGGCTGGGTTCGGCGCTTGCGACTTGATGCATCAAGTTGCTAGCAAACGCAGAGTGGGCGGCTAATGAGGACTCTCCCTCAACACCCAACACCGCAGAAGGCGTTTGCTGGATATTCTGGCTCGATGGACTTGACGGAACTGTCGATACGTGCGCAGCTCGTGTCGGTAAGGCGGCATGAGAACATCGATCGGGTTGTCGGTCATTTTTGAGATCATGGAGTAGGCCAAGGACTTGGTCCATGCGACGATCAAGCTGGTCGATTTTCTTCTCACTGAATGAAATGTGATGTTGTCAGATATTCAAGAGTAGATGATATTGATTAGAGGTAGCATGGGATAATAAAGTGACAGACTATTGTGGAGTGACTAGGATGCGGTTGCGTTTCTCCCTAGGTTTCTTTTCGGTAACGACACATTCTAGTTTGGTGTTGATGCAGTGAGAGCATGGGTACTGCCTATCACAACGGATCTATGATACAGACTGTTAGCGCTGAGTGTCCGGGGAGAGTCTTGAGTAAGCATTGGAGCTGGGGTATGGCATGAACCGGGCAGAGAGATGCTGTCTGTGTACCTTGCGAACGCGGCAGTTCTCGCACTATGAATAAGTCAGCTTCATCATCAGAGGGATACTCCAAGACCATGAATTATGACAGCAGAACTAACCGCAGGTCGAATGTGGACGTTGGAACTTGGTGACGGGGCCTCTAGCGCGTCGTCGCCGTGAGCAGCTGTATCCGTATCCATGATGAGCGAGAGGACAGCAGACCGGCATGCAGGCGAGCGGCGGGGAACTGGGAACGCGGGCAGCGACAGGAAACATGGAATTCGGGCCCGTCAAGACGATATTAGCCCAAAACCCGCGAGGTGAGTTTGCGAGTGTACGAGTCACACCGAATGCGGGCATCGGGGCCCGGAGATCCGGGTGCCGAGTAGCCTACAGAAATTTCCATATGCAATTGGTCCGGGCTCTATAAGTGGGTCCCCGGTGCGTCTTCCTGTCGTCATATTCCTGATACTAATCAGGCTTCTCTTGCTACCTCGATATAAATCTTGAGATAAAATGTAAAGGCAGGCAGCTCACTTAATTACAGAATAATCCACTATAACTATGTGGTGTTTGCAGTGAGCACGCCGCTGCCCCGACAGCTGAGTTCTTCGCATTGATATCTGTTGAGGAACAAGGACAATAATTAAAACTTTGCCCGCTACAACGGAGTATGAAGTTTCGCAGTAACTATACTTATCCGAAATGAGACCAAACATACATCGTTGACTTCCGATTATGATCCAAATGCTTTGCTGTGACATGGGAAAGTTCATGCGTCCTTCGCCCATGACTCCCATTCATAAGAAGCAAGCATAAATGGCCCCACGCCATTTTGCCCATTCTCCAGCTTTGGTCTGCTAATGTAGTACTGATATTGTCAGTAAGCTTTTGCGTTATGGATGCCGCACTCACCTCAAACGTGACATTGGAACTGGTCAAACCACATTCAGCAACCGTGCTGTTCAGAATCAACGAACCGTCTTCGCCTTCAGTGACAAAGTTGTCAATCAAGCTTGTAAAAGCATCTTTGGCAATTTCGAGATACTCATCAGAGACAAGGTATCCCAAGTCAACAGCCTTCAACAAGCCCCACGTAAACATGGAGGAGCCGCTACTCTCGATAAAGTTCCCTTCGCGCTTGGGGTAGGGTTCGTTCATGACTTGCCACCAGCTGCCAAGATCTGGATCGCGGGAGGCCTTGAGACCCTTTGCGACGGATTCAAGGTACCCAAGTAACTGGTCGTAGCCGGAATGTGACGTGGGGAAGTACTGCAACACCTCAACGAGAGCCATGAAGTACCACCCAAGAGCACGTCCCCATACGTTTGGCGCTCGGCCTGTTTCTGGATCAGCCCATGATGCTTCGCCTTCGACCCATCCGTGCACGTGAAGGCCAGTTGTCTCGTTGATCGTGTTCTCATGTATGAGCTCGTACTGCAGAAGTATGTCGTCCCAGGCTGTGTTATTGTCCGAGTCATAGAGATGCGTCCATCTAGCGTAGAATGAGTCTGCCATGTAGATACCATCGAGCCACATCTGATCGCGAAAGAATTGCTGGTGCCTGTAATCCTCATAAGCAGGTGTTGTGAGAGAGGAACTTAATGCTTTCCGCTCACCAAAAGCCCCCGGATGGGGTGCGAGGATACGAGTCCAACATACGTCTAACAGTATTGGCAGCCGTCTCATATTTTGGCTCTCCAGTCTGGTTGTAAAGGTATAGATAGTTATGCCCCATTCGGTACTCATCAAGGATATACCGTGATGTGTTGAGCCCTTTAATAGAGCCATCCTCTTGAACAACGGGGCCATCGATCTGGCCGATGTACCAATCAAGATATTTCTGATCTCCAGAAAGCTCGTAGGCTTTCTCAAACCCAAGATAGAGGACTGCATCTTGATATCCAAGGTCCGGTTTGACGCCCTTTGCGATCATGGTATCTGCCATCTCTGTCAGATAGGCAAGGCCACATTCGGCTCCGATGAGCATGGTGACAAGAGACCGCATTAAGGGCCGTAGCATGTTGTCCATGATAAGAATCTCTAATATCTTCAATGTACTTATCGCCTGAAAGAATTCTGTTGGATCCAGCAAAGGGGACTCTCCAACAGCAATAAATCAACCAGCTCCATCATGACCAGCCTTACTGCTCATATAATAGCAAGACTATGTCACCAACAAGGCAGGTAGCAATGGCCAAACGTCATGCTGTTGGTCATTCGAGACGTTCATGTGACTATGCAGCTGTGATCAACCGTTGTTTCAGAAAGCCTTGTTTCTTCATGCTTTGTGAGGTCACCAATGAGGGGGAACGGCATGCAGCGGGTTACATTGTACTCACTTGCCAATGAGAGTCTAGGTATGTTGCCGGGAATATAGCCTTATGCATAATAATATATGATATGTTTCTGTCGCTGAGAGAGTTTTCTGGTTGATGTTTATAATGTTGATTAAACCTTGTATTAAGACTGATGGTATGATGTAATGAGTTCTTTAGGGTACCTAGAGGGTATGTTACTATTAATAGCAATATATTATTATCATCAGTCTATAACATAATCTTAGATGTATCGCAATCTTCTGCAACAATTTACTTCCTTATTCTCCTCTGGACCATTTAATACAATTACCAGAAGACCTGCTACTATGAAGAGCAACAACAGGGACTTTGATTGCGTCAAGGTTGATGTAACCCCGTGATACCTCTACAGATTATGACCTTGCCAAAGAGATCAATTGTTCACAGGATTGGGACTCGGGATTTGAAGCCTTTCTGCAATTTAATAGAAATCCGAGTCGACGAGATGTGTCGCCGTGGAATCAGCTTCCAATACCACACAAAGACGTATGATCTAGTTACTGCTTCAGAAACACTGCTTGTTCTTCACGCGTTGTAGTAACACGCAAAAGCCTGGGCCAAGCTCGTTGCCGTCTTACACTTGCAGTCCCCAGTATATCTCATCTGATCCAGATAGCCATTGCAGTCCCTTGACTTGTAGATATTGCAGAGGCACCCTCCGGCCTGGCATTCTGCGATCAGCATGCTGGACCCATAATGGTAGTTGTAGCAGTTTGTCTTTCCTGCGTAAATGCTTTGTGCCCAGGTCACATCGAGTTGACCGGAATATGACTTGCATTTGGTGTCGCTGTAGTAGTTGATCTGCATCTGCTTGGCTGCGGCAGCCGCGGAGATCAGCGTGGCGAGGACTGAAGCGGTTAAGAACTGCATCGTTTTGGTTGCTGCATAATGGGTCGTTAGTCACAAGGACATGTAGAGGAGATGGTGATTGGAACGCGTGGTGACCTACAGATGAGGCCTGATTTGTGGTGGGATGAAGATCATTTACCGGGTTGGTGTCTTGGCGGAAAAGGTCCCGGATGTCATCCTTATATACATAAGTATTAGCTCTCCTGACCTTTTAATGTTCAGAAACTTTTGCTCGTAAAAGACTATGGATATAATCGTGACAGATGTTGAGGTAAATATCAACACAAGGCTGTAGCATATTTGAGAAACATCACAAAGGCATGTGCATTGAAGACACGGAATGTTCATTGAGACGAAATAGGTCAAAGCAAACTCGCTTCACACAAAGGACTTCCGGTACTAGTTCAGCTCGCCAGTCCGAATGGGCCGTCTGCATACACGAGGTGGATGTACCATTCATCAGACGTTACATATTCCCCCCATCCCATTTTGGAAACTCGGAACCAGTGTTGAACTGATATCTCCACTTACAGATGCGGTTCTCTTATCGGTACTCATTACCGCAATCGCCCATTGCCTCAAACATCTCGGTTCTGTTACTCCGGTTCAAGACCTCTTCGATGACCAGGCGGTCATCATCATCCAAGCTCCAGCCGAGAGTAGTAGCATTATCACTTGTATGCTCACTCATACCGATCCGTGCGCCAATGATGACTGCTCCGACGTAGGGAAAGTCTAAGACCCAGCGCGTAGCTATGTTGGAGATGTTGACTTTGTGCTTTGTCGCGATGGTGCGTAGGACGCTAAGAAGCTCTTGGAAGAGATCCCAGCCGCCCCAGCTGCATATCATTCCGTAGTACTTCAGCCATCGTCAGTAAGTTAATGAAAGAATATGGCTGTTTCGCCTACCTTTCTCTGGCTGGGAGTAATGTTGGTATCGTAGACATCTGGTTCGGGCTGGTTGAGCCACTTATCCGCGATGAACCCACCGCACTGGAGAAATGATTTATTAGTGGTTGCACGGCGATCATATCAGAAGAGGCTTACCAGAGTTCCATATGTCAACAGCTTGATGCCATATCTTGAGCATGCATCTGCCATCTTCACAGTGGGCCTCGAATCGATCAGTGAGAACTACAGCCAGTAAGTACCAGTTCTATCAGTGCCTGTTCAACTACTAACCTGCACCTGATTCGTATATATCTTGACACCAGTTTCGACAACTCGTTCAAGGTGTTCCGTGTCAAAGTTACACAGCCCAATCCGAGCCACGCGTTTGTCTTCTACTAAATATTGCAGCGCGTCGATATACTGCGGATTATCCCACTACGGCTGTCAGTGAGGCTCGTCGAACATTCATCAAGACTTACAAGCTGCCAATGGAATTGGAGTAGATCAATCACCTCTTGCTGTAATCTACTGCACCTCTCGCTGACATTGGCCTGCACTGCTTCTCGGGAAACAGTGATGGGGTGAAACACGCAATACTTTGTTGCAGTAAACATTTCGTCCTTATGGGGATACATCGACCGAAAACGGCCCTGTAGTCGTGTTAGTCAACCGTGAAGAGCCTTGAAGTATCGCGTACTTACATAGAGAACTTCAGCATCACCATAGTGATCTGCCATGTCGAACGCAGTAAATCCATTTTGAACATGTGTCGAGAATCCTTCGATGATTTTAGACATCTGTGCGGAACCCCAGGCTGGACTTGACATCTGCCATAGGCCTGAGAAAATGCGAGGTAGTGGTCTATCACCGAGTTGAAAGGTTTCCTTGGCCGGCGGAGGCTGTGCAATGTCTGAAGGTACTTTGCTCAATCTTGTTTCTGGCGAGTCCGGCAAAGCAACACCCAAGATGTTTGCCGTTGTGAGCATACCCCTTCCATAGGGAAAAGCTATGAATGTGCCCTTCAGCATCTCCTGACACTGAGTAAGAGACTCCAACAGTCTTTGGACGATATTTTGTTCTATCGAAGAAAACACTCGTGCCCCCGAGCTTACAGCAAGTCTCTTCGTCACAGCTGTCATTGCTTGGACCAAATCACCATCCATAGAAGCTAGGAGTGAGTCAACCCTCTGTTTCTCGGTTTCCGGTGAGTCAAGAGCGATCTGAATACCGCGAACAACCAGTTTGTCGAGAATGGAAACACCATCAAACGCTTGCCCAGACCCAAGCATACAGCGAGCTATCTTCTGGGTCTTCTCCAGTCCATCAATATCGAGAGTGGTTAATTGGGACTTGGAAGACTTTGTCTGGGCCTGAGCAAGGTATTGTCGTGTTGCGTCTTCAAAGCTCGTTGTGATGTCAGGGTGCGATGCCAGTAGTGAGCGGATGATAACTCTCAGACCATCAGGTGGTAGGTTCGCTATAACGCTGTCCGTCATCATATTGACGTGGGCGGTATTACTGCTGCCATTGCGAGAGACCGCCATAACGATCGATTGATTGAAACTGACAAAGTTTTAGGAGAATTCTGCAGTGCTTGAATATCTCTATGAGTCGTGGAGTTGAAGATGACGAAATTACTAGTCTTGATAGAGCCTGATATGAGTACTTGAATATGACGACTGGGAAAAGCCGCCGGTGTTCAACGCTATTATCGGCGTTCAAGAAAGCGACACCGGCGTTTTAGATGCGAGTTAGAATGCCGAGATAGCCGGGATGATAATCAGCTAACTGCTTATCAGCTTCTGAACCAATCAGCAACGTCCTTCTTATCGAGAGCATCCACTACGCTAGTTACCCCGGATTTGGTGATGACCGCGATTGATTGGGCAGGCAGGCTTGGTGACGATTCTTCAACCAGGGTCATTCCAGAGCCAGGTGCAGAACACTGAATGAAGTACGCATCAGCACGTTGCCAACATGTCAAGTCCATCTCTTCCGAGTGCTAATGCGTGTATACAATGTCGAAGAGTCAAGATGAAATGTCGTCCTATGGGACAAGATACGTCTAAATGTGAACGTTGTACCCGCAAAGCCCTTGATTGTATTTTCAGGGAGCATCGTCGCGGCCGCAAGCCAGGCACAAAGTAGGAAGCTCAACCTAGTGGTCTTGTGATATGGTTAACATGAAGCATAGACTCACGAAAACGAAGAAAGCCCCTACCATCTCACCACAGTCGATTCCAAGTCTGGAGAGTCCAGCGGCAGCAGGGGCCCATACCTCCGAAACTGAAGATGATACGAATAATCTACAGCCATCAGGATTACTGAACCACCAGGCGCTGGAGGGAAAGTTCTCTCTAGGCAATATTCTAAGTGCGGACCAGGAACCTGTGCAGCGACAGAGAAGCAGCAATGAGCCACTTGAAGATCCCATTGAACTTGGGCTGGTCACTCCATCTCTGGCAAAGTCTCTATTCGATAGGTAACCAGGATCTTCTACGTGTTCATAGTGTATATACTGACATCCTCCCAGCTTCATAACCGTTTTAAATCCATACATCAGCCAACTCGATCCCTATCTCCATACCTTTACCTACGTCCGCTCCAAGTCTGCATTTCTTCTGAGCTCCATACTAGCCATGTCAGCAAAGGCTTTCAATCACGTCTTGTATGCTAAGCTCTATGATCACTCACAAGACCTCTTCGCAAACGTCTTCCGCCGAGGGAGCAAATCCATCGAAATCGTGCAAGCAATTCTCATCCTCACCTATTGGAAGGAACCGCAGGACACAAGAGTCTGGACCTCTGTTGGATACGCGATCCGTATATGTATGGACCTGGGATGGCACAAACTTACGCCTTACTCCCCCACTGCTGTTGCGGAGTCTGAAATGCAAAAACGAGAACGACGGAACGTTGAGAGAACGTGGTATGTTTTGTTTGTCTACGATCGAAGGTATGATCTTCCTCCCCTTCGGATACATGTGCAAGCATGAGTGTGTTGATACTTATGTCCATAAAGCATTAGCTTGCAGACTGGCAGGCCCTGGATGATTGACTGCACTGAGTTTATCGAATCAATAGAAGACTGGTGCAACGGCCCTCTGGCCATTGACAATGATCAGCTTCTAGGCGCCTTTACTACGCTAAGATTGGTCACCTCCGCTTCGTTTCCACTACTTGCTGCCAAGTCACGGCAGCGATCTATCTCGCTTAGTGAGACCGCGTCTCTTGTTGGCCTCTTAGATGGCCGTATTGAGCGATGGGAAAGGAAGTGGACTGCAAACGTCACGGCACAGACTGAACAATCCTGCCATGAGTTTCTCATCCGCTTCTACGGTGCACACCTTCGTCTTCAGCTTCATACCCTACCACTCCATGGTATTCTCGTCTCCGACAAATCGTATATCAACCATCATATTGACACAGTCTGGGTGGCATATAGCAGTGCCCTCAACATGCTGCAGCTAATTTCACGCTTTTCAGAGCATGTCTGCTTCGCTCAAGACTCCATCCATGTCATGACAGCTTATAGTGCTGCATTTCTCGTCAAAGTTGGTCCACTTCTGTTGCTTGACTGGAAAGTACTGACACTTTTTGATTATAGATCACTCTTGTATTTTCCGATTTCATATCTGGCCAGCTCGAATCAACCTGCACAGAGGCTATTCAGCAAGCTGCACAGGTCTTCTCCAATCAATCCGGATGCATAAGCTCTAGTTGCACCCTGCAAGCATCGTTTCTAGAAAGAGTCGCTATGAAACTTACAGAGAACCAAACGAGACACAAGACACCCCAGGAAGGTGGGCCTACAGGACTTGCAGGGCCTGTACCACAGACGATAGACCAGCTTGACATAAATGGAGGGCCCAGTGCAGACTCAGAAGGCAGCTCATCCTCCCAACGTCCCCCCGACCTAGCAACCCTAGATATATCATTTCTAGCTCAGGAAAACCTGGACTTCCCTTTCGAGTGTGATAATATGTGGGCAGAAATGTTTGGAATGAACACTCAAGATGTATCATTCTTCCCACAAACAGATTAATGAATATTATACATCTAACTGCTACTCTTTCCATCATGCTTCATGACCCCGAGTTTCCACTCAATGGAACAACAGTAGTCTCAGCATGAGTGAACGTCCGAATCCCTTCCTTCACTATCTTCAGTTGCGAGGGACAGTTAGGATCAGGGCAAGCTATTAGTGCATCCGTAGTCATCCAGTCGTTGGGAGATGTCACTCTCTGCTTGGCTGGTAGAAGCGGAAGAACGGATGCTGGTTCCAATCAGTATGGCGCAAGTTCTTATATAGTACTTCTCATCTTACCAAGGCTATAGATACTGATCCCCTGGTCCGGTGGGAGGTAAAGCATTTCACCTTTCAGCGTGAAGTAGTCGCCTTTTTTCGCTCCACACATAATTTTCTTGCCTGGCGGACAAACGACCTCAACTCTCAAGTCAAATAGCTCAAAGGAGTCATCATGCGTAGAGTTAGTCTTAGTGGAAGCCATGGCTGATAAGAATAGGAACTAAAGGGAAATGGCGAAGATGACAGTCGTTTGCATCGACACATGGAGACATTATAGTAAAGCTCTGGACTGGTCTAGGCTATGAGGCGTCACGGTTTATTGCCGACCGGCGACTTTCCCCGCGTATCCGCACCGGCGTTCTAAACATCCACCGGCGACTCAAGCTAAACTCCTGTTTCCCCTCATGATAAACGAGCCTTGCATTGCGATAAGCCACTGGAGTCGGTCTCCATCATAAATAATGGAGAAGATCGGCCGACTCAGATAACATGACTTGAGTCACTGCAGCATTGGGAAACATTATTATTATCCGCATTTGTCAATGGCAATATTTGAGGTTCATACTTCTCTTTTCAACTCAACTTCATATTAATACTTGTTTCTGAGGCAATGGATAAGGACGAAAAGATTGTCGCATGCAGTGACATGCCGGCAGACGTCGAGATGGGCAGCGGGAACACGGAGGTCATCTCATCCAATGGCCTCAAGCGTGAACTGGGATCCCGACACATCAACATGATTGCTGTCGCTGGCATGATTGTAAGCTTCTCCAGTGCATTTACCGATAACAGAATTGACTCTGGTAGGGAACGGGACTATTCCTCAGCTCTGGCCAGGTCATCGCGACAGCAGGCCCAGTCGGAGCTCTTCTCGCATATACACTCATGGGATTTGTTACAGCGGGCGTTGCATATACTACAGGAGAAATCACGGCGTTCATGCCATCAACCGGCGGTTTCGTTCGTCATGCGACGAAGTTCGTTGAGCCTGCATTAGGTGCTGCAACTGGCTGGAACTTCTGTAAGTTGCTGACTTCCGACGGTGGTCGATTGCAATAATCTGACTCGAGTAGGGTATACCATGGCAATCAATATGCCAGCCGAGATAAGCGCTGCAGCCACGCTCGTTCAATTCTGGAACACATCGATCAACCCTGGCGTCTGGATCACCATCTTTCTTCTCTTCATCATCGTCGCCAACCTTTGCGGAGCCAAACTCTACGGCGAGTCCGAAGTCGTCTTCGCATCCCTCAAGATCATGCTCATAATCGGTCTCATCATTGGTGGACTAGTTATTGACCTCGGTGGAGCACCGAATCACGAACGGCTGGGCTTTCGGTACTGGATCCATCCAGGAGCCTTCAACACTTATATCAAAGACGGTTCGTCTGGACGGTTCCTCGCATTCTGGAAGGCAATGCTTCCTGCTGCTTTCAGTTACGGCAATATTCAAGTCGTGGCCATCTCGGGGTCTGAAACGCGTAACCCTCGAAAGCTCATCCCGGCTGCGACAAAGAAGACCTTCTACCGAATATTCTTCTTCTATTTCTGCAGCATCTTCATCGTCGGTCTCATTGTGTAAGTACTTGATGTGGACTGCAAGAACTCTGAGGAACTAACGAAAATCCGTCAGGCCATACAACGACCCAGCTCTCGGCGTCTCTACCGGAACCGCCTCACAGTCTCCATTCGTCATCGCCTTCCAACGATCCGGAGTATCAGTTGTCCCCTCTATCATCAACGCTGTCGTGTGTACTTCAGCCATAAGCAGCGGCTCTGCTTGTATCTTCATCGCCTCTCGAACTCTTTTCGGCCTTAGCTGTGATGGCCATGCTCCTCAGTTCTTCCAACGTTGCAACAGATTCGGCACCCCCCACTATGCGGTTGGTATGAGCTGCCTATTGTCTCCCCTCGTGTATTTGACGGTTGTCAACAACACTTCCGTGGTCTTCGCCTGGTTTGTGAACATTACGACTGTTGCTGGCCTTATAGGCTGGGTCGTCATTCAGGTGACCTATCTCCGTTTCTTTGCTGGTCTCAAGAAACAGGGGTACAGTAGAAAAGGTATGCCACATAGAAGCATCACCTCAAGAGTTTCTCTAACGTATCTAGATCTTCCCTACAAGAGTCCCTTTCAGCCATACGTGGCCTGGGCAACATTGCTTATGGTTTCCCTGGTTATCCTGTTTTGTGGCAAGTCACAGCTCTCCCATCCTATCCCCCTCAATGGATGAATACCCTTGCTAACTACATCTCAGGTTTTGACGTCTTCGTGAAGGGTCACTTCACTGCCCAGGGATTCATCACATGTTACATCAACATAGCCATCTTTGCTGGTGTGTATGAACTATCCACTATTGCATCTACACAATAGGCTAACAAGATGACTTCAGTGCTTTACACAATCTTCAAGATCCGGCTGAGGTCGAAAGTTATACCAACGTCAGAGATCGAGCTCAGTGAAGAGTTTCGGTCAATTCGGGAGGAAAAGCAGCAGGAGGAAGCTAATCAACAGCATAAATAAATCGCCATTCCATTTTTGATATATAGCTATTTCCAAGAAATGCAGTTCTAACGAGAGGGACATACAAAATGAGACAAACTAGTTTCCAGTCTTTCGCTAGACCAGGCTTGTTCATGCACCCTTCTCTCCAAAGTCCTTGGGTACCTCGGGACCCCAAACCGAGAAAGGTCCAACGACGTCCCTGTTGGTCCCTGTTGCCCGATTGACGACATCACCATCAGCATAATGCTCAATCTTGAAGCCACTGGGATCCGCCCAGTAGTCAAAGATCTGACTACCCAAAACATGTCGCCCAACGCCCCAGACACTCTTCCAGCCTTTGCTAGCCAGATACTCGTGTCCAATGAGCTGAGTATCAAAATCTGCCACTTCAAATGAGGTATGGTGGCAGTATATCTTTTTGACATGAGGCTCAGCTCGCTGCATGAAAAAGCAGTGATGATCAGAATACTCATCGCCGAGATCCAGGTGCATAAAGGTGAGCACGTCCATATTGGAGAAGTCCCAATGGTACAGGATATCTGAAGGGACGAAATTGAAGTTGTCTGTGTACCATGCTAGCTCGTTATCAAAGTCCGGGACAACGTAGCCGAAATGGCCGAGCTTGTGAACAAGTGCTGGGCCAGGGTGGTATCGCTGGTATTTTCCTATCAAGGGTCAGTATACAAGAAGCAGTACATAGATGGTGAATATTGAACCCACCTCGCCTTGGCTTTGTGAATGGCTTGTTGTATGGTCCCTGCTGCTCATGTGTTGCGGTGGGTTCTTCTGAATCAATCTTTCTCTCTTCTTGACCATACACAACACGAAAGAATGTGTTGTCTTGTCGACTGAACTTGATCATCTTTCCCCCACCAGGCGCATGCTCAAGAGAAACTCGCTCGGCTCCTTCAAGAGCAGCTGCCTTCTCAAACTCTTCCTCAGAGGCAGCTACGAAAGCAGGCCCAAGGAATCTCTGCTTTCCATCTTTACTCTTGGTTGCGACGTAGACAAAAGGGTCTATGCCATAACCTCGGTAATAACTGGTATCTCCGACTTGAGCTTCTTTGACAAAGCCAAAGTCATCTGCGAATCTGTCGAACTTGTCCAGGTCTGGGTGTTCAAAGTAGACATGGGCGATGCGGGATAGTTGTACCTTGGAAGGGTCATTGGTGATTGTGGGAATTCGCATGTCAGGCATAATGGCTTCTCGTAAACACCTGGGCAGTTTTGTGAGAACAGTCAATGCGACTTTCAATGCCAGAGACATAGTCAGGCGCTGGAGTTGAATCTTTCTACTACTGTTTATAGACTGTGGGTATTTATTCCTCGAGGGGATATAGTTTATAGGTTCCGCAGCTGCTGGTCTCTGTAATCCCCGAACCTGGGGTAGTAGTTGGGGCCATGACGCCGCTCTCCGCGACCCACTCACACGGTTGTTGGCTTCGGAGGAACTCAAGTTAGCGTCGGAGGATCTACCATTAGAGAACGAGTAGAACAAGTCGGGCTTGTCCAACACCGAGAAATGAATCAATCGGAGAGTCGGACTTGACCGTAATTCCGTGCCTCGTGATTCACGCAAGATTCCAGCCTCGGCAGTCATGGAACTCCCCGCAGAAACCCGGGGCAAACTCTGAATCGCGGCGCGACTTCGCCTTATGAGCCACAGTCTTGCATGGCATATAAGATAGTAAACTATACGATCGGGCTTTCTCACGCAGCCGTGAGAATTTTACTATGACTGCTCCATACGCACCTCCCTTTGCGCTCGTCACTGGCTGCAACAGTGGCATTGGCGAGCAACTTGCCATTGCCCTCGCCAAGAACAACTTTACAGTATTCGCCACAGCCAGACGTGTCGAGTCTTTAGACAATCTAACAAGACAACATGCAAACATCATTGCACTACCTCTAGAGCTCAGCAACTCTACAAGTCTCGAAAGTCTTAGGGACTCGGTCACCAAATACACTGGAGGACGACTAGACATACTCGTCAACAATGCGGGGATGCACTACGCAGCACCAGCAACGGATATCAACGTCAACGAAGTCACGAAGCTATTCGCAGTCAATGTTATAGCCGTTATGCGCATATGTCAGCTCTTTGTTCCACTGTTGCGAAAGGCCCCTCGACCACGCATTGTCCAGATCGGAAGTGTCACTCGCGATGTTCCCGTTGTATGTCAGTCGGTGTACAACGCCTCCAAGGCTGCTCTCAGCCAGTATACCAAAACTCTTCGTGTGGTGAGTTGACATATCTCCATTCAGAACTGAGAGTAACTCGTTCAAGTGCGACGCTAATCATCGAACTTAGGAATTGAGGCCCCTGTCTATCGAAGTCATTGAGGTTGTGACTGGGTATGTCCGCAGCAACATCCTTAGAGATGGCGTTCTCATCTCCGAAGACTCGCTGTACCGACCCATCAAGACTACTGTTGAGGCTGTTAAGAATGGAGGAAACAGGACCGGCATGCCCGCAGACGAATATGCTCGTGTTGTTGTACGCCAAATCCTTGGCAAAACATATAAGCGAGAGATATGGGAAGGTCATCGGTCGCGTATATTACGCTTTATGGTGACTTTTTTCCCGTTATGGTTATTGGTATGTGAGCCTATTCAACACCATGGCTAACGACTAACGCAATTGCTAGGAGTTTACACTTTTCATGTCCTTCAAGTTACATCTTGTATCAGATACCAAGCTAAAAAGCAACAAGGGTTAATGGTCTTAACAAATTACCGTGGCTTATATTATAGGTTCTACTACGAAGTATAGAATCGGTTGCCAGGAAGGTGGAAGACCATAGATAAGAACAAGGCCAAGTCCTGCTCTTTTGCTTTATCAATACCTCTAAGCTCTCCGATGCTTTGCCTGTGGTTCCTCTCCATTAGTATATATACACAAGGAACGTTTATAGCCCATTCTTGCAGTCTTCCATTCTATGCTACTAGAGGCAGTGTGGCGGAGTAGTAGCTTAGCATAAGAAGCTGCAGTTGCTGCTGCGTAATTCTGCCACCTTTTGTTTTTGTAAGAATCTGCATAATCGCAGATGCCGCGGATAACAAGGCATGGAAGGATATTCATGACTCCTGCCGCTTCCATCTCAAAACATAATATGCCATGTTCTTTTGCCCAACGGTCACGTGCAACAGCGTCCTTAAGAACCCTGTTTCCGGATGCAATAAGGCCATAATGGATTTCTGGTTGATCTGTTGGTCGACGTGCCCTGCGCTGCACATGGCTCTCTGCGTCAATACAGTCTTCAAGTGCAAAGCAGGTGGAGCATGCTGCCTTAAAGAGATGATCATTCTCTTGTCCGGGGTGGCTGTAGTCTGACGTAAGGGTTCATCTCTACCCTATAGCAGAAGTACTATCAAGAACGCTTCGAAAGTGGACCTTGAATTCTCCGATGCTTATTACCTAAGCCAATTTTCTGATGACTTTTTCGATAATAATAGTTCAGAAATCAAAGCCGCTTCAAACAGGGATTTGGAAGAGCGCCTAATGCCAAAGACTCCCCCTCCTGGTTAACCCTTTTGGCATGGCAGCCCCATCACCCAATCGCCAGTTATGCAGCAATCACTTGTCTAACCCCAAGTCCAGCAGTTTCCCTGCCTGTTCTATAAGCATAACCTAGAACGGTAAAGACTTCGAGGACCTGCTGGGGGCCAGGATAGAAAATAGTCTATCGGGTCAAGTTAGTATATTTTATCCAAGGTACTTGTGGTAAACTAATGCCGCCTTAGAGAGCATACCTTTCGATCCCATACACGCCCAGATTTTGAATGCCAGCGCTGCTTCCAGTCTTTCAAGAGAGAAAGGGATCTAGGCCGGCATTTGAGAGTACCTGTGCCTTGTGAGACTTCAAGTCATAGGCCTCATGAAAACGAGGGCATTAATGCAGCCCAGTCCAAGGAATTATGTAGGGGAGCTAAGAAACACAACCCAGGAACTGGTCCAAAAATGGGTGAAGAATGGAGATGGAATGACGTTTATAAGATTATCTTTCCAGACGCAGACGATAACCAGCTTCCTACACCATACTATGATAAATAGCTGGCATTCTGAACGACGGAGCATGAATAGGTTCCAAGGACACATTTTGCAGAGTTTGGGCCGCAGTATCCCTGTTTTGATAAAAGAATATATGTATCAGAGGTTATTCATAGCGGCCACCCAGTATTGCTAGATGCTGTTAGTCAGGGAATTACATGTCTCAAGTGACAATACAAATTTGCTTTAATGAGGGGGCATGAACTCACAGTCTCTGCGCCTGCTCCAACAGAGCGCACCTTTGAAGCCAGCCATCCGCCGCCTGGGGCAGACTCCACGTCAAATCTAGCCTCACCATCGCTGATACCCTTGCTAAACATGATCTGGCTCGGCAACTCTGGATACTTCACAGCTGGTCTCCCAAGTCCGATCAGATCGCAGGCGTTGCTATCAAGAGCTCCAGCAATACCATTCCGACTTCTGAACCCTCCTGTCACGAGCAGTGTGAGATCAGGAAATCTGCGACGAATCTCTTCGCTTGTTCGTAGGAAGAACCCCTCCCGAATTGAGCGAGACCTGGTAGAACTTGGCTGCAGGGAAGAATTGGTGCTCATCATCTGAGGGTCTTCAAAAGATCCACCGCTCAGGTTGATGTAGTCGATTTCCTCCTGCTGAATCAACTCGATCTGTCGTAGCATCTGAGCCATGCCCTCTTCGTCTTTGAAGTCCGCCGAATTGATCTTTACACCAACGCAGAATGACTTGGGGACTTCTTTGCGGATAGATCGGATGATGCGAAGAACTAGTTCGACGCGCTTGTCTGTTGAACCTCCGAACTCATCATCGCGCTGGTTGCTATTTGATGACATGAACTGAGATAGTAAGAATCCATCTGCCATCTAGATTAGCAAGTATACCAGTTTATTTTCTTGTACCACTGGTGACTTACGTGCTGCGTGAACTTCAACGCCTTGAAAGCCAGCTTGGTAAGCTAGTCGCGCAGCTTCAGTGAATTGTGCGATGACAACATCGATTTCATGCCGTGTCATGGCCCTTGGAGTTCCAAAGACCAACATACCGATCAATTTTGCGACGGTGTTGTCGCCGAGATGAATGGGAATGGCACTTGGCGCGATCGTCTTTGCGAATATGCTTCTCTTTCCCGCTCCAATTGAAGATTGTCGTCCTGGATGGTTCCTAACACATCAATCCAATTAGTCGCGACGTCTTTCAGCCTTCACTCCATGTTTCAGATGCTGTGCTTACAATTGAGCAATCATATGACAGTTCTGGTTCTTGGTAACGGCCGTCCATTGTGACCAGCTCTTAAGCAAGTTCGATGTGGTTCCGGTGACTGCGACGTCTTCATTGCTGCCAAGATATTGGTCTGAAACCATGATGTTACCTATTCATTGTCAGAGCAAAGTTACCCACACATAGGTAAGCTCTTTGCTGTGATTTACCTGTAATTAGAGCTGCCCATCCACCTTGCGCCCAGCGTTTATACAATGCTCTATGATTGGCAGATGGTAATAAGTTCTGGGCCATCTTCTCAGACATTCCAGTCTTGACAAGCCTATTCTTGAGGACGAGTCCGCATCGGAGTCGAAGCTGGGAGTTCGCTGCGGAGTTCATTGTTGACATTGTTCGTGATAGTAAGGTTTCTTGTGAAATCTTGGTCAGACTTGGGCTCAAGGAAAAATTTTTAATTATTTCTCATCAGTAGCACTTATCTATTTACTGTCTAGTTATCTTTTATTGCTATAACTAAACATCACGAGATGTTAAAACTGGCTGCGGAGGAACTCTAGGGTGAATCAGGCCCCGAATCCTCCGAAGCTAAATTCACTCGAGTCAGTTAGTCCCCACATTGGCTTCCTCGTGTTAGTGCTGTCCGGGGTTTCGGCCGGGAACAAATCCAGCCAGGGTCATTCCCAATTAACAACCCTTCGGCCGCCTTCACGTGCCAACCTTTTACAAAATAGACATAATATTTAGCTTAGATATAGCCAAACAGTTTTGAATTTTCACCACATCCGTTTTGTCCTGTTCTTGGTCCTGTGCTCAGCCCTCTCCCCTGAAACACCACCTGCGACGTCTCTCCCCCAAAACACATTCCCCGACAGACAATTGGCTCTTTGACAAAAGCACCTCCACAGATCTCGGAACTTGACGACGCAGAGATACGATTGGCTCCTCAGAAGATAGACGAGGTCTTGGTATCAGTTACACATGTGCCGCTTTCGCCGTTCGCCATGACCTGTTTGCCGATCATGGTCCGTGGGCGGAGCTCAGAAACTATCACTCTGTTTTAAGTGCAAGTGTTTTATGGTTAATTAGCAAATCGCTGTTTAGAAATGGCTGTTTGACGTTTTGTTTGACAGAGTGGCTGTGTTCTTCGGGAGACGAGGATTCCGGGTCTTGGCTGGGCGGGAAGGGTCAAAGCGTGAGTGAAGCCGTGCGGTGCGTGATATGTTTGTCTGGTGATGTTTGGCAGATTTTGAGGCTACCATCGTGAAGCTGTTGAATGTCTCGAGAGTGTCTTGTGTTTTACTTGGCTGCTTCTTTGGTGGTGATATATGTGCATTTTAAGAAGGCCGTAACAGGAAACTGGCTCGTTGACTTTTGTATATAAGTCTGATCATCTTCCTTTCATTGTTTTAATCATCAGCATCAACAATCAGCATCAGTACAATCTTCTTCCCTTTTAATCACTTCTCTCCTGCCGGTCAGGTCTCTTGTTCCAGTCCCTCTGACTATTTCACTCCTCATCTCTTTGCCCACCTTTCTTCTCAAACCTACATCACGATAATATCACAGTCTCAAAATGGCTCCCATCAAGAACATCATCCTGGCCCTTTTCGTCACTGCCGATCTCGCAGCAGTCTCAGCCCACAGCGTCATCACCAATGCAGTTGGTGATGCCGGTGGTTCTGGCATGGCCCTTGGTGTTGATACTTCAACTCCTCGAGACGGAACTCGAAGACGCCCTTTCCAGCAAGACGCAACCCGCTTCCGAGGCAATGCCGCTGATACCGTTGGCGAAACCCTGTCTAACGGTGATAACGACATCGAGCAGGGAACATTGGATATCATGGAAGAGACAGGTAAGCTATACCAATTGACGCTGATAATGGTTATACAAACTCACACTCAAACCAGGAAGCCAACTCCCTCAGGTCAACCCCGGTGGTAGCCTCGAGATGACGGTCCATCAGGTTAACTCAGACGGTGCTGGGCCATACACCTGCATGATCAACGCCGACGGTACCGGTACGTCATGGGATAACATCCCCGTGACGACTAATGTCGAGGGTAATGAGCGGGGACGCAACCGGGACGGTGAGATGGGAGACTTTCCTCTTGTTGCCTCTATCCCTGCCGGGCAGAACTGTACCGGAACAGTCGCGGGCGAGGACAACGTCTGTCTTGTCCGCTGTCAAAACCCGGCTCGCGCTGGCCCATTTGGTGGTGTGATTCCAGTCCAGATGGCTCAGGCCAATGGCGACACTGCTGGTAATGCTGGCAACGCCGGAAATGCTGGTAACGCCGGAAACACGGGAAACACTGGCAATGCTGGTAACGGCAACGCGAATGACAACACCAACGATACCACCAACGATACCACCAATGATACCACCAACGATACCACCAATGATACCACCAATGACACCACCAACGACAGTACCACCAGTGGTGCCAGCGGTAATGCCAACGGTAATGCCAACGGTAACAACAATGGTAACGCCAATGGCAGTGGTAATGACGATGAGGAGGAGGAGGAGGAGAACGACGCTGGCACTCGCAACAACCGCCGTGCCACTCGCTTCTCTGCATAAATGATAAGCCGATAATGATTGGTAACGCAAACTTGGAAACGGAAGACTGGATCACCGACACATGGGACTGGACAGGAGGGGGGATGAAAGCAGGATATCTACATAGTATATTTGGAATGGCGATAGTATAATAAGATTTTGCTGATGAACTCTTGTTCCTCCGTCTTTGATGGTGATTTTGACGCTTAGTTAATTGACTTTCGGGTATAGGGGAAGAGATATAACAATGATATCTTTATCCTTTGACCAGATTTCTCCGGAATATTCCCGCACTTCAATGTCTCATCTTAGACGTTGTCTAGGCCACAGTTCGTGGAAGTCCGGTGATCACTCACTGTTGTAATGACTGCACAGGACCAGTCGGAACCCATCGATGGGCAGCGTCACTGGCAAGCAGTCTATGATCTTCACCTAACATGTTTCGTCAACATGTCTAACCAGCAGTGTAAATAATCCGGGCCTAAGAAAGGTAACTGCATGATCTGTGCTTCAAGGCGATAATTTTGGGAAACAAATAACACGTGAATAAACAGCTCTGCATCATGCTAGTTGTTCCTCCGTGTCATGGCGGGGTGCGTTGCGCCCCAAAAACCTCGGAGGATCTGCAAGCTAGCGACGGAGGAACTCAGATAGACCTATAAATCCAACTCACTTTTGCCGCAAGACCCCACATTCAGTGTTTTGTGACTGTCTGCTACAGGGGACAATTCGGTGGCGCCTGGGGACACCGAGGATAGCGGCACTCGCATTCTACAATGGACCCGGCTACCTTCCATATAAGCCCTCAGAATGAGATGCAATGTCTGGTATAGACACAGCCTAGCAACTTGAATTTCTCGATTACTTGTCTTGTCGCTATCGCATACAATGGAAGAAACTCAAGTAATCATTGTTGGAGGCGGACCAGCAGGTCTCGCCCTGGGACTATCACTAGCCCGACTGAAGATCCATGTTAGTAGCCACCATTTCGACAATTACAGCACCCTGATGTTCAGTACTGACAATTCACTCTTGCCAGTCCGTCATTCTTGAAAAAGAAGCAGAGATCACCACTGACCCCAGAGGCGTATTCCTCACGGGAGATGCCGTCAGAATACTACACAGCCTCGGGATCAACGATCTAGCGGGCATAGGTCATGGTAAGTCCACACGCTTCGAAAGCAAATTCACCTGCATACTGAGTCACATCATGTACTAATCTCTAGTGACACAGAAATGCCGCATGTTAATGTTCATCGTGGTGCATTCAATACTCCGCCATTCTTCTCAATTCGCATTGGGGACATCAACAGTCTTGAACAAGCCTTACCTGAAGGCATTCTGCAAATGCAGCCCCGTCTAGGTATGGTTTCTCTTAAGACCCACGGATGCGTGTCTTCTATGCTAACAGCAGATACAGAGGGGGCTTTGAGGAAGGCTATTGAGGAGTCAAAGTTCTGTTCACTACGTACCGCCTGCGAAGTGGTCTCGCGGTCTGAACAAGATCCACCAGTGATCGACTTCAGCGACAGCCAAGGCACACGACAGCAGATCAAAGGAGAGTGGCTCATCGGCGCCGACGGAAAACTAGGTATTGTCCGAAAGCGCTTCCTCGAACCAACAGTGGGCATCAAGCAAGAAGCTGGACTCTATCCTTACAGCGGTACTTGGATAGCCGCCAATCTGAAGATGAAGCTCCCGACCCCTGAGACTCATCCTGACTTCCCACTTTGGAAGTTTGGGTACTCGCCACAAGAGGTTTATGATCTTTTCTGGCCTATCGGATGGCACTTTTGCACCCCGCCAGGAAAGGCTACGGCTTCCGGAAGATTTGGTCCTTATGAGGAAAGACTTTGGCGCCATGAGTTTGCTCAGGATGAAGCGCTTATCAAGGATAATTCGGAAGAGCTGTTCTGGGAGCATATTACCCCGATGATTACTCTTGAGGAAGACAGAAGCCGCAAGCATGGGTTTGATGGACCTGTGAAGTATCCACGAGATTGCATCGAGATTCTGCGCTGTCGACCATTTCACTTTGTCCACAAGGTTGTTGACCGCTGGTTCAGTGGACGAACTATCCTCATCGGCGACGCAGCGCACGTCTTTCCCCCTTTCGCCGGTCAAGGTATTGGCAGTGGCGTCAGAGACGCTCACCAACTCGCATGGAGGTTAGCTCTGATGCTCCACCCAGACTCCAAGCCCGAAAACCACGACAAACTGCTAAAGTGCTGGGAAGCCGAGCGACGTCAGAGCATCAACGACGCAGCACAATTCTCCATGATCAACGGCCGCATCTGCAACAATGAGCCATCTTTATGGTTACGTTTCTGTTTCCGGCTTTTGATGTCTCTGCATGGCACGCCTCTTTTTCGGTATGTGGACTATTTGTCTTACAAAGAGAAGAAGGGCTTTTCGGATGTTGAAAATGGGTTCTTTGTCAGGGGACGAACAGGTGGTTCCCGTCTGCCTCAGATACATATGAGATCCAAGGGCCAAGTAGGATCATTCTTATCGGATGAACTTTTACGAAAGGACAATACGATCTTCACTCTGGCGGTTGTTAGTGACGGGGAACGAGCCAATCAACTTAGTCTATACGCCGAAGCAAGGGCCGCAGTCCAAGAGGCCGGACTTTCATCCGTCATCTCAAACGATGCCGTCGTTATTTACGATGCACAGTCGGGAGACTCATCACTAGGTCAAAAGACACTTTCAGACATAAATGGAGAGTTTGGTCATCTCACGGTCTGTTCACCTTCACAAGTCCCTGCCGCTAATGGACGTCTGGCGAATGGATACGACAGCTCAGTCTTTGTCAAGCGTCTTGGGAGAGCCACGAAATTTGCCATTATTCGACCCGACTTTTTTGTCTTTGCTTGTGCTTCTGACTATGCTGGGCTGGTCAACTCGCTGAACTCGTTGAGAAGTTTTATTGGGTTCTGCAGGAATAAATAGTGTATATAATACAGAGCTAGAAACGTGCTATGTAGTTTTGTGGCATCTAGCTGTTCTTCTCTTGAGTATTTCTTGCAAATTGATAGTTTATTGCTTATGCTCTTTAATCCTTGGTATCTGAGAGAAGTATAGAAGTAATTAATTTGGTTCCAGTGCTTGAAATAGAAATAATAGGATAAATTATGTCTTCTAAAGCATCCAGTAAGGTAATAGTAGTCACAGAATCTCGTGTTATCATTTAAGACACTAATTCAAATATAAGTGGCAGCATTTAGATATACGTCCCTGACACAGAGTTGACCTTTACTCGCCAGTGGATTTCACGCCTTTGATAGGATGCGCAAAGAGGATAGTAAGGCACTACGTTGATATTCACTATAAAAACTAATACTAATAAGTTCACTATAGGTCATAACTCTAGACAGATTGCCGCCAAAGGGTGTTACATAAATCTGCTAAACAGGAAGATCGCAAGTCTCTGTACAGAGACTACTACACGTGTCAGAAATCCAACTCTGTTGGGTAAATGGTCAGCAAGTCCTCATTCTACAAGGCTCGCACAGGTGAACGAACGATGCTTACTGAAACTTGATAACATTCCGCAACGTTCCAACCCGCGCCATGGTGACTTCGAGCACGTCGCCATCTTTGAGAAACACCTTGGGACTATGGAAAGCACCCACTCCAGCGGGTGTTCCAGTCATGACCGCTGTACCAGCCGGTATGGTTGTTCCTGTACCAAGTCTGTTAGCAATGATCCGGCTCGTGCGCAATGGTGAAGTACCTTGACTCATATGGCTAAGAATCTGCTCCGGCGAGAACACCATATCCTTCTTAAACTCCGCTACCTGCCTGACCTCTCCATTGACCTTTGCTTCTACTGAAAAGCCTGAACCATCACCAAATATGGCTGGGCTGATCAAAGCAGGACCAATGGGGGCAAACTTGTCGAAAGCCTTGGCGAAGAAGAATTGACCGGCTGAATGCTTGGGAAGCTGGTACATGCGGCAAGAAATATCATTGCCCACGGTGTACCCTAGGATGTAGTCCTTGGCTTCCTTGGGAGAAATGTCGCGACATTGTTTAGAGGTGACAAATACAAGCTCGCCCTGTAAAGTAATTAGTTCCAGGTAGAACGAGTTTGTAGTGAGGGTGGGTCCTACCTCGTAGTCTGGAAGACTCTTTGCGCAGAAGTCATTGATTGGGATGTCTTCGCCTGGGTTTGCAAGGGACGCAGCTGGTTTGGTCCATAGAGGAGGAACCGATGTCAAGGTGAGCTGGAATCCTGTTAGCGATTGACTCGGAGCGAACTTTCTGTTTCATTTTTGTATACCGAAGCTTCTTTGGCATGACTGCGATAGTTCAATCCAACGCAGTACAAAGGCAGATCATCTCTTGGCAGTGGTGCTAACAGCTTGACTCAGTTAGCATAATGAATTCGTGAAGGCTTTATTTTACTGAAGTTATAACACAAAGAGACTTACACGACGAATTGTTACTGTTCTGGTCTCATGGTTATCCGTCAAGTCTTGTAACGACTTGACCGCGCTGACTTTGGTCCCAACAGTCGGCGGGCCTCGGGCATCGGGACCAAGATCGGCGAAATATGTCTCCCGGTCCTCTTCAGACTCAAACTTGATAAGTACAGAGAAATTGGCCATCGTGTTGGTATGTCACAGGGTATGATACCGATCCATAATTCCCCATTGATATCAGTGTTTAAATACATCTTCTCTGCAAATAGGTCCTTTTGTGGAACTTCAGGATAGGCTTCGGCAGAAGCTGCTTGTCCTGCGATGCTAAAATGCGGGGAAACATAAACTGCGGCAGATCTCAAGTTTTGACTTTTAAGATCCTCCGACGCGGGATTAGCTGCATTGAAACTGCCGAGGTTGGTTAGTCATCGGAAATAATGCCTTAACAATTCCTCGGAGCATCTCGTGAATCCACAATCTCGACCATTTCTCGCTCAGTCGCATCTTCCGATTGCATCAGAGCATAAACGAGACCCAGTAACCCGGTATTGGTCTTCCGTATACGAGTATTCATCGACAAGCGGCGTATCTATTGCTGGTCTTCGATCGAGAGTATTTCCGATACGAGGAAATGTCTGCTTCACCGTCTTCAGGCGGCGGAACATTCGGCGCAGCTACCTCTGCTCATCGGCTGAGCACCAGAGTCTGTGACAATTGCATTCGGTTCGTAGACCCCGCATCGACTCTCGGCACCGCGGTATCTGACAAATCACCGTCTTGCAGCTCCAAAGTCCGATGTGAGATATCCCGACAATCTCTGACGGCAAGCCGCCAGGACTAACTAATTCGACCGGCTACAGGTGATCTCGGTCAGCCGTCATGCACCCGTTGTCTCGAGCGCGGCAAGACATGTAGCTACTCAACAACACGTCGCCGGCCTGGGCCAGCGCCGGGCTCCGGGCGCCAGCCACGGGCAATCCGTAATCGGAGGCATTCTGGTAAGAGTTATTTGTGTATTGATAAGGCATTGCGGTATCTAATCACTTAACTTAATGCCATAGAGGACACTACCATACAGGGCAATTCTATCTCTGAAGACACTATCTCTTTAGCTGCAGCCGTTTCAGATCTGCCCTCTGAAAGTCCTGTGAGCCTTGTTACTTCACATGCACCTACTCAAGTTAGCAATCAATCGTCACAAGGTCCAAACATCTTACCCGAAGAGGAAGCATATCTGTAAGAAACGACCCCGCATGGTCATATAACTCTGGGCAATATGAGCGTTCTCATGTCTTTTCGCTAATCATGTCAGGGCTGATGAGTACTTCAAATCCATAAATGAAGCCATACCTCTATTCTCTACAGCAGCAGTACTAAGCAGCAAGAATATTCTCTCAGACTGCAGCAGTGAACTTGTTGAAGCATTGCTTCTCATCACAGCCAAACTCCTCGGCTTCAAATTTGCATCGACTCATTTTGACCTCGACGGTCGCATAGACCAAATCCTAAGCAACACTACTCTTCAAGAAGATACAGCCGGTGACTTTCCAGGTCTCGACCTCTTTCGGAAGTTCTGCTTACTCGTCTTCTATGAATTCCACCAATTCCCTGGCCAACAAGCCTGGGTGCGGATAGGAAAGATCGTCCGGCTGGCGTATTGGATGGGCCTTGATCGTCTGGACATAATCCAATCTGTTTCCCCAGAGTGGTCCAATGTGAGCGATGCGGACCTTCAAAACTGGAAGCTTGTCTGGTGGTGCGTATATCGTCTTGACTCGTACGCCAACCTCTCATCCGGCACACCGTACCAAGTTGATGAACGACTTGTCAATACGTCTTTAAATCACCAGGGGCAGCTTTCTCAAGATTTTGCTGCCCCGTGCAGGTTACCTCACGATCCGCGTGGCCTTCCCGACCTTCTCTTGCTTGTCAAGGCTGGTAGCGAAAGCAGCTTACTTTTCAACATCCATCTCATCACCATCACTGTCTTGCGGCAATTTGGCAGAGCAATGAGTATGCGCTATTTGGTTCCTTACGAGAACCTCATGGCGATCTTACTCGACGCAGAACGTACGCTATCTGCAATACGTCTAGCCTTACCACGGAACTTCTTGAACCCTGGAAGAAACGCGTTCATGAATGAGTCAAATACAAATCACCACGCGAGATTAGCCTCAGTGCTTCATCTGCATATGGCCCAACTGCTAGCTGCCCTCGCGAGCTGCTACTATCTTCCAGAAGGGGACGATTGGACGCTTAGCTGGCAACGTGTTCTGGAAACCTGCCAGAACATAGCGGGGATAGCAGAGAAATGGGACAGCAATTACACTCTCACCGTGGACCCAGCACTTTTGCTCATCAGCTTGACGGCGCTTGTTTTCTTGGATATTCACAAGAAGTATACTGAAAGTACTAACACATATCTCATATCCGAGATTGAGAATTGCGAACTTCTTCTTTTGCTCCAACTTGAGCAATTCTCAGCTCATTGGAAGCTTCCAAGTTTATTAATTTGTAAGTCTAACCGTCAAGGCTATTCTTCTGCTAAATCTCGCCTCTAACGATTTGTATCAGTGTCATTCAAGAGCTTCAAGGAGTCGGTGACAGGTCCTCTCTCTTATCCACACATCCAACTTATCCTGTCCCGGTTTGAGAGTCCTTTACACCCAAGATGGTTACAGTTCCTGTCATCTGCTCAAACGCATCTCGAGAACGTGATATGGGGACATGACACTTGAAGTCAAATTTAGAGATGTTTCTTCTTGTTTCCACGAATCCTTGTCTCATCAGATCAGCTGTCTGAATCGCCATCTTCTCGTATCAAATTCCTTTTTGCGATGGCGTCAGTTTTGGATGTCAAATGTAGAGTCAACGTTTAGTACACATCATATAACGACCGCCCAGGCACTAGCTTAGATCACAGTAGTCACGAGGAATGGAAATGTTATCCATCAATAAAGGTATATAGCATTAAACTCATTCAGCTAGCTCATTAGGCTAGATCAAAAACAATTATCGTAGACGGGCAGATACGCGTTTGCTAACTATCGCGGTGCCCTCCTCGCGTGAATGTGAGAAGACGTTACTTAGACTTTGCTGGGAGCAACCTCGTGGACCTCCTGATCCAGAGAAGAAACTCTCTCGGTCTCCTTGCTGAGAACCTCCTTCTCAACGTGCTCGAGATCGACATCAGCCACAGCGGCGTTGTCACCATCGATAACCTTGGCCAACTCCTCAAGAGTAGGTCCACGAGTCTCAACATACATGAAGAAGATGAAAAGAACTTCACCAGCGACCCAGATAGTGTAGATAAGGTAGAGTCTCCAGGTGTTGCCACCGTAGCCGGTTTCCTTCTCGCCTTCGGGGACGGCGGGAGCTTGCCAGGCCTTGAACGCCAGAGGGTTGAGATAGTTGTTGAGCAGAAGAGCAATTTGGACCGAAATGTTGAGGAACATCAGACCCTTGGCACGGAGAGAGTAGGGGAGAATCTCGACAGCATAACCGATCAAGAGACCAGACCAACAAGTCGAGTAAAAGACACCGTGAAGCCAGACAAGGAAGATCATGGCGTTGTTGGCGCCAGGGGCCTGGTGCTGCTCGTGGAGACCGCAGGTAAGGGTCCAGAAGAGTAGAGTCAGGCACATACCACCAGTGGCGAAGAGGAAAGAGAAGCGACGGTTAAGGCGTTCGACAAGGAGAGCGCAGCCGATAGAGACAAACAGATCGAGAATAGTCTTTCCGGCAGTGATGATGAGACGTTCGTTCTCGCTATCGAGACCAGCGTTGATGTAGAGACGGGCAGAGTAGTTGGAGACAACACCATTGCCTGACCACTGGGAGAAGAGACCGAGGGAGAAGAGGACGAGGAGACGGTAGCGGTTACCCTTGGTCTTGAAGAAGTCGGTATATCGGGAGCTGTTGTTGGCGAGCTGCTCGGCCTTGATGGTGTCGCGGATCTCACGGTACTCGAATTGGACAGTTGGGTGGTTCTCGTTGCCGTTGGCGTGGTATTTAGAGAGGATGTGAAGTGCTTCGTCCTGGCGGTCCTTGGCGATGAGGAATCGAGGGGATTCGGGGATCCCTAGAGGACATTTGTTAGCAAAATCCTGGAATGATTCCATTCAGGAGATTAACTTACACCAGAGAATCACGAGCTGAATGAGACCGGGAGCACCCTGGAGGATGGCGGGGAATCGCCACGACCAGTCACTGTTGCCGCCACCCCAGTAGTGAGTACCGAAGCAAGTCCAAGAGACAAGCAGAGAACCCATGTTCCAGAGACAGTTGTAAACAGTGGTGAAGCGAGCACGGTGCTGAGGATGGCACAGCTCAGCGAGAAGCATAGGAGAGGCAATCTGAGCGAACGAGTTGCCGAAACCGAGAAGAACACGACCGCCAGAGTAGGTAGCGTAATCGGGAGCTCCAGCCTGCAGACCGGCGCCAATAGCCATGAGGATAAAGCCGAGAGCGATACAAGGGCGACGTCCCCAGCGATCGGCGATAACAGGGACAAGAGGGATAGAGGCGACTGAACCGATTTGATAGAGAGCGACCAAAAGACCGAGTCTGCTACCCTCGGGCTTGTCGAAGAAGTCGTTCCAGGTGTCAAAGTTTTGAACGACACCCATGTACATACTAAGAAACGCGCCAAGTCAGCGACTGAATGAATCACCAGAAAGTTCGGGGAATGCCTTACCCATCCCAACCAGTTCCCATAGAGGAAACGCAAAGAACGCATGCGTAGAAGGTCAAGACCCTCAGGCCGGGGTCCTTGTACCAAGTAACATGCTCAAACTTGGGAGCTTCCTCCTGAAGCTTCTTTGTCTTCTCGTCGACGCCGAGGCCGATGATGTCCTTGATACCCATGACGATTTCTCAATCGAGGGGGAAAAGTGTTAAAAGTGCAGTAGAGTGAATTTATTCTTCTGCCAGAAGCACTCTGTGGCTTAGCAGATTGTTGTTGAGGTGAAGAGTGAAAGCAAGACTGGCAAAAAATGGGGGGAGATCCCTGGATAGATATAGAAAACGCGTCGAGTGAGGCCAGAACAAATCTGAAATGTGACGGGCGTGCGGACCGGGTGCAGACCCCAGATTGACGGAAGAACCGAGCAGGCAAAAGACAGCAATGAATGAATCAAATGGCAGGCGTCCGCTTAACGGTGGGTTCCACTCAGTGTTCGGAATGGGCCATCTTGTTCCACCTTGGCTGTCTTGGAAGTCTTGGTAGTCATGAGTCCCAAGCCAAGATGGAGGCCGGGCCGCCTTCATTTCAGCAGGGATGAAGAAATGGAGAAAGTGAAATCGACAGTCACAAGCTGGGGGATCTGTGCCTTGACTCCACTGTGCTCTTTTTTGAACTGATGTTGTTGCACGGAGCACCCCGTAGACTAAAGCATTATTATAATGGGGCTCTGCGATTAAGCCGCCCATGGGGGTGATTTTCGCTATTAGCCTGTTACCGAAAAGGGGCCCTCTCATCTCGCCACGGGGGTTTTTCGCGAGGAACACTATGCTACAACATCGTCTTTTGTCTGTCAGGCACCGCATCAGATTTTTTGCATCTGATCTGATCTTTTGGCTAGAATCGTCGGGCCCAAACGTGCGACAGACATAACATCATGGACATGACCGATGCTTACGCTTACGGGACTGGGCTCTGTAGATCCCATTCTGCCTGAAGCACGACGTTCTTGGGGCAGCCATCAAATTAAGCTGTGCCTTCGATATTTGCCATCTTCCAAGACAATCTTGAAGCCATCAATAAGCCATCGAACATCGAAAAATGAAGAAAACACGGCGAGAATGAAATTCCACGTGGTGCGTAATCATGACCCGTGACTTTTGCTCAGGCGGCTTCGGGGATATTCTCCAGTCTTGGCCTAGAGTGGCATTTGGCTAAATACGGGTAAATGCGGGTAAATAAACAACCTTATATCAGTCCGCCAATCACGACCTGATACCGAATTCTCTTCTGATCGATCAATGCGATTTATCGTGTTGGTCTTCGTAAAACCCGAATATTAAAAAACATGCAAATCCCGAGTAATTCTCGGCATGCCAGCTGAAATAGCCATGATGCGAATAGCGTCAATTGTCATGTGCACGGAATTTAGCCGCCGTTGGACCTAGAACCTGCACGTCGCATGATGATCCTAGAACAGCCCAAAGCCAAGACTATAAACTGGAGACGACAGAGGTTCTCAACCGTCTCCCAAGACCTTGGCGCTCACGAACCCAATTTTCTTTGTGTCGACGATATCTCCACTTAACAAGACTTGTCCTGAGCTCGACCCGCCCTTGTTCGACATGGAGTTCAGGAACCGAGGGCCGAAATTCCCCAGACCCAGATTCTGAGATATCCACTGTTTTCTGGTATCGAGCGTGACTGATCTGATGGGCTGAATCGACTCCGCCACGAGAAATAGGACGTTCAGCTGACGATGTCGCCGGCTTCCGATCGTATTGTGTCAAGATGCACTGACATAGAATGGATTCTGCCTCTGTTACGCGATTGCAACGGCTGGGCTTGAGACCAAGTTCGTTTGCGCAATGCCAAGGGAGACTTCTCTATCTCTAATAATGGATAGGTTAGAAGAGATATAAGGAACCCTTCTGATAATAGCAGATTACTATACTTTAGAGGCCATCGATTCCTGGACCGTTATATGATGCAGCGTTATTGTGGGCGTGAAATCAACTGTTTGCGATGTGAAAACACTAAAAATTCAGTTGATTAAGAAAACGCGAACATAAAATATAAAGAAGCTGAGTTTCTTAATAGAAAACGTACTTCTCAATTTCTTTAGTACTCCCATGTAATAGCAGCCCGTTTACTTCCATGTATTTCGGGCTCTGTAAAATGATAATGCCTTCTAATACTCTAAAGCCTAGGGTAGGTACATCTCAGACGCGATTCAACGCGTGAAGGTTGCGCGAATATCCACTCTGGAGAATGGGTCACTCAGAGACATCTAGGCTGAAACATGTTAATTTACCCATCGTGAGCCACTGCCACGGTTCTCGATGCAGCATGCTTGATGGTTTCCTGCGTGTGGCAACTACCAAGACTCTTGGCCCTCGGAAAGCTATGGATTTACCCAGCGGTCTCACGCACACAGTCAGAACATCGTCATTCAAGGATAGTGATTGGGCTTTGAACTTATCCAAAAGGAACATCGAGGTAGCCAAGCTGCCAAGCAAGCTTGTGGATGTGAGAAAACTACTTGGCGTGGAGAAAACATCAAACCCCAGGGGGAATGGAGATCGGCAGACGCGACCCACCTGGATCTCTTAACAAATATGAGAATTAAAATGGTTCTCTTCAACAAGAACCTGGGGAAAAGACAGTGATGATTATAGTCAATGGATAGATAATATATTGCTAAATACTATTCATCGAGATATATCTAAGTCTTGAATGCCAATCAGCTGAATGAAAACTCGACTGAACAGGGTAATTAGCCTAAATTCACCCAACCTCATTTCGCGCCCATCCCTTATCGATAGCATCAGGTATTCCTCTCCGTCCAAGGTCTCAGCCCATCCAGGAATTTAGTATGAACGTCTCCATCTCCGGTTATTCTCAGCACCTCCTTGTACTCCTTCTCGCCAAGACACTGGAAAAACAGCAAAATACCCGCCCAGATGAAATCAGCATAGCTCACTACATCGCCCAGCAAAAACGGCCCAGAAGTATTCTCCTCCAGCAGGGCCGTGATCTCACGCGCGAACGGCTCCGCTCTGTCAAAAGCTCCAGGGGAGTGCTTTTCTCCGTATTCGTAGAGAGGCATGCCGACGTCTTGTAAACGCGTGGCGAGGAAGAAATCGATGCTCTTTTCACCGATGATGTTTTTGGCGACGCCAGGGACGTAGACTGGAACCATTTCTGTCATGAATTTAATCATTGATGCGCGAAGGCGGTCTTGCATTGGGTTGTTCAGGTGTACACTGGGCTCAGGGTACTTTTCCTCGATGACGTCGACGATCTTGTAAGAGTCCATTATGTATGAGCCGTCAGGCAATTGAATTGCCGGGCATGTGAAGGGTGCGCCTTGTTCATTTGGGGATACACTGAGTACCAGACTGTTACTGAAAGCTCAATTGACGCAACTGAGGTTTGTACTCACTGTTCACTAAGGCGCTCCTTGATTTCGGGATATTCAAGCTACATACGTCAGTAAAATTATCATGGAACTGCTCTGAGAACTTGCCCATTCGGTCTTATAATCGAGGCCTTTATAATTGAGAAGTAATCTCGCTGCACCTCATGTTAGTGCCGAGCATAGTTTGTTAATTATGGAGACTGACTTCTCCAGGTATTCATCGACCAGCAAACCTGGGGCGACCTGCTGGGGATATCGAAAAATATGATTTTGTTGGTGGACATGCTGCTGTTGGTCTCTGTCTTTCGATATGTGATATGATGTTGGTCTGTCTGTTCAATGCCGATGCAGCCTCACGGGGATAAGTGAGGGAATTCACTGGCTGATAAGGTACCCAGGGATATAAATAGTAACAGGGTCATTATCGTGTGATTAATCAGCAGGTCAAACGCGGGCCAATTACACAATGGCATCATATCTTCCCCTCACGCGATGGATGTTAAGGCAATCCTTCAATGCCAAAAACAGCAGGTCAGAACGCTGCGATGTTGTAGAATACAGACAGATTAAGTGTCTCTTTTTAAGTATCTAATAATAGACCCAGGGTTGTAACAACAGTTATCTCACTGCATATTCAAGTCATTAACACTCACTATTTTACTAGTGCTTCTATTACCCTTTGTTGCATACCTTATCTAATTGTTTAGATCAAGCTCGATGCTAGCACCATGAGCAAGTAGTAGCATGCTCTTATAATTAAAATGGCTTACTCAGAATAATAGGGCTATCTTCATTGGAGTCTTCCTAATTATTCAGCTTCTACTACGATCGCCTGGTAGATTGATACCCACTTCTTCCGTCTTAAAGAGGATTCTGACAACTTCTTCATCAGCAAATTCTACTGCACAGGATAAAGCTGTTCCTCGTGAACTCTGTTCATTTGCATCAACCTGGCTAGTTGCCAAAAGAAGCCTGACCACTTCAGCGTGATTATGGACTGTTGCATATGCCAGTGCTGTTAATTCAATGTCGCCTTCTGCACCAGAATCTACTTGGTTTATGGTAAGTAATTGTTCTGTCACAGTTTCGTGTCTAGTTTCAACGGCATATATGAGCGGTGTCCGATCCAACTTATCAACTATATCTGCTGGTACACCTGTCCGTAAAAAGCTCGCCGCCTACATGGCTAATCCATAGAATGCAGCCTAGTGCAGCCTTGTTACTCAGGGTCACCGATTCTAGGGTACTTCCTCGGTCGATTGTTCAGAACAATGGATATGGCGGAACCAGGCCTGTTGGTCCTGCTACTCCTAGTTATATAGCTATATGGGCTTAGCTTCTGAGAGATGAGACCTTTGGACAGTGACGACAACTTTCGAAAGCGTGATTAACCATGTGTAGCGGCACGGAAATACCATAAATATAAGTCACCACGCTGTCTAAGCTTATAGCCACCGTCTACATAGCAGGATTAGTGAAAATAGGAGATGAAGAGCATATGCAATAGCAAATATCATCTGGAGTAAGAGAGCAAGTAAAATAAAATATAATAAAATAGTATTTTCACATATTAAATAGGTGAGCATTAATAGGTCTTGACATTCAAGCATCCAGGAGAACAGAGTTATCCACACCCTGGCCCTAGGGAGCAGAAAAACTTCTGAACTTCAAACTAGGCGCTGAAAATAATTAAAATAAGATCCAGTTGGTTTACGATAATTCACCCAAGCCTTTCTATCACTTAGTATCGAATTATGACATTTCTTGCCTCCCATGTAGGGCTATCCCGCGGCCTGGCCTTGGCCTGCCGACGCGCCCCGACCCCTGCAGATCAGATCATGTCTCCATACTTTTGACGCTGTGGTGCAATAAAAAAGCAATCAGAGGCCGCCAAAATCATCAGACCCTGGTTGTGGTGCCTGGAGCACAGCCAGTTACGCGCATTCTGTTACCGCCCGTTTACTAGGTACCCGCCCTGTCAGCGGAATCTTCAACTCAATGGCGCCGGCAGTTACTCTAGTTATTCTATGTATGCTGAAGTTACCGATAGAAATGAGAAGAATGTGGTAATCCAGGACTTGAATAATTAGATATAGTGCAATGACTTTGCAGGACTTCAACTCAATATCTGCCCGTTGACTCAGTAGGCAGGTAGACAGGCTAGGCATAGCCACGCCTTTGCCGCAATTCTGAGACATTTGTGCATGGGGATGCAGGTAGCCTCTCTTGTCACCCATGAAGAAACATGACGTGTGCGTGTTGGTCGTGACCCTGCAGAGGAGTTAAGTAACCCAGGACAGACTGTTGGTCCTGTCAATTCTCATTCCTAATTAATCTCTTTAATCTGTGGCCCGATCATCTGCTACTCTACTACGACGCCCATGACATCGAACCAGACTGAATTCGTTGGATGGACACCATCGCCAGACGGAAGAGGCACCTACGATATCATTGTGACATGCCTAGTCACGACATTTTTATGCTGTTGGACCTCGGTTTATCCCAACATTCCCGCGCCGGAAGATGGTTTTTGGAGCTCGACTAGAGATAAACTTGGACTTGCATGCTTGGGATTGCTTGGACCTGAGTTTATTATAGTGTTGGCTATTGGGCAGAAATCTTCAGCTCGGAGATCTGTCGCCGTATGTTATGCTCTCATTTTGGACTACTGTCAAAAGGCAGATAACTGATCTTTTGTAGAAATTCAAGCAAGCAGGATATACAAAATGGACCATCACGCATGGCTTTTTCGCCGATATGGGTGGATTTGTGCTTTCGGCTAACGGTCTCCGACGACCGATACCTCTCAACGCCGAACAGCTATTTTACCTTATTAACAAATCGTATGTTGAGTACCCTAAGATCAGCGACGATGAGCTCAGAGATAGGAATAAGTCTGATGGACTAGCAAGGTCAGTGCATTCGTCTTAAACATGCAGTATCTCGCACTGATGCCTCCAGACTTATAACCCTCTGGCAAGGGACTTGGTTCGTCATAACCTTTATCGCGCGACTGATTCAAGGACTTCATGTGACAACCATGGAGCTCACAGCAGTCTCATTTGTTATTATTCTCTTTGGAACAGCATGGTGCTGGAAAGACAAGCCATCTGATGTAGGGACGACGATTACTGTCCCCTGCCTTACCACGATGGAAGACATATTGATACGCGTGAGTAATGGACCCCTTGAGCAGTTTCAACAATCAGACTTATACAGGTATAGGAAGGACGTAGTCTAGATCAGCCATACTACCAAACCCCATTAGACTTTATCAGCAGAGACGAAACCGCGCTGAATCTCGCTTGGCAATATTACAACGAACTCTCGCGCAAGATCCTCTTCTCTCCTTTCTCGCGACGCGTCAAAGAATTCCCATGGGACAGGAACCCCGGTGACATATTCCTCCGTATGGACTTTGATCTAGAACTAGTCGGTGTCGCATTCATCTTCGTCTTCAGCGCCGTCTTCCTAGGTGCATGGAACTTCTCGTTTCCCAGCACTGTTGAACGAGACTTTTGGCGCGTAGCGAGTGTTTACATGCTAGCTTATGGCATGTTTGGTGCGCTCTGGATGGAATTGTGCATGTGGATCTTCATACCGCAGTATCGACTTGCTGAAGGTCTGGAATTGAGCCTTGTTGAGCGGGATCTGGATCAACGACCGCATCCTGTGAGAAACTGGCACTATAGGTTCCAGAACTGGAGAAGGAGTCGATTTAGCAAGATCCGAGGTACCACAGATTCTGATGGAGAAGGACTGACATCTCAACAACCGAAGAAGGGCATTTTTGCTTTTCTGAGTAGGTCTTATAACATTTCGCAGGGGAATGACCCTCACTTGGGCGTTCAGGTTGGATTTCTGATAGTCACGTCTTTCCTGTGCGCCTCTTACTGTGTGTTTCGGGTATTCATCTTTGTTGAAGATTTCATTGGGTTGAGAGCGCTACCGCAAAGTGCTTACCAGACGGTGGAATGGGCAGAGTTCATCCCTCATATATAGAAGCGGCTCATGTCAGAATTGGGCACTTGACGATACTGAGGATAAATAGACATTGAGTTGCTCCAAATTTAAGGAGTAAATGGTACAGAACTTATATTTTAGTTAAGTAAAGCCTGTTAGCAGGACAGCTATAGTCTGAACCATTCATGTCTAAGAACCTCCTCTGCACTAAGCCGTTCTCGAGGATCATACTTGAACAACCGATACAGCAGATCCGCCAACAATTTCTGCTCAGCTTCAGGTGTTTCAAGTGACTGCTTCGGTCCCTCTTTGTACTTCTCACCCGCATCGAAGATCTCGATTGGTTTGCTCAGTGCCACCTCGAGGGACCAGTCCTCTTCATCACGAAGCCATTTCCCATCGGCGTCAAAATACTCTTCGCGTGCCTCCCACTTCGCCCACCACGATTCTGGCAGCTTGCAAAAGAATCTGACTATCTCTGCCAGTAACTCGTCTTTGTCGTAGATCATGTAGAACAGCGGAAGTTGCTCTCTGATCTCGAATAGGGTGCATCCAAGAGCCCAAAGATCACAGGCGGGCCCAAACGCATCAGGGTGTTCAAGAAGGATTTCTGGTGGTAGGTAATTCTCTGGGATGCCGAGGTCTTCTGGGGGTGATGAGAACTTGAACGACTCGCCAAAGTCGATGACACAAATCTCTTCTGTGAGGAATTCATTCCCGAGTTGGGACATGTCCGCTGGCTGTACAAGGTACTTTGGGCTAGATGATGGAAGGTCTTCTCCTGATTCTGTCTGCACCTGGACTTCCTCGGGACGCCCTAATAGGGAGAGTAGCTCTTCCTCAGAAAGGTGATCTAGGTCGGCCAACTTGACTAAGACATTGGATGGACGGAAGTCTCGACAGGCACATGTTAGCAGCTTTATGAGGGCCAGTGTCAGTCAAAACTCACCTCCGTGACAAATCTGATTCTTATGTAGGAAGTCCAATTCTTGGGTTGTCTGATAGGCAAATTTCCGTAAGACAGCAGCAGGGTCCTTCACTTATGTGTTCCATTTGGTCCCTCAACGGAGAATGAGTCAAGCGGAGACGCGATGAACTGGGCACCAGGCATGCATTGGTCGAGATCCGCCAAGCTGAATTCAAGAATCTCGTCGGATTTCAAATCACTGACCATGACTTTGAGGGCGATATAACGGCCCTCTAGTGAGTCCCGACAAAGCCATACGGTGCCGAAGCCTCCATGGCCAAGTTTGTGAATGACTCGATATCCATTTGATGAACCAAGGATGTCTCCAATATGAACAGGATGATAACCACCTTCTTGGTAGTCTTCCAACGGTTCCATACCCCAATTTGAGCCTTTGAGATATGTGCCTTGCGAGGAGGTTGCCCGAACATGGTGGAGATCGCCAGAGTGGTTAATTGTGCTTTCATCCTCAAATTGACCTTGTGTAGAATGAGGATCATGCGGGGCCTGTGAGTCCATGGCTTATTCGGAAAAATGGAAGGAGCTGTGGCACAATGGAATAGAGCTCTTAGGCACGAACAACATGTGCATGCGAGGCACGAACGTACAGTCCCAGTATCACCTGACACAAAATGAAGATTACCCCTCATGTACACTCAGATCCTATTGGTCACCAAGGTGAGCGATATATCATCTAGTTTACCAATAAAGAAACATCAAACCGATGTCAAAGATTGCTCGCTATCTTCCTAGCTGCTGCTTCGCCAGCAATCCAAAAGGACGGTTGTATAAAGATCAAGTCACCATGTAGCCGCCATCAACTGGCAATGCAACACCGGTGATCCACGTCGACTGTTCGCTTGCGAGAAAAATGGCCGCTTTAGCAACATCCGCCGTCATGCCTAGCGTGCCCCAGGGATGTCGAGCAACAATGGCGGCGCCGAGCGTCTCATCTTGCAGCATCACTCGATCCATCTCGGTCTTGATGACTTGAGAAAGAATTGAAAATTAGTCGATGCAGGTCACGGATACGCAAACAGCAGTGTAAGGAGTCGGGCCCTGGAACTCACAACCGGGACAGATGGCATTGACGTGGATCTTGGAAGGGCCATACTCGCGAGCAATGCACTTTGTCATTTGAAGGACTGCAGCTTTAGTGGCGCAGTAGGAAACTATAGAGCAATGCACGTTGGTCAGCACGTTAACACCTTGCCGCTTTGTCAGACTGACTATGCTCAACTTCTGGCTTCAAGCCATACACAGACGCTATATTGATGATCCAGCCCCGTTCTCCTGTTGGCCATGGTGTCTGGCGAAGAAATTGACGGATGGCATATTTGCAGCCCAGGAAGGCCGACCTGGCATTGACTGCCCAGGTAGTATCAAAGGTTGAATCATCGGTATCGGCAACGAGCTTCGGCCCAAGCCTTCCCTGTGACTCGAGTGAAATGCCTGCGTTGTTAACCAGCACATCCAGCCTTCCAAATGCCTCTACTGCTGTATGAATAAGGGATTGGACATCTTCTGAGCAAGAAACATCTGTTCGGGTATAGATAGCTTGACCATCTGTCTCATTGTTGATCATGTCAACAGTGGTCGTTGTGGTGCCCGGGCTATCAGAGCGGAGATCTGCGCAGACAACTTTCCATCCTAGGTCGCCATAGTTTATAGCTATTGCTCGACCCAGTCCTGAAGATGCACCTGTTACAATTGCAACTTTGTGGTCCATTCTTGACTGATGATAGATGTAAGCGTGATAAAAAGAAAACCCAAGAAAAATGCCGACGTGAGCGATAGACTTGATCTTTTCATGCAGCTGCGACTCTATAGAGAGATTTAAGGCAGCATTAATTAAAGCGAGACAGTAATATTTAAGTAGACCAAATCAGTTAACTAATTGCTAAGCGACGAGTATGGATTGTTCTAGCTCACCACATCTCGCACTTTGATCAGATTAGGATTAGTATTAATCACTTGAATTGTGACCACCCCAGAAACGAAGATATGCAGCTTTCTATTCGCCACGTAATCGGGTTTCGCAATAATACCATATCGAGCTAGTCGGTCAGTAAGCTCCGGAACAAGTTTGCCAGGAGTATAAAGTTCTGCAGCACGCGAGACGAAAATAACCATCTACTTGCTCAATCTTGTTATCGCGCTGGCTCCGCTACTTCCTCTTACCGTCTCACGCTACCTCGGCTTCGACACGATTCCTTCTAGTCCCTTCCAGGTCAAGACGTTTGGTTTCTTGGTAATCGTAGGCCTGGATATTTGGATATGGATCATGAATTCAGCGGCAAAGTCGCCCTTGTGACTGGCGCAACAGGGGGCATTGGCTTCGCTTGTGCACGCCTCCTTGCATCAAAGGGCGCCAGTGTCGCTCTTCTGGACCTAGTCGACGCCACAGACCAATCCCAACGATTGAACCAGCTCTACGAGTCTCGAGCAATGTCGGTAAAACTCGACATCACTGATAGTGGTGCTGTTGAAGAAGCGGTGGCCATGGTCGTATCGTGGAAAGGGCGCCTTGACTTTGCTGTCAACGCAGCGGGCATTTTGCCTGTTGGAGTCAATGTAGATGGCATCGACCCTTTTATCTGGCGTCGTGTGATCGACGTTAACTTGACTGGGACATTTAATTGCATGCAGCACGAAATCCGTACGTTTCTTGAGCTCGGAATTCCAGGCTCCGTCGTCAACGTCTCTTCTGACGCCGGGGCCATTGGCACAGTAGGTTGCGCTGCCTACGTCGCTTCCAAGCATGCAGTCAACGGCCTTACTAAAACGGCGGCACTTGAATACGCAAGGAAGGGCATCTGTGTCAACGCTGTAGCGCCTGGGAATATCGATACGCCCATGCTGAGCCGGCTTGGTATGTCGGCTGAGGCACTGGGACACGCGACACAGCCTTCAGGGAAATTGGGAAAGGCCGGGGATGTGGCCGATTTGATTGTATTCTTGCTTTCTGAGCGGGCCGGGTTCATGAATGGGTCTATTGTAGCCATTGATGGTGGCACTACAAGTGCGGGCTACTCCAACGGCGATGCATCACTGGTATTTAAGGCAGTACAGTGAGAAAGCCACCGCACAACCGTTATAGACTTAAGACACCGTCTTACGAGGAATCAAAACTGATACTTTAATACGTAAACCTAAACTATTTCAAAGTGAGACGAGAACAAGGCAAAGAATATGAGTTATTTCAATCTCTCTCGAAAGGTCACGGCTACGAGTCGAGACTGGGTTGCGCTTAAAGCAAAAAGCGAACGTAGTTTAAAGGATACCCTGATAGTGAATGATGACATCATAGCAGAGTGGTGCTATAGATGGCCTCTTGATATTGAATGAGTGAAGTCCTTGGTTTTCCGGAACAAGTATAGACACTCGAGTCTGTTTTCAAAGATAACAGACCTCAACATGGTAGAGAAGCGACAAGTCTTCCATCTCCACCAACAAGGCAGTTTCTGAAATGGGATTATGCAATGCCAAGATTATGTTTCAGCACCTCCGTTGTATACGTTGCCCATTCTATCCTATAGTAAGGAACATCTGTCAGCAACCAGCCAAACCTCATTCAATCGTACTGCTCTGGCTCAGGGGTCTCATATTCTTTGCGGCCGAATGCAACCCAGTATAACAAAGCATACAATGAAACTCCTACAATTACACAAGACACGTAGTTCATCAACCCTGCTTGAACCGGGATGAACGAAGGGAAGCAATAGAAAACAAGTGCAATCGCAGTCCAAAGCAAGACAACGATATTCGACACCAGACCAAGCCTGGGATACCAGAAGGGGCCTGGGGTGATGTTCGACCGGCCATACCATAAGAGGCACGCGATGCAGGTAGAGTAGGTTATATACTGTAGGAGGATACCGCCGGAAACCAGAGAATTGAAAGCAAGCTGCGAACCCATGTAGATGCAACCAAGGACAGAAGTCCAGCAACAAGACCAGATATGTGCAAAGACTGGAGTACCATAAGGCTCAGGGGCAATCTGAGAAAGAAATCGATGAAATGGAAATCCCTTGTCTTTGCTGAAAGCCCAAGCAATGCGTGATTGCCAAGTATGGATGCCGATTATAGCGCCTGCAGCAGATATCAACACCAGGCTCTGAAATCCCAGCGCTGCAGCAGTGTTGTGTTTGAACGCCTCTTGAAAGACCTGCAGCGACGGCGTGCCCGAGCTGGCAATGTCACTGACCGAGGGAGCCGACAAGAAGAGCGCAAGGATTATAGGAAGTCCAGTGGCGCTGCCAAGAGCCACTGTCACCAGGAGAGCTTGAGGTATGTTTTTCCGAGGATTCGGAATCTCGTCAGCGAGATGCACTGTGGCATCGAGACAGGAGAAGGCCCAGTTAGGGGCGTTGAGCCCGATCAAAAAGGCCACGCCATTCGACCAGCCCGAGATGTTGTATAGATTGACAAAGAGATTATCTGCAGATTGCTTGTGTGGACTCGCAGCCAAAATGCCGACAAATACAATTATCACGGTGCAGACGGTGAAGACGAGGAGGAAACGGCTGACCCAGGGGAGGACACGTTCAAAGCAATTGAAGGTGAACGCCAGCAAGTTCAGAACCTGAAACCCCACGAACCCCATCTAAGGCTTATAATTGAAGTCGGGATGTGTCACAGACACCATGGCAAAGATGGAGGTAGGCACGGCGAGGCAGACTGAAGCACTGGTGCATACAGCCCCAGCCCATCCTATAATGCCAGTGATATAAGAGAGAAAGCGTCTGTGTTTTGGAGGAGCTAGAACAGCAACCCAGAAGTATTGACCCCCGGAGTGAGGTAGAGCCGATGCAAGCTCACCCAGGCTGATGGCAACGCATACAGCGATGACTGCCATGACTAGGAAGCCGTAGATGAAAAGCGGGGGACCTCCGAGAGCGACGCCGCTGGCGAGACCCACGATGAGGGTAATGGCTGTATTGGTAATCGAGTGACCGATGCCCATGGCCGTCCAGACGGTGAACGTCTTCTGATGCAACTGAGTGTGCGATCCATCCATGATGGAGATGCTCGGTGACTGGTGCAGCTGGCTGAGCTGTTGGCTCTTTCGTTCCTTTGAAGGGGCTTGTGTTTCCATTGTATCGTCGCTATCGCGTAAGTAGAGAAGAAAGAATCGGTATGCAGTGCGAATAGGAGTTATGAAGGATAAAGAGATCAGAGGTTGTTGGTAGACAGACCTGTGGCAAGGCTATGCTGTGTATGATTGGAAAGCGCCGTGTTTAAATAGACCATCTCAGGGTGTTAACTAGGTATACAAGTATCTGGTGGTTAAACTTTGTATTGCTAACATAGGAGATTGGGCTACCAGGATTGAGCTGAGAGGAATCGAGGGGCTCGCCAGTTGCTGCAATCCCTTAAGCCACGATAGTCTATTATCGGTGCATCGTGGAAGATACTGGGGAAAGCCTGGAGTCGGACACATCCTTGACACCGATCGCTTGTTATTGGCTGGAGATTGTGGTGGCTCGTGGCTCTTGGGCTAGCGGAAAGTTTCGTCGCTCAGGGTTGGACAAGAAATAGTACCTAGCTCAGACCCACGCTATGGAGAGGCTCGCACATTGTCCAAATTGGGATAAGACGCTGACCCATCGCCAGGGATCAGCATCGTGGACATATGAGTCTAGAACTTGTTCGCATTTGTTCCAAAACAGTCAACTTTATAGGCATCTTGGAATGGTCAGAATGATGAGCGACTTCCGAACCATCCAGGTTAGATAAGTAGTCTAGTTTGTTCCACGTCAAGTTACCAAACCCCTATCCCAACATTCACCTGTATTCGATTACGCCCTAGTTAATCAACAATCACGATCAAAATGTCGTTCGTTGCCTCCCAGGAACAAGTCCGTGCCTTTGAAGAATTATCTTCCAAGCCATCTTTCTCCCAAGAAGCCATCACTGTCGACTTCACCACCACCCCTGAATATGTCCGCAGCGTCCTGCCGCCCGGTCTGGAGCCCGGCGACACCCCTACCGGACATATACTCATGGCTACTATGGAGAGCAAGTTGTGCGGAGAGTTTGACTGCGCTATTGTGAGCCTCGACGTCAAATTCCGTGGCAAGGCCGGCACCTTTATGCTCGAGATCATCATCAGCAACGACCTTCCCGTCACCTGGGGTCGCGAAGTCTGGGGCGAGGCCAAGAAGACTGGCACTTGTCGACTCTGGCGATCTGGAGACTGGCGTTATGCCTATGCTGAGCGCAATGGCGTTCGCCTTATAGAGATCCAAGCCAAGTTCGGCCAAGATCTCGCGCCAGGCATTCGCGACTCGGTCAACTTTGAGATCAAAGCCTATCCCCACGCTCAAGGCAGGGGTCTCCAATGGGAGCCTCTTGTCAGCACCCTCCAAGTTCGCGAGCACGATGTCCACCACTCTGTTGGCGATGGCCGTCTGGTCATTCGAGGTACCACTGCCGACCCCCTTCACAGCATTCCAATCGAATCGGTCGGCCATTTCAAGTACACCACTGGTCGGGCGGATTACACTGTCGTGTCTGTCGACGAACTTGGTGTTGGTCAGGCCTATCTACCCCATCTGATCGGTCGTCACTACGAAGATGTTCGAGTTCACAAGGTGGGAGCTGAATGGACTGGGCTCAGGGACGAGGAGGTAGAGGCGGAGTCATTCCCTGTACGGAGATTCAACACACCGGGATTCAAGAACTTGAAGTAGATATCAAGGGAATCAAAGTATTTATTTGAGTCAGGGTCGTGGGAACTATACAACCGTGCTATATATGAGAGCTATGCTTCCTTGACTGAGCCTTCATACCGCACAAGTAAAGGAACAAGTCTTATGTAGGAGAAAAACAGGCCCCAAGAAACAAACACTAGACTTTGAAATTTATCGGTGCCTATTCTGACATAGTAAGTAGGCATTGTAATCAATTGAGCTATGTGAGGCATGGCGTAAGGTCCGTTACCAGCAGAGATGGCTATATGGAGTACCTACCTATTTTGGTATAGCCTCTGTCATTTTTCTACACGGTAGAATAGTATGTGTTACACACCAGCTTGCAATGGAGCGGAAATCGGGATGATGACAGCTACGGACTTTCTGGATTGTCCTTCATGGTATTTTGCTTACAAACAAGTACAATGCACCGCATCTTTCGCCGTGTGAGCCGCAAGAAAGATGTACTAGCTACATATTATCACAATTTATAAAACTGCCAAAGACCTTCCTTGATGTAACATGACCTCTAGCCAGGACACAACGATTCCCATTTCTCTTAACTCCCAGATCTCTCTTACAAGCTCGAGCCCACGGTTATACGTCTGAACTCGAGTGAATCGAGTTAGTCTCTGGAATGTGATTTCTACTAATGCTCGCTCCTCCTCAAATGACGAGGGCAATTCGGGTCCAGCAATGGTAAGCAGAGGCCCTACCCAGTTCAATAGAGGGTGGCCATCAGGAATACATCTCAGAACGCTCATCGACTCGAATACCATATCAATCAAATGCATGTCGGTCGTAGTTCCTATTCCTCCCAATTGCGTTGCGTTAGCCTGGTAAAGCATGATAAGGCCGATCTTTCGATAGCCTTCAGATAGCTGTAAAAGTATTTCCTGATGGCTGATGGTGGTTGGAGGTGTCCATTTATACAACCGTGCTTCTATGTCACGGAAAGTCGACATGCAGATCGACTTGGAGTCAAGGACGGATCTGAAATAACGGCCTGCCTCTGAGATGAGGGGACAAAGAGTGCTCGAGACGCCAGTGACAGGATGGATGAGAGAGTCGAATGGCGGTCTTTGCATTGCATTCAGGACTGAAGCAGTAGACCCGTACGAATCCCCGGTTGGCACCAAGAAAGATGTGAAAGCCTCACAGTAAAGATAAAGTCCAAAGAGATAAAAGGCAAACGAATCTGTGGGTGCCGAGTCTGCGAGCGACTCGATGGTGTTGCTGATGCCACTTATGAACATGATGCCGGCATCGTTTCCCATTGGATCAAGCCAAGCTGAGGAAACAAATAAAATAAGAGAGGAAAGAATGGTTGTACGAAGGAGGGTCTGCTGCTTCGCTTGCGATGTCTGCAATCTGTCTATCTCGTTCTGCAGCGACGAGATGGCCAGTCCCCTTGTCTGCAGGGCCGATGCCAGCTTATCCGGTTGAAAATAGTGCTGATGCGCTTCCGAAACGCTCTCTAGCGTGTGTCTCAGGGCTTTGGAATGTCGCAGCCAGCCGGAAAGCGCATACGAGAGGGGATTCGTAGGCGGGTAGAAGATGGCCATGGACAAGCAAGCGCTATCATACCAATGCCTAAGAGTTGCGTTTTCTAGAGCGCTGGGGGCCGAGGGTGTCCGCTCGTTAGACACCCACGGCCTCTCGATCTGCCAGGTATCGTGGCTGAAGTTTCCAGTGCATGTCTCTCTGCGTTGTAAACAGCGTGTGCAGATGGGCTGTCTCTCGTCGCATTTGACCTTGCGACGTTTGCACTGCTCGCAACCACTACGAGACTTTGTCCTTGGCTTCTTGGGCGCCTGCATGGTCTTGGAGGAGCGGTGTCTGTCTGATGAGGTCTCCGAATGACGAAGGGCATTGTTGGTTGTGTTGGAGAATCTGGGGCGGGGTAGTACAGCCTTTACTTAGCCATACTCAGTGGAGGCCAATAGCGAGAGAAGCCAACAGACCTCTGCATCAACAACCTGGTTGCCCGCCTCAATCATCGAGAACTTGAAGACAAAGAGCATTGTTGCCATTTCAGCTGCAACGGCACTTGATTGCTACCGGTATTGGATAGAAATATCACTGAGACCTTTCAACGCAAGGCAGTGGTTGAGAAACACGTTGCAATATAGTGCATGATAGCGAACCCTTTTATCATTACAAGTGAAATGCAGACTGCAACTGTGCAGTCAAGCTTCTCCGGTCAATGAGGAACTCGAACAACTTTTGAATTGAAGTAATGGAAACGCAAGCCTTCTTGGCATAGGATGAACATGCGGAATTTGCCAAACTCAATTGATTTGTATGCAGTATTGGGGAGGATATGTTGATCACTGAGGGGTTGATGTTTTCAGTGGAGTGAGACGAGCGAAACCATTGGATAGTGCTTGACCCGACCTGTAACATATTGACAGCTGTAACCCCGCCTTTTCGGAGCCCGCCGAAGGTTGTTATCTGCCATATCTTATCAGCAGCATTTAAACCAGCAACAAAACTCAAGGACAACAAAGCAAAGCATCACAAGACAAACATACAACAATCCAATTACTTCAAAATGGATAGCGATCTGAAGTACCTCCTCTCTCTCCAAGCCGTCCGAGACCAAGCGTCCAAGGTCTTCGAATCAGCGAAGCAAGGGAACCTGAAGCACTTCGACTATGACGAAGGCCGTATGGGAGCGGTTGCTGATTATGTGTCCAAAGTCATTGATGTGAGCAATACCATGAGCACCAAAAATACACCAGAGCTGGTATTGACAACTCTCTAGCGCGACTTCGGCCCTGATAAATACGACACCATTCCCCCTCACGGTCGCTGGCAGCATTTCGAGGTTGGAGACGTCGCACGAGTCGATGCCCTCGTGAAGCGATGGTCAAGTGAAGATGGCATTGACCAGACCGAGATCACTCGACGCTTGGTCGACTTGTTCTTTGTGTCGGTTCTTCTCGATGCTGGAGCAGGCGATGTCTGGCGGTTTAAAGAGCCTGAGACTCGACAGGTCGTTGTTAGAAGTGAAGGTATTGCTGTGGCGTCGCTTCACATGTTTACAGCTGGATCTTTCAGCTCTGACAGTTCTCTGAAGGAGAAGGTCGATGGTATGTTTTATGCAAGGTTCTTGTTTTCTTGGGCTAATTGGCTGTTGTAGCGAAGGGCTTGATTGAGCTGCAAGACAGCAACTTTGAAGAGCACTTCCAGGTGTCGGCTAGGAATCCTATGGTAGGAGTGTCATCGCGAGTGAAGTTGCTTCAAGCTGTTGGCTCCAACTTGTTGAAGCACCCTGCAGTTTTCGGAGAGCTTGGCCGTCCAGGAAACCTAGTTGGTAAGTGATCACAGATAGGCGGTGAGCGTATGTAAGGCTGACGCGGTCGTACAGACTACCTCACATCAAAGGCCTCTGGTTCCAAGACTCTTGACTACGAACAGCTTTGGTTCTGCTTACAGGACCTCCTCATTCCGTCATGGCCCGGAAACCGCACCGTCTTCGATGGTCATCCCATTGGAGACGCATGGCCTCTTGAAGTACTGGCTGAAATTGCAGATAGTAAGGGCGATAAAGACCCCAAGAGCAAAATTCAGCCGTTCCACAAGCTCACACAATGGCTGGCCTATTCACTCTCCGTCATCTTTGAGAGACAATTGGGTTTCACCTGGAAGAACATGCATCTAGGCACTGGACTGCCCGAATACCGAAACGGCGGATTGTTTGTTGATCTCGGGGTCCTGAAGCTGAAGCCTGACGACTTGAAAGCTGGAAAGGAAAGTTCGGGACAAGAACTTCCGCAGTTTGAAGCCTCTGACGATGTGATCGTTGAGTGGCGTGCTCTGACTGTTGCGCTGTTGGATGAGCTGCACAAGATGCTCAAGGAGAAGTATGAACCTCGTGGAGTCAGTTTGAGTCTTCTTCAGATGTTGGAGGCGGGAAGTTGGAAGTCTGGACGGCTTTTGGCTGCGGAGCTGCGACCTGAGACTAAGTGCAGTCCGATTCTGGTTATTAGTGATGGTACGCTGTACTAGTAGCAGTCAGCTAAGGATAGTTTGCCCGGTTGAACGACGTGTAGCTAGTAAATAAAAAGGCTCCAGATGCAAAGCAATTCAACCTTGTAAATGCTCACTTATGCAGTTGTTCAGAAGCCATGGCAAATCGGACGGAGAGGTCCGCCGGATGTGGCCGGGGCCCGCTCAGCCGCAGAAAAAACTATCACATGGGAGAATAGATAACAAACTGAGTTATGGACTGATCAAAAGTACAATATGTACTAAGCGCCAGTGAGAGCCGCTCTACTTCTGCTGCACATATTGAATCAGTAATATGGAAGTATCAAGGTATTCGAGCTGTTTGGATTAACGCCAAATTTGACCTATATATTTGGTCAATTTTCTTTATGCCAAGGCGCATTCCTCTATAAACACGGTAAGCAGACGTTGAATCAGGTTGCTATAAGAGTCCGGTTTATCAGCTCCCCAAGTCAAAGTACCAGTCGAAAATAGCATGCGTTTTCTCGAGCGATAAGTTACCCCATCAGCCCCATGTCGGGGCTCAAGCGTAGGACTAACTTTCGCAAGTAAACACTCGACTCACAAAGCAACTTATTTTTCTTTGCCTAATTTTCCAATTTTTGAGCCAGATTCCTATACGAATTGATTGTATTTGTGCACGGAAAGTCAAGTTGCGCCTTGACTGCAGTGCCCAATAACAGCCTCGGCGGCCCCGAGGAGAAACTTTATAGCACTCTTGAAGGTTATTGCGTCCCGTCATCCAACCAAGTATGAGTCAAGCGTAATTTATTGCTGTATGTGAGTCATGAAATGCATTTCGTATAAAACTTCAGCAACATACCCTTCCTCTCCTCTTCACCAGCTTTTGTTCCCCCATCACCCCCCACCAGCCATAATGTCACAGCAAAAGGAGTCCACTCCCCAGGGGCTCGACACCTTCGGCCATCTCCCAATAGAGATGAACGTCAAAATCATGAATTCAACTTAGAGTTAGTTCTCCTCTTTCACCTGATTGACTGCTCCAAAGTCTTCTCATTGCGCACAAGAGATATGGCATCTAATGGCTCTTTTATTAAATTATTTACACGGCGATTCACTGCTGTCCTAAGTTGTCTACTTAATTAAACTCGAAGGTAAGCCGCACCAAGCTTATAATACAATATTGATAGTGAATAACTATAATAGAAGGCCTATAAATCAAGCTCGGGTTTGCTTGATAGTGATCTTCTCGCCACAAGGTACAGTGAACTTGTCACCCTTGACAACTTTTCCGTTCACCTTGATGACACTCTTCTCGAGAGGAGTAGGCAAAGGTCGAGGAAGGTAGACAGTACCATTGGTGTTACCATTCTTAGGCGCGCGAACAGTCATCTGCAGGAGACCAGACTTGAACTTCCAATCGACCTCAACGTTTCCATGCTCAGTTGGGACCCGACCCTTAGCCCACTCCAGACCCAAAGTCAGAGGCTTAACATCCCACTTCTTGTAACCAGGTTCAACGGCCTGAACACCAAGAACATGTCGACTCAGCTCAGCAGTAGGCCCAGAAGCCCAACCGTGGCAGAGAGAGGTGATTATACCCAGACCAGGTGTACCATCGGGGTTAAGAGTCTCCCAGAAGCAGTTGGTGTAGTTGGCGTGGGAAGGGTTCGCCATGGGGGCCCAAAGGCTCCTCAAGAGACGTCGGACAATCACATCATCGTCCGACTCGAAGGCTGCGCGGAGATGGTAGGTGGAAGAGTAAGGGCTGATCTTCTGAGCGAAACCAGCTTCGGAGGTAGCGTTGCTGAAGGCCAGAGGTCCAGCCTTGAGCTGAAGTTCCTTGTCGAGAGTGGATAGCAGAGAGGTGGCTGAGATGTTGTGGCTCTGGGGAATGCCGGCAAGGATAGCGAGGGCGTTGGCGTCTTGGGCGAAACCGGTGGTGATCTCGTTGGAAAGAACATAAGCTTGGAGGGTATCGTTCCAGAGGTTGGAGTGAATCGCTTTGCGCAGGTTGTCGAGGCGAGTCTGGTAGACAGTGGTGTTGACACCAGCGTCCTTCAGGAGGGCATGGGTCTGCTGCAAGCTGTAGGCATAGAGCGCGTTAAACTTGGAGCTGGCGCCGGTCTGGGGAGGGTCGTAGTAGTTCCAGTCTCCAGTGAATGCAGGGTTATCGAGTGTGAAAAGACCATTCTTTGACTGGGAATGCGCCCAGTCCAGCATAGCCGTAGTACGAGGAGCCCACTCCTTAGCAAACTTCTTGTCGCCCAAAACCTCGTAGTTCTTAGCAAGGGCATTCAGGAAGTTGAACGAATAGCCAATAAGACCAGTGATGTTGACGTCCAGGAGTTCCTTGAGGGGCTCCTGTTGGATCTTGGCGGTCGGGATGAAGAATCCGGGCGTAGCCTGATAAGAACCCAGGAGGTCGAGAGAGCCCTCAACGAAAGACTTGCCGTAGGTACTGGCATAGGTCGAGCCAAGTGCGACGTCTAGGTCGCCGGTGTATGCAATTCGGTCGCGTCTCGAGCCATCAACGATAGTATCGGCGGGGTTCGTTCCCATGAAGAAGTCCTTCAAGAAGCTAGGATCCGTCAAGTTGTTCTTGTAGATCTCAGTACCATCGAGAGTCGCTGCCTTGAGGTTACGGAAATAGGCGGAGTGACCAAGAGGAGCACCGAGGCCGAAAGAGCCGTAGAACTTGTCTGTCTGGCTGAAGTCGAGAACAGTCTTGTTGTTGACGAGAATGGAAATCTCGGTCATGTTCACCTTGGCATGTACAGAGATCCACTCGCCGAGCTTTGCATCAGCAGAAGATGGGATCGAACCGGACTTTGAAGCACCTGTTGCCGTGACCTTTCCAGTCTTGACGTCGCAAGTAACCACGATGGCTTCGTTGAGAGTGTCCGACAGAACGGAGAAACTGAACTCCCCAGTAACAGGCTTGACCTGGAAATCAAGCTGGTAGGTAGTCAACTGAGCGGCCGCAGCACTACCCAGAGCTTGAGGCGCAGAACTTTCAACAAGAGATCCTTCCTTAGAAACCTGCCAGAAGTCGGGGATAGTGTCCTTGGGAATCTCGGTGAGCTGAGCGGTCCTAGCGCCCGTGAGCCAGATGCGGTTAAAGTCCTCGTTAGAGCATTCGAAGCCTCCGGGAAGCTTGGTAAGGGGCGTGGTGTGAACGGTTGGTTTCACACCTACCTTTCTGAGACTCAGCTCTCCATGCGAAGAAAGGTTCAGTTTCTGGTAGCGGAAAGCTCCCTGGACAAGACGATTGTTGAAAGTCTCGCGTTTCGAGATGTTGTATCGGTTCACACGGTAGGTATCCATGGCAGCAGCCAGAGGAAGAGGTCCATCACTCTGAGAAGATTAGAGTTAGTCTGTTAATACAATATCTAAGCGCTGCATTTACATACCTGGTAGTTGCTAAAAGCGAACTTGGACTCTGCATAGGTGAGCTCAAAAGTCGAGGTATCACCAGAGGCAGAGACAACCTCAAAGGTAGGATGCCCCTCGACATTCTCGCCATAATCGAGAATCATGATATCAGGCTTCTTTCCATCAGACGAAAGAGACACAGTTCCTTTGGAACCGTAGACAACTGCATTCCTGTCCGCCCTTGCAACTGGTCCAGCCAGGGCTGAACCTGCTACAAGCAGCAGCGACGCCGTAGCTTGGAGAAGCATTAGGATGTGTTTGTCTTAAAAGATAAATAATAAAAGGAAATAATATAAAGAAAGATAGTAGTTGAGATAAGAGATAAAGAAATGTTTAATGAATGGTGTTGTATTAGATCTAGTTACCAGAGTGATTGCCTTTACTTATAACTAAACTTGTATGCGCACATCGGTATTACATCTTCCATCTCCAGATATTTTTTGCATGATGTAATGAGCCACTGTACGGAGAAAACCGAGCCCTTTCATTTAAGCTCTGACTGTTCTGGTGGAGGGCCAAGAAGTGTGTCTTGTGAACGAGGTTTTCGCAAAGAACGAGGTTCGTTGCTGAAGTATTAAACGAGGAACGAGGTTCGCTCTCTTAGTCGAAGCCTTAACAAAGTGGGGTTCACAGAGTTTTACCGTCTTCTGGTCGAGTCTTGAGTCAGTTTCCATTTTTCAGATCTCATTACTGAGTTTCTCGTTGCTGTGTCGATTGGCCATGCATGTTTGGTGTGCGAATTCCGAAATTCTGGTAATTTGTATTGCCGAGAATTGGTAAGTCAGACCCTTATTTCACATGATTGCTTTCGGCATTGTCAGTGAACTTGTACTCAATCGGTCTTTAGCTCAGATCAAATCAGCACTAACTCCAATGTCTCCAACTCCGGTCTCAAGGTTCTAAGCCACAGCTCCCCGAGGGCAGGATCAGCGGAGGCCTTACGAATTCTCGGTCTTTTCCCCTCCACCCCTCATGATTCGTTCCCAAAGTCGCTCCCCTACAAAGAGCGAGGTTTGCTCAGCCCGCCAAGGTGTCATGCGTTGCGTGTCATATCTCGGTGTTTTAGCTTTGACCGCTGTCTTCAGACGGTGCCAAGTTGTCCACCTAAATTAGTCTACACTAGCCCCTTGGGCCCTCTGCCGTAGCCCGTAGCTCCCCGCTCGTCATATATTACCTACGGTACTTTGCATCCCCATCTACCGAGTCTCTATGCTAAATCCGATCAAACCATGTCGAAATCAAGATCTCAATCTCCATCCAAGGGCAAGGAAGCGCAAGACACTGACAATGTCTTGGACGTTCCTTGGGATGCACCACCTCCGTACGAGCTGCATTCCTCAGGGTCAGTCCTCGCTAGCACGTCGCGCGTCAACGGTACGATTGACCCCTTTTTGTCCTTTTTGAAGCTATCGTGATGCTGACTGCGCCAAGACCATGGAGGGGTCGATATTGAGTTCTCGTCGCTGCAGCCCGACGAAGTCAATCGCCTTCTTCCTCCAGACAAAGCCCAAGAAATTGAACCAACCACCAGCCTCCCTGCAGCTGCCCCCTCGGGGCCGTGTCCAGCCCTCAATGTCGTTATTCAAGTTGTTGGCAGTCGAGGTAGAGTCTGACGACCTTCACGTTTTCTTCCGGAACTAAACAGATTTAGGCGATGTTCAACCCTTCATTGCCCTCGGCGTCGCTCT